GTCAGTCTGTGTTGCTGCCCCTCTTGGCTGCTGGTTGGAATGCAGCTGTTAAGGCAGCTGTTTAACTGTTTGCCCAACTTGAAAGGACACTGCCAAGTGGCAAATACTTTTCATAACAACATTTTACTTTTGCTGAGAACAACAACAGTGCATTTTATTGAGCTCCAGCAGTGTGCCAAACATGACAGATTTATAACTCTGCAGGTTCACAACCTAGACTGAACACAATGCTCATTTCCATTTTTAATATTTATAAAAAGAATGAATAGGCTCCCAAAGGTAGCCTCTACACAAAACATCTCTACATCTTTCCTATTTGTTGAAAAGGCAGCAGAGTAACTTGAGAAAATGAAATACCTCTGAAAATGAAAATCTTAGAAATGTCAAAGGAAAAAAGGAAAGTTTAAATATTTTACCCCTTCTTGTGACTTTACCCCTTCTCATCCAGGACAGATGAGGGCAGCAGTAGCACAAGAAACACATCATCTACTGAATCTCCTGCAATTCGTGGGTCTCATTCTGGGTCATGAAGTTAATCTATGTTGTTCATTAAAATATTGACACTAAGTACTTAGCAAACAATTGTGTTGAATCTGACAGGCTGTGAACTGGGGTGGCAGTGGGGGTAGGAGGTGGTTATCAACTATTTTATTTCATTGTAAAAGCTATATGACAAATATCAGCATTCAGAATTAAGAAAACACATTCAAATGAGTAAGCGTGATTTTCTTCCAAACCCAAAAGTACATGGATCATGATCATACGACATAGACCTGCACCCTCAGTCTATTACCCGTGGTCAGAAGCTCATGCCTTCAGAAAGGCTTATGGAGATATACTTTAGGCAAGTAGAGGGATCCTGCGCACACCTATTGTTTGTTCCAGCTGAAGTGGTATTAGAAAGCAGCAGTAACCACCACTCATAACATTTAGTGTGTAATCCCCTTTACAGCCTTTATGAAGACAACAGAAGTCAGGCAGGGTGGATGCAAACTCATTTAATAAACCCTCACAGTCAAAGCTGGAACAGAGATGTTTCTAAAGGTGAGCTGGGCTGAACAAAGATGGTCAATGGATATTCTAACCTATGTTATGTTTTCTCTACTGTTTACCAAATGGTAATTAACTCATAAATGACAGCAGTCTGGTCCAGCTGTTTCTCCAAATTACAAAAGCATACATTTCGACAAAACTGACATGGTTTCTTGGACAATGATAGACAAAGTCCCATGCACTGGTTAATGGTCACTGAGGAAGTCGGCCACAAATTTTTTCTCTCTTTTTTTCAGGGATCAGAAAATTAGTAAATGCAGACCATGGATGAAAGTTATAAGATTGCTTCCACAGAAAGGATCCAGGTGTTGGAAAAAGAACTGGCTGTACAATTGACAGAACTGAAGTCTGAGACAGAAGAACAGGGGACTCTTCAGGGGTCAACTCATTGAGCTTACAGGTAAATAAGGGCAGTGTGAAGGCATGGTCTTCAGGGGCTTTAACCCCTACTCTCATCCCATAGTCTCCATCAGAACCCCCTCTCCTTTTTACTTGGACAATTGGCATCATCTCAAGCTCAGACTTAACTGCTGCCCCTAAGGTTTTCCTACATTCTAGAATTGTCAAGGCATTTAGAGGCAGTGTGCTACCAAGGAAGAAGGAAAAGTGCTCTTACATCTCACAAATATCATTGTCTTAAAGTTCCAGAAGCTACTATACAAATCATAGTCAATAAAATCTCATTTTCTCCAATGATATTTTAACTGAATTTGACCTTGATTTTGATGAGAAATTTCAAAACGAAAATAATGTGAGGGGTTTGATAATGAATTCTGCAAAATGATGTTCTATTAGGAGCTATTCTATAGGTAAATGCTGCCAACAATAGCAATCAAATTCTTTTAGAGAGACAGGGTAGCCAATTCAGCCCTCATGGGCCCAGGACATTCAGACTCCTCTGTTTCTGCTACTGCCACAATTGGTCAAGAGGAGCAGTTATAAGGACCGTTTTAGGTTGAGTAGCTGAGTAAACACAATGTGGATGGTGAAGGTTGGAGAGGGAAGGTCTGGAGAAGAAGCAGGAAATAGGTACATTAGTACCTCCTTCCAAAGATGATTCTGAAAAACCAGTATTTAGTGTATTTTATAATTTGGTATTTAAAGCCCTGAGGTATATGAAGCAGATCAAGGATTGTGTGATGAAGTGGAAAGGGAATGGAACCATGCAAGTCATAATTTCTCCCAGCTTTTGTTCCTTTATTTGAAAGGTTAAAAATATGTACCTTGCCTACCTTATAAAGGTCAGTTGAGATCATGCATGCTAAAGCACTTTGAAAACTATAAAACACCATGCAAAGATCAAGTGTTGATATTGTTAAAACTTAAATGTCCGAGTGTCAGGCAAGGGGCTGCCCACTGTGCATTGTGGTAAGAAAGGTTTTCTGAAGTCCCTTTTAGGACAGAGTGATGGGAAATCTCTGGATACCTGTATTTCTCCACTCCCCAAAACCACCAAACACTGGACCTGAAGAATCTAACTATTAATCCAACAAACATTTATTGATCACCTTCTGTTTGCCAGGTGTTGTGCTTGGTTCTGGAGTCCATGGAAAATATCCACTCCTGATAATAACTTTAGAATTCTCATTTCCTACTAGACTACAAAATCTATTGAGAACTGGAGGATAACTGTGCCTTAGTCATCTTTCCTTCCACCCTCCCTCCCTCCCTCCCTTCCTTCTTTCCTTCCTAGCTTCCTTCCTTCTTTACCATTCTTTCCCTCATCTTGCCCCCATAAGCCCAGGTCTTTGTGGTTGTTAAGTGCTTCATAGATGCTTGCTGAATACATAGATGAATGAATGTATGTTGATGAACAAATGAGTGGATCTCTTTTTTTGGCTTGATGTACATACCATGTTCACCAATCTCTTTTAGGTCATTCGCAGACACTTTGAGGTTAACTGAAAGGAAAGGCATGGTCTGAGCATGGTCTAAGCAAGAGTGGGTCAGAGAACTAAACCCAGAATCCCACCCAATCTCCCAGCATGCCAAAGAATTAGAAGACCAAAGGGCAGGGAAGGGATGGGTTTCTTCTTTTTCTCTGACTGCCTTTAGTAGCTGGTCCCCTTTCTAGGTGGTTACTGGTTCTCCACCTCCATGAGGCTGCAGCCAGAATTCAGGTACCCAGTAATTACAGAAGTTATACCTTTGATTTATTAATGCTTTTACCCTTTCAGAGTTTGTGTCTTTTTTCCATCAAAACCAAGACATAGGGCTTCCCTGGTGGCACAGTGGTTGAGAGTCTGCCTGCCGATGCAGGGGACACGGGCTCGTGCCCCGGTCCGGGAAGATCCCACATGCCACGGAGCGGCTGGGCCCGTGAGCCATGGCCGCTGAGCCTGCGCGTCCGGAGCCTGTGCTCCGCAATGGGAGAGGCCACAACAGTGAGAGGCCCGCGTACCGCAAAAAAAAAAAAAAAAACCAAGACATGAGGAGATAAGGGAAGGCATTATTCCAACTGCAGTTGTGAATTCAACACAAATGGATCAAGCTTAGCCTCACGTGGCTGAGGGACCTCCTGACTGTCAGCCTGGTGTTCGTTTCACAGGACCACTGCCTCCAGTGGGGTGAACTGCTGGCAAGTCTATTTTTATCTTCCCTTAAAACTTATCCATGGGCACCGATAACAGTCATATGAACATTAACCATACTTTACTGACTACAGTCCCCCTCAGATCTCAAGGTGGTTTCTCACATGTGTTCCAGAACTATCTCCTGTGGCTCCCTTGCCAGTGTTCCCGAAGTCCCATCTTAAGGAAGTAACATCTGCTCCATGGTTGCAATGTTCCCAAAGCTGCCAAGCCTTGGGATGTATCTTACACCCAATGGGGAGAGCGCTCCTCTTCCTGACCCAGGATCCAACCTCTTATCAGGCCCCAGGCAGTGCTGCTTGTACCTCCTCATGTCAGAGCCTTTGGTACAAACAACTTCCTCATGATTGGGCTTGGACAGCAGTCAGAGGGTGCTTAAGCAGACACTTCTGCTATGCTTTTCCTAGGGATAAATAATTTTTCTGAAGCAGAAAGTTTGGTGAAAATAATTTCCAAAGTATTTCATGTTTGATATTTAAGGGTCATTTTCACCCTCTAGATAATTGAGCAAGAGCACAAAAATAAAAACATTTTGTTTAAATTATTAAATAATGATTTTATGTGTCAGCTACGGTAAGATAGAGGTCAGATAAGCACAGTAGTTGTTAGAAATGTGGTTACTGAAGGAAATATGGGTGGGGGAAAGAAACATCCTTACTATTGTCAGAAATAAAGAGGTAAATCAGGGGTAGAGGAAAGACGATGTTTGTATGAGAAGGAGAGAAAAACTGGCCCAGGGAAAGGTTTAACCGGCATGAGGTGTACACAAGAGAGATTCTGACTAAGACAGAAGCTTGTGGCCTTTACATGCCCCCAACATTCCAGTATAATACGATACACTTATTTAGAAATGAGCAGTTGTGGAGTTACAGATTAATCAGGGCCTATCTTTAATCTGATTTATTATAGCTTCTATAATTACAGCTTCTATTGCATAAAACTTTCTGCAGCTCTGTTCAAATGCCAAAGGACATTTCTTACTTTCAAAGAGAAAGGGAACTGGCTCTAAAGAAAACTTAACAGGTGAGTAGAAGAGTGGGCTATTTCAACACAACAATAAATTAGAATTTGCTAACTTGTTGGAAACTGTTAGCAGGGAAAGCTTATTTTTGCAAACAAACAGCTGATCTTATTGACAGTGGTTACAAAGACAAAACAGCCCAATATTCAGCTCACTGCTGGATCAGAGCAGGCCAATACTTCTTTGGAGAGATCTGATTTTTGTAGTGTTTTAAACTTTACAGTTCCTTGATTTGTGATGTTAAAATTCATTATTTGGAAATTCATTATATGTAACAGCATAATGTGTTGTATAAAAACTATCATAAATTATATGCCATTTTCCGTCATAGACCCTGATAGTTTTATTTCCTTCTTTCCTTTTGTTTGCTTGCTCCGTTCCCCACACCCCCAACCCCGGGTTCAGGTGGCTGAGTCAAAACCTCTTGTTATTCAAACAGATGTCATGCAGAGGGAGCTAGAGAGCTGCCTAAGGAGAGAGTACACTTCTGAAAATTTACCTTTGCTTCTGTTGCAGGTAAGAGTCATTTTGCAATTTGAAAAGTAGATCTGGAATTTGGTGGAAATGTATGAACAAAGCTGGCTTTCTGGTATGTCCTCTGGCCAGGGTAGGATTTTCTCTGTATGTGTGGTTTGCAGAACTTGGTTAATATAAATGCTCTTCTTTGTTAGAGACCCACGCCATTTAAGTTCAGTTTAGTTATAGTCACTAAACAATTGACTAAGTTTCTACTAGTTACTCCCTGTGCTGGTATTATGAAGCAGTACAACATTGACTAAGATAGTCGCAGACCTCAAAAACTGTTGGCTGACCTAGGGAAGATTCTGGAAATCTCTCTTAAGAAAATAACTCACAACCTGGGGGGAAAGATTTTCCATAAAGATTATTATTGCAGCATTATAATAAAAGTGAAAAAAGTTGGAATTGCCTAAAATTAATCCATTTACATTTAAGGTAGTTATCAGTATGTATGTTCCTATTACCATCTTCTTAATTGTTTGGGGTTTGTTATTGTTGGTCTTTTCCTTCTCTTGTGTTTCTTGCCTAGAGAAGTTCCTTTAGCATTTGTTGTAAAGCTGGTTTGGTGGTGCTGAATTCTCTTAGCTTTTGCTTGTTTGTAAAGGTTTTAATTTCTCTGTTGGATCTGAATGAGATCCTTGCTGGGTAGAGTAATCTTGGTTGTAGGTTTTTCCCTTTCATCACTTTAAATATGTCCTGCCACTCCCTTCTGCCTTGCAGAGTTTCTGCTGAAAGATCAGCTGTTAACCTTATGGGGATTCCTTTGTATGTTATTTGTTGCTTTTCCCTTGCTGCTTTAAATATTTTTTCTTTGTATTTAATTTTTGATAGTTTGATTAATATGTGTCTTGGCGTATTTCTCCTTGGATTTATCCTGTATGGGACTCTCTGTGCTTCCTGGATGTGATTGGCTGTTTCCTTTCCCATATTAGGAAGTTTTCAACTATAATCTCTTCAAATATTTTCTCTGTCCCTTTCTTTTTCTCTTCATCTTCTGGGACCCCCTATAATTCGAATGTTGGTGCGTTTAATGTTGTCCCAGAGGTCTCTGAGACTGTCCTGAATTCTTTTCATTCTTTTTTCTTTATTCTGCTCTGCAATAGTTATTTCCACTATTTTATCTTCCAGGTCACTTATCCATTCTTCTGCCTCAGTTGTTCTGCTATTAATTCTTTCTAGAGAATTAATTTCATTTATTGTGTTGTCCATCATTGTTTGTTTGCTCTTTAGTTCTTCTAGGTCCTTCTTAAACGTTCCTTGTATTTTCTCCATTCTATTTCCAAGATTTTAGATCATCTTTACTATCATTACTCTGAATTCTTTTTCAGGTAGACTGCCTATTTCCTCTTCATTTGTTTGGTCTGGTGGGTTTTTACCTTGCTTCTTCATCTGCTGCATATTTCTCTGTCTTCTCATTTTTTTTAACTTACTGCGTTTGGGGTCTCGTTTTTGCAGGCTGCAGGTTCATAGTTCCTGTTATTTTTGGTGTCTGCCCCCAATGGGTACGGTTGGTTCAGTGGGTTGTGTAGGCTTCCTGGTGGAGGGGACTGGGGCCTGTGTTCTGGTGGATAAGGCTGGATCTTGTCTTTCTGGTGGATAGGACCGCGTCCAGTGGTGTGTTTTGGGTGTCTGTGAACTTATGATTTTTGGCAGCCTCTCTGCTAATGGGTGGGATTGTGTTCCTGTCTTGCTAGTTGTTTGGCATAGGGTATCCAGCACTGTAGCTTGCTGGTTGTTGAGTGGAGCTGGGTCTTAGCGTTGAGATGGAGATCTCTGGGAGAGCTTTCGCTGATTGATATTACGTGGGGCTCGGAGGTCTCTGGTGGACCGATGTCCTGCACTCGACTCTCCCACCTCAGAGGCTCAGGTCTGACACCCGGCCAGAGCACCAAGAACCTGTCAGCCACTTGGCTCAGAAGAAAAGGGAGAAAAACAAAAAAAGACAGAAAGAAAAAAAATAAAATAAAGTTATTAAAATTAAAAAATTATTAAAAATAAAATATAAAAACGAAAGAAGAGAGCCACCAAACTAAAAGTCAACTCCACCAATGATAACAAGCACTAAAAACAATACAAAAAAAAAAAAAACCAGACAGAACCCAAGGACAAATGGTGAAAGCAAAGCTATACAGACAAAATCACACAAAGAAGCGTACACATACACACTCACAAAAAGAGAAAAAGGAAAAAAATATATTAAAAAAAAAGACAGCAACCAAATCAATAAACAAATCTACCAGTGATAATAAACTCTAAATGCTAAACTAAAATAAACATAAAACCAGAAACAAATTAGATGCAGAAAGCAAACCCCAAGTCTACAGTTGCTCCCAAGGTCCACTGCCTCAATTTTGGGATGATTCATTGTCTATTCAGGTTTTTCACAGATGCAGCGTACATCAAGTTGACTGTGGAGATTTAATCCGCTGCTCCTGAGGCTGCTGGGAGAGATTTCCCTTTCTCTTGTTTGTTCGCTCAGCTCCTGGGATTCAGCTTTGGATTGGCCCTGCCTGTGTACGTAGGTCACCTGAGGGCGTCTGTTCTTTGCTCAGGCAGGACGGGGTTAAAGGAGCAGCTGATTCGGGAGCTCTGGCTCACTCAGGCCGGGGGGAGGGAGGGGTACGGAATGCGGGGCGAGCCTGAGGCGGCAGAGGCCAGCGTCACGTTGCAACAGCCTGAGGTTCGCCATGTGTTCTCCCGGGGAAGTTGTCCCTGGATCACGGGACCCTGGCAGTGGTGGGATGCACTGGATCACGGGACCCTGGGAGTGGTGGGATGCACAGGCTCCCGGGAGGGGAGGTGTGGATAGTGACCTTTGCTTGCACACAGGCTTCTTGGTGGCTGCAGCAGCAGCCTTAACGTTTTCATGCCCATCTCTGGGTTCCGCGCTGATAGACACAGCTCGCACCCGTCTCTGGAGCTCGTTTAGGCAGTGCTCTGATTTCCCTCTCCTTGTGCACCCCGAAACAATGGTCTCTTGCCTCTTAGGCAGGTCCAGACTTTTTCCCGGACTCCCTCCCAGCTAGCTGTGGCAGACTAGCCCCCTTCAGGCTGTGTTCACTCTGCCAACTCCAGTCCTCTCCCTGGGATCTGACCTCTGAAGCCCGAGCCTCAGCTCCCAGCCCCCGCCCGCCCTGGCGAGTGAGCAGACAAGCCTCTCGGGCTGGTGAGTGCTGGGCGGCACCGGTCCTCTGTGCGGGAATCTCTCTGCTTTGCCCTCCGCACCCCTGTTGCTGCGCTCTCCTCCAAGGCTCCGAAGCTTCCCCCACCTCCCACTCCCCATCTCCACCAGTGAAGGGACTTCCTAGTGTGTGCAAACTTTTCCTCCTTCACAGCTCCTTCCCAGAGGTGCAGGTCCCTATTCTTTTGTCTCTGTTTTTTCTTTTTTCTTTTGCCCTACCCAGGTACGTGGGGATTTTCTTGCCTTGTGGGAAGTCTGAGGTCTTCTGCGAGCATTCTGTAGGTGTTCTGTAGGAGTTGTTCCACATGTAGATGTATTTTTGATGTATTTGTGGGGAGGAAGGTGATCTGTACATCTTACTCCTCCGCCATCTTGAAGGTCCCTCCTCCAAATATGTTTTCTATCTTTATCCCTCCTTCTGGGACTCCAGTGATATATATGTTAAATTACTTCATATTGTTCCGTAAGTCATTGAGGCTCTGTTAAATCTTTTTCTGTCTTTTTTTCCCCCAGTGCTTCATTTTGTATAGTTTCTATTGCTATATCTTCAAGTTTACTAATCATTTCTTCTGCACTGTCTAATCTGCTGTTAATCACTTCCAATGAATTTTTTATTTCATATAGCTTTCATTTCTAGAAGTTCTATTTCATTATTTTTCTTATATAAATTTATTTATTTTATTTTTTTTGGCTACGTTGGGTCTTTGTTGCTGCACACAGGCTTTCTCTAGTTGCGGCGAGCGGGGGCTACTCTTTGTTGCAGTGCATGGGCTTCTCACTGCAATGGCTTCTTTTGTTGTGGAGCACAGGCTCTAGGTGTGCAGGCTTCAGTAGTTGTGGCACTCAGGCTCAGTAGTTGTGGCTCGTGGGCTCTAGAGCGCAGGCTCAGTAGTTGTGGCACACGGGCTCAGTTGCTCCGTGGCATGTGGGATCTTCCCAGTCCAGGGCTTGAACTCATGTCCCCTGCATTGGCAGGTGGATTCTTAACCACTGTGCTACCAGGGAAGTCCCTATTTCATTATTTTTAATAGTTTTCATTTCTCTTCTTATGTTTACATTTTCCTTTCAATTCTTGAACATACTGAGCATATTAATAAAATCCCTTTTAAAGTCCTTGTTTGCTAATTTCCTCACTGGTGCCATTTCTGGGTCTGTTTGTCTTCATTAATTTTTCTCCTGCTTGTGGGTCATATTTTCCTGCTTCTTTGCATGTCTAGTAATTTTTTTGGACACTGGGCTTGCAGTTTTACATTACTGAATGCTGATTTTTTTTTTTTTTGTATTCCTTTAAAGATGTTGGTCTTCATTCTGGTGGGCAATTAAGTTTTAGATCAGCTTCACACTTACAAGGCTTGGTTTTTAAGCTTTGTTAGAGCAGGTTTAGAGTTACCTTTACTCTAGAGATAGTTTATTTTTCTTACTAAATTGTCACCTCTCTCATGTCTCTGCTGAATACCCCAGGTATTCAGTGAGGACTCTTCACCCTGTCTGATTGAAACGTGAACATCTCCTAGTCCTGTTTGAACTCTGAGAAATGTTCAGTTTACAGTTCCCTAGTTAGTTATTTGCACAGCCTCATGGAGTTTTGCTCTCTGTATTCAGGGCTTAATAGTCAGCAAAAAACTCAAAGGGATCTCTATGCAGATTTCTGGAACCCTTTTTCTGCATAACTTTCTCCTCTCCAGTACTCTGCCCTGCAAACTCCAGCCAACTCAGCTTCCCAAACGTGATTTTGGAGAGACCATCGTGCTCTGCTTTCCTACTCTATGGTTCAAAAACTGCCTTCTTCAGGCAGAAAACCAGGACTCATTTCATTTTTTTCCTTTCTTTCAAGGACAAGAGTCCTGCATTGTCTGTTGTCTCATGTCAGAAAACAGTTGCCTTGTGTAATTTGTCCTATATTCTAGTTGTTTATGATGGAAGGATAAGTCTGGCCCTATTTATTCCATCATAGCCACTATTATTTTTATCAGAAATAAAATATTTTAAAAGAGTTGGCTTATCTGACTATCTTTAAGTATAAGTAAAATTCTTGGTCTAAGGTTAGAAGCTGTAATCTCACTTGTAATGTGCTTTGTATTTTAGAGTCATAAAGTTCAGTTTAAAAGAAAACTTTTAAGCTTAGCTTTAGATAATTTTATAGGCTTTTATGTCACTGCTAAAATTGTTCACCAACTGATAAATGAAACTACAATCTGTTGGAATGGCAAAATGCCTACTTGCTTCATTTAAATTTGAATGGTGAACCAGGTTTGGTTTTTTTGGTTTTGTTTTGTTTTTATTTGTTCCCCCCTCCCTCTCCACCCTCTTTAATTGGAGAGCTTTTCTCTCCAAATCAATTTTGAGACAGGTTTCTCAATTTTATTATCTTCATGTAGAAAATACATCTTTCTAAAACAATCAGACTTATTTTCCCATTATATGTGTTCTTAAGATTTAATCCAGTCTTCCTGTTATAATTGTATCCTAAGTGTTCATTTTTTCTTTCCACCTTTGGTAAGAATCTTAACCAAATAGACTTTATTTTTTTTTTTTAAATAACAATATGTACTCCACCCACCTTGCAACATCGTTGAGTTATATATATTTATTTATAAAGTAATATGTTTTAAATAGTAAATGTATACATGTAATTAGTAAATGTATAAGAATATATATGTATATATAGATATGTAGAAAGTACTCTGTAAACCATGAAGCCCTATAAAAATTTGGGGTGCCATTATTTCCTCTTATTATGTATGCATTTGATTCACCTGTTTATGTATCTTACTATGCATCTATTCAGGGCAGAGTCTAGGTTGTAAATTGTTGAAGTACAAGATTCATGACTTTTGACAACCTGGGGGAGACTCCAGATAGTAAACTAAGCAAATGCTTAAAAAATGGCCTTTTGAGACTTCCAGTTCCACAAACATGAAGTAATCTCATTCCTCCAGGTTGTTCCTAAAAAAATCCTGGACATAGCACAGAAAGCAAACGTAGGAATATTTTGAAAGGTAGAAAGAAGTTAGGCTGCATAGCACAGAAAACAAACATAGGAATATTTTGAAAGGTAGAAAGAAGTTGGGCTGCTTTCCTAAGGGGTCTTAGGACTTGACAAATGACATGGTAGTTAAGTGTTAATTTTTCTTGTTGTTGTTAAAGTATTATACAGAGAGAATTACCCAGCTGGCCCAGAGTAAATATTTACACATGCTTAGGTGGAAGAGATTTTGCCATCACAGTAAGATCACGGAGCAACTTTATCCGTTTTATAAGGTAGGAGGCCCATGAACAGAACCTATGGGCTATTATTAAGTATAGTCATCATGTTTGTACATTATATCTCTAGACTTATTCATCCTACATAACTGTAAATTTGTACCCTTTGGCCAACATCTCCCCTTTTCCCCCAGCCCCCCAGCCCCTGGCTACTACTGTTCTATTCTCTGCTTTTATGAGTTTGACCTTTTTTTTTCAGCTTCCACATACAAAGGATACCATACAGTATTTGTCTTTTTCTCTGGCTTATTCCACTTAGCATAATGTCTTCCATATTTATTCATGTTGTTACAAATATTAGGATTCCTCTCTTCCTCATGGCTGAATAATACTCCATTATATGTGTATGTACCACATCTTCTTTATCCATTCATCCATCAACAGACTCTTAGGTTTTTATATTTTGGCTATTGTGAATAATGCTGCAATTGAACATGGGAATACAGATATATCTTCAAGATACTGATTTTGTTTTCTTTGGATGTATACCCAGAAGTGGAATTGCTGGATCATATGGTAGTTCTGTTTTTAATTTTTTGAGGAATTTCCATACTGTTTACATAATAGATGTACCAGTTTCCATTCCCACAGTGTATCTTGTCAATTTCTTTTAAAGTGGTAGCTAAAGTTGGGAAGGGAACTAGTGGCTGCCTTTACTTGCCAGTTCTGCCTGTGGCAGAAGAAAATGGTACCTATTTTTAAGAATGAGATTTGAAGGAAGCTTTATATTATAGAAAATGCATTTTTCTTCATAGGCTACAGGTAAAAATCTAAGAAGTCAACTCCAGTTACTAAATATCCTTGTGCACTGACTCTTTGCTGGGTCACTCTCCTTCAGAGTCCTAAGAATGTGACTGATCACTGTCCTTGTCAGTCAAATTCAGAATATGGAAGAATTTTGATATTCCAAAAGCCTCTTATTTGGTTCCCAAACAGTATTACACTGTACTTGGAAGCAAATGACACAAGAAATAAGGCTTGTAAATAACCAAGTTCTGTCTTTGCATCTCTCTTAAACAGAAACAAGTTGCCTACATTATGCAGGAGTACAATGTTGCCCTTCAGAGAGCTGATAGATTGTTGCAGGAGAAAACTTCCTTATGGGAAAAAACAATCCTCCTAACTTAGTGGCACAGGAAGACCTGACTGTTTACACAAATTAGTTATTGTGTCACCTACCCTCACTCAAGACTATTCACCACTACCTGCAGGTACGTGAAACAGTTATATGGTGATGTAGTGCCTTCCCAGGATGGGCAGCACATTGTTTTCTCACACCTCTCACTTAGTTTTCGATTGTCAGTTTCTGTGTTCCCTGCCTTACAAATGACAAGAAAATAATGGGTCACTAGCTTTTTTCTTTGAGACCTTTGAAACTTTTTTATTTTGGAACCTTGCTCTAATGAAATTACTCCATTTAGCTTTTTCAAAGATGTTTCTGTTAAACTATTTCATATTCACGCTATAAGTTCTTGTTTTCATCCTCTTGTTCTGGATTTATGCTGTCTAATGTAGATCCACTTTTTTATTCAGCAACATCTAGTGAGGGTCTAATTTATGCCAGGTACATATCCTGGGCCATGTAGGGAATATATAATCTTTGCTGAAAAGTAAGTGGGTCACAGGATGGTAGGAAAAAGGGCAAGTAAATAGTCAACTTAAATACAGTGTGGTAAGTATAATCACAGAGTAAAGAGAGTCACAGAGGAGAGGCCCTAACACAAGATAGAGGAATCAGAAAGCAGTGACGTGATCAAGTTTGTTTTAGAAAGATTACTGTTTTGCCACCTAATCTTTTCTTACTCCTCTATACCTCACCTCACTGATACAACCAACCACGAAACCTGGCCATCATCCTGACATCATCCCTTCCCCAATCAGTCACTATGGGATCTACCTCTGAATCATCTCTCCCCTGTCACATGGTATAGTAATGATAGTAATGATCTGCTTATAAGTCCTGGGTCCCCCACTAAACTCTGAACTCTTTGAATTTGGTCCATATCTTATTTATCTTTGTATCTCTAGCACCTCACACAGTGCCTTGTCCGTTATGGGTGGTTGATCAATGTAGACCTGCCTAGAGGTTAAGGCCACTTAGAGGTGGTGATATCACCAGGTCCCCCAGCTTCAGATTTACCTTTCATGATAGGGCAAGTTACTGAGGCCCACCTCCACCTCCTTCCTCCTCTGCAAAGTCAAGGGCTGCTCCTGAAACAAAGTCTGGAAGCTTCTGTGAGAACTGAGTTGATGTGTGATCTCTTGGTTGTCCCCTTCTGTAGGCCCTCCAGTATTTGCCCATCTCCAAAGTGCTGAGTGTAGCTGTTGATGAAGTCCCCAAGGTTGGTCAGGAAAATGAAAAGGTCCCTGTCAATGACATTGACCCTAACATCCAGGGTTCTGTATCTCCAGGCTCTATGAATACCAGCGTTTCAGGTAAGAAGTCTTCTTTCCCCTTGGGAAATGTGGAAAAAAGAAGATTGTGATTTTGCACATGTGCTGTTTTGTCACCTGATCTTGCTTGAAATTTCTCTATATACCAAAAAGTTATATCTTTTTTTTTTAATTTGGCCACACCACTCAGCCTGTGGGATCTTAGTTCCCCAACCACGGATGGAACCTGGGCCTCAGCAGTGAAAGCACTGAGTCCTAACCAGTGGACCACCAGGGAATCCCCCAAAATTGTACCTTCTTAATTAACAAGTGTTAATTTAATATTTTCTGATGGAAGAAAATAACAAACACTTCCCTTAGAAATTATCATCTCCATCCTGGGGACTTCTGGCAGTCCAGTGGCTAAGACTCCACATTTCCAATGCAGGGGGTGCGTGTTCAATCCCTGGTCAAGGAATTAAGATCCCATATACCATGTGGGGCTGCCAAAAAAAAAGAAAAGAAATTATTATCTCCATCTTTATAACTAGACAATTAAAATAGAGGAGAAAAGCAATGAACTTGAAGTTGGGAGTACTGAGCTCTAGGCCTGTTCTGTTGTGGCCTCACTGTGAGCCTACATGTTTAAGTCATTTCATCTCCTTGGGCCTCAATTTACTCATCTCCATAATAAACCTTTCAGATGAAGTGATCTCTAAGGTTCTTTTCATTTTTAATTTTACATGATTTTTAAAGACTTTGCTTATCTGAATCAATTTAATAGTCTTCTTGCCCTTACCTTGTATTACAGATGACTTAGAAACCTGATCAGGTTTTCACTCTGCGTGATGAATTTACCAGGTGCACCTGGAGAGGCAGCCAACCCAGCTGTGGGGAATCAGAGAAAGCATATCCAGGGGCAAGTCCAACCTGGGTGCTTAGAGATGAGTAGGAGTGAGCCAGGCGAAAGGAGGTGAAGGTTCTCAGCTTCTCCTAATTTGTTTGTTAACTTATAAATCATATTCTTTGTTTACCCCAAAGGACTATAGGTAGTTCTGTTCCCACTAAGTCATTCCCCAAAAGATATGTTGGGTTTCTTCTGCAGTCTGTGAGAAGGGAGGGTCCTGGCTACCTCCCCCAGAAAGCCAGCACCAAGAATTTGTCAGATAGGCCTGGCTGAGTGTGGGACAGTCTACAGATTGTGGAAGAGAAGGTTGGGCATGGAGCAGAATGGTCTTCCCCATCAGCAGAAGAAGCCCTGACTCCAGTTATCTCAAAGGACTCTCCTTTTTCTCTCCCTGACTGGTGTTCATTGGTGTTAGTGCTCTTGATTTTGGATTTTTTTTCAGGGCCAACAAGAACAGAAGCTGCTTTCTTTCTGCCCCAACACACAACAGAAACAGAAGAACTGAAACCTCAGCTAAGGCTCCTGCTCTCCCATTTCAGTATCCCATATGACATGGAAGAGCTAAGGGATGCTTCTGAGGAGATAGAACTTTTTTCCTTGGTACTTTATGGATTCTTTCTTAATACAAATATAGGTGTTCATAAAAGAAAATACTAGTATTTGCCACAAAGTTGAATATTCATACTGCCACAATTGTTTCCAGAGTGATAAAATGTAATAAGTGAAATTTAGACTAGCAGTTGAACTTTCTCTCTGTAAGAGTTATGAGCCCCTTGAATATCCAGCCCAGAGGGATTGTAGGATTATTTTTCAGTGGAATTTAAAGAAAATGGTAGGTTATAATCCATAGTAGATAATGTAAACATAGCCAAGACTTGGCAGTTTTATATTGTGGAGTTGTTTAGTGTCTAAAGCCCTTTGATTACCAGAAAGTGTTCCAATAGCTCTCCTATTGGCAAAATGCTTTATATTCAGTAGAGTGTATATTGTGTAGTGATTTTTAAAGTCACGCAGTCTAGTCTGCTATCACATGGCGTTGCACCTCCTTGAAAAAAAATCATCCTATCAGAAGCCATGTTAAAACTTGTTTCAAAGGGAAAAATAGGATTGTATGTAGAGAACCTCGAATTTACAATAATAAAGTTTTCAGCCAGAGTTTCAACATAAAGATATTTTTCTAGCTCTGGGTGTATAATATTTGTAAATATATATATTTGTTAGGTAAAAATAGTAAGTTGATTATCCAAAAAGGCAAAGATCAAATCTGTATGTTTTTGAACATTCTTCGTGTAAGAAGGAGCCACTGTTTCATCACCATTTGCTTTGCCCTTGCAGTTCTGCATCCATGTGTATTTGTTCCAGCATGATTTTCCTAGGATTATTTTTATTAGTATGTAACACAGACTCTTTAAGCTCACTGAAACCAGTGGTATGACATGTCCTCTGGTTTCTTTGAAGGTGATGATGATGTTTAGCTTTTGTCTTTCTTTTCATATCAGCAGCAGCACTGTCTTCAGCAGAGAGTGCTTCTATGGGAATATCCTCACCCTCATTATCAGCGTCCTATGATAGACGAAAACCAGAATCAGAACAAGGTGGTGTTTAAAAAGAGTCCAAATAAATAAAAGTAGTTTATGGCACAGTAGACTATCATCGGTGATAACAAAGGAACATGAGGCTGCAGAGCCCTCCCACAGAGCAGCCCTGTCCCCAAAGGATAGCTTGTCTTCTTTATATAGAGACAGTTTCTACTTTTGATTTCCTTATAACAGTATTATGCACAATGCTAATTGTGCTTCCAAGATAATCACACTACAACAAATTTTTCGTGTAGGAAGAATTTCTACAAACAGGAAGAGTGTTTATTTTGGTTCTCTAATGCCCTAGAGCAGGGTCAGCAAACTACAGCCTATAGCCCACCACCTAGTTTTTCTGCAATAAAGTTTTATTGGAGTACAGCCATGCCATTTCATTTATGTACTGTCTGTGGCTGCTTTCCACTATAACTGCAGAGTCGAGTAGTTGCAACAGAGCCCATGTGGTCTGCAAAGTCTAAAATATTTACTATCCACCCCTTTAGGAAAAAGTTTGCCACCCTAGCCTTAGACTAGCACTGTCTCATCGAACTTCCTGCACTGAGGGGTATGATCTGTGTCTGTCCGATGTGTTAACACTAGTCACATGTGGCCTTTGAGCACTTGAGATGTGGGTAGAGTAAATGAACTAAATTTTAAATTTTATTTAATTTTAATAAATTTGCATTTAAATGTTAAATAGCCACATGTGGCTGGGGCAACAGTATTGGACAGCACAGCCTGGGAGGTACCAGCATTAACTGGAAGAATCTTTAGCTCTGTGACTCACTGAACTTATTTATTCCAGAAACCTTTGTTGAGGCCCTACTGTGTGCCAGCACTGTGGTAGGTTCTTTCTCTCTCTCTATCTCTCTGTCTTTTTCTCTGCCTGTCTTTCTGTCTCTGTGTGTGTGTAATAAAATATACATAAGATTTACTATTAACTATTTCTAGGCTCAGTGGCAGTAAGAGCATCCACATTATTTTACAACCATCACCATGTGGTAGATTCTAGAGATCCCTCAAAAAGTTCACCTTGTACTGAGGAAGTCGTGACGCCCTGTGGCTGGTACACTGATGAATGTGCTCGCATGGCTTGGTAGGCCTGGGTCTGCCCTGGAGAAGGGAGGAAGCAGTATCTACATCTTGGCAGTAGGAAGTTATATCATAGAATGCACTGGTAGCCTCAGTCTGGAACTGAGATGTGAGGGGTTTGACTGAGGTACCTTAAAGATTTTTAACAGGCCCCAGCATCTGGACCCTTCTCTCTAGCAATATCCTGGTCAGGCTTCTGAGAGCAGGATTTATCTAACCCTTAGATTTTCTCATTTACCAGGTGGCCAGGAAAAGGGAATGTGTTTCCAAAGATGGACAGTTTACTTCCCATTTATGGTCCAACTCAAAATACATATAAATAAATATATTACATTATTTCTAATCTTTGGAGCAGATATTCAGAACAAGTAACACGACACACAGTTATGGTAATGGGCTGACTGAATACATGTGCCCCTTAGGTATATACCTTTAAGGTCCTGTTACTGTCATAGAATCATGTTTTATGAATTAGTTTGACTCCAGGACTGTTTCAGAGGCAATCAGTACCTGTTTCTGAAATTGCCTACAACCTGAGTCTTTTTTTTCTGGGCTCCGCTTCTCTTTTCTCAATCCTATTTAGGTTTCCCCAAAATTTCAAAGCATCTTCATGGAGCAACAGAGAATGCGAACATTTCCAGATTATGACGCTGAGATAGCTAAAGTGGAGAATTTGGGTTTGGTAGGACCTGGTATGGCCTTGAAAAAGAGAGCCAACTGGATTTCCTTTATAAAGGTAAGGAGACCTGTGGTGACAGTCACCTGTGAATGATGTAAGCAGTGTCATAAAGTGTCCTCCAGGGAGGCCAGGCAATGTGGCAGCATCAGGTCTGTCAGATCCCTATCATCCCCTCTCCTCAATGCCCTCAGCAAACTGTCCCCTAGGAGCAAGGGTAGGTGCCTACCTGACTCAGGAGAGGCAGCTCAGAGAACCTGGCCTTGCATACCAGCATCTCCAAGCTCCTTCCTGCCTCGGGTCTATGTTGAAGTTAACCAGGCTGATCTGCCTTCTCTGGAAGTTCCCACATACTCCTGTGCCCCTCTCCTTTGTGTCAGAACTCCTTTCTTGTTGTTAGTGACCTTGGCTACTTGTCAAGAACAAAGAATAACACTCAAAGTTATAATTGAGCTGTGTAAATCCAGTTTTTTAGTCAAAAACTATTTATTGACTACATATTGTGTGTCACGCATGGCCCTTGGTGCTGGAGATACACAATTCACAATAATACGAAAGTGAGCAGATTAAATGAGATGATTTGAGGTAGTGGTAAATACAGTCGATTCTCATTATTTGGGGTGGTTATGTTCTATAAAGTTGCCACGAACACTGAATTAAATCCTGAACCACAGCTCATAGGGGAAATACGGGGTTAGGTTCATCATACATAATCAATACATAACTACTTATTGTGTGTTTCTGTTTAAAGACACTTTATTTTATATATGTTGTTGATTCATTAACATTGAACTCATGGCCTATAACTCATGCCTGAATGAAGCTTTTTGAACACAATTCCTTCTGTAAGACACATCACAGCCTTCCTATACTTAGGAACACGAGGGAGCTCTTCAGCTCTATGCTTGGGGGCCATTTTAAACAGTGAAATAGCTAACGAAAAGCACAAAAAATATTAAAATGTGGCACTAACTAGACCGTAAAAAGGACATTTGTTTACAGTATAAGCTGAAACAACAAGGTGGAATGTCAACTTGTTTGACCTCAGCTGGAAATACAGAGTTGGGTGATTCAAGCTTTTCACTATTCTGTGCATGTCCATGATTGTCCAGGAAAGCTCTGAATAGATTTTGAGATTACAAATAAGTTTTAGTGAGTAGGCAAATCCACAAATACGAAACCCATGAATAATGAGGATCAACTGTATCATGAAGGAAAGAAAAGCCTTATGTGATAAAGATGGATGGAAGGAAAGCAGAGAAACCACAGATTATTCCTAAATCTGGGGCTTGAGCAAATAGGTGGTTGGTATAGGGGAAGCCAGGCTTTCTGTTTTAGATTGTTACACATGCCATTCAAGTATAAATATCAAGGAGATAGTTGGATATAACAGGCTGGAGCTTAGAGCTAGATCTAAATTTGAGAGTTGTCAGTATATTGATGTAGTGATATTTACAGCCATAGTACTAATTTTTTAAATACAACTTGTTAATATGAAAGGTGAAGTTTTACATGTGGAACCAAAAGGGGTTTTGTGGGGTTTTTTTTTTTGGCTGCAGTACAAGGCTTGTGGGATGTTAGTTCCCCAACCAGGGATGGAACCCGCGCCCCCTGCATTGGAAGCGCAGAGTCTTAACCACTGGACCGCCAGGGAAGTCCCGCCACAAGGAGTTTTTGTGGACAAACTTCTCTTGCCCCATAAATTAAGTGCAATGCCCAACACTGATGGAATTGGAGTCCCTTCTGCCATTGGATAGTGCTGTGTCATCCCAGATGGAGCTACTGCATCTCACAGGCCAGGTAGAAACAAGAACTTCTGTTGCCATCTCCCTCCACAGATCTGTGAAGCCACACAGACCCTTTCCAAGACTTCACATGCTCTAGCACACTTCCTAGCACTAAAGGCCAGATCCCATTTCAGAAGGTCCTTTATTCTCTTTGCTTGCAACTTTTATTGAAAACCATTCTGTTATATTGTAAGTTTGTGTGAACATGTTTGTCCACTAGATTAAGCCAAAATGTGATCCTTGGCAAAAGAAGCTTTTGACCAAACTAAAAGAACGGAGAACAGATGTATTAATGCAACTCCAAGCAAAGTTTTTGAAGGTAAAAAAAGAACCATGATCCCTTGTAGATAAAATTCTGTTCTCAGAAAATTGAATTCTTCCCACTTTTAAAAAATGTTAGTTATGGTTTCACTACGAAGGCTATATTTGGAATTTTCTAATCTAATCGCCAAACTTTTTTATCCTGTTAGCTTTCACTAGAGAGTAACAATTGTCAAAACAGCTGGATTTTAGTACAGCTTTAACACTAAGTCTCTGTGTGATATTGCTCTAGTCACATAACCTCTTTGAGTTTTAGTTTCCTCATCTGTGAAACCAAAATATTGGACTAAATTACCTTATTTTTATTGTGGTAAAAAAAAAACACATAGCATAAAATTTATCATCTTAACCATTTTTAAGTGTACAGTTCATTAGTGTTCAGTATATTCACAGTGTTGTGAAATAGATCTCCAGAACTTTTTCTCTTGCAAAGCTGAAACTCTCTGCCTACTAAACAACTCCTTATTTCCTCCTCCTCCTAGCCCCTGTCAACCACATTCCACTTTGTTTCTGAATTTGACTGCTCTTAGATACCTCATATACATAGGATCATACAGTATTTGTACTTTTGTTCTGGCTTATTTCACTTATCAGAATGTCCTCAAAGTCCATCCATGTTGTAGCATGTGACCAGATTTCCTTCTTCCTTGTTTTTCATGAACATTTATATCAGCTTTATTCACAATATCCAAAAACTGCAAACAATCTGGATGTCCTTCAGTGGGTGAATAAACTGAAGTACATCCATACCCTGAAATAGCAATCAGCTATAAAAAAGGATCAAATTACTGAGATACTCAAGAACTTGGATGAATCTCCAGAGAACTGTGTGAGTGAAAAAACTCAATCCCATAAATACTGTATGAGTCCATTTATACAATACTCTTGAAATGACAAAATTATAGAAATAGAGAACAGATTCATGGATTCTAGGGGTTAAGGAGAGACTGGAGGGGAAGGGAAGGGAGTGTAACTATAAAAGGGCAACATGAAGGATCCTTGTGATGAATCTGTTCTATATCTTGCCTGTATCAATGTCAATATCCAGGTTGTGATACTGTACTATAGTTTGCAAGATATTAACATTGGGGGAAACAGAGTGAGGGTTACATGGGATCCCTTTATATTATTTTTTTCCTTTTTTCCTTCTCTTTCCTTAAATTGTGGTAAAATACACAAAACATGAAATTTACCATTTTAACCATTTTGAAGTGTACAGTTCAGTGGTATTAAGTAATTCATATTGTTGTACAACCATCACCACCATCCCTCTCCAGAACTCTTTTCATCTGGCAAACTGTAACTCTTTACCCATTAAACAGTAACTCCTCATTCCTCTCTCCCCCTAGATCCTAGCAACCACCATTCTATTTTCTGTTTCTATGAGTTTGACTACTCTAGGTACCACATATTATGGAAGTATACAGTATTTGTGTTTTTGTGACTGGCTTATTTTACCCACCATAATGTCCTCAAGGTTCATCCATGTTGTAGGGGATGTCAGAATTTCCTTCCTTTTTAATGCTGAATAATATTTCTTTGTATGTATCCACCACATTTTAACTGTTCATTTGTTGTTGGACATTTGGGTTGCTTTCGCATCATGGCTGTTGTGAATAATGCTACTGTGGACACGGATGCGTAAATATCTCTTTGAGATCCTGCTTTCAGTTCTTTTGTATATGTACCCAGAAGTGGAATTTCTGGATTGTAAGATAATTCTGTTTTTAATTTCTTTTGAGGAAGCTCCATAGTATTTTCCATAGTAGTTGCAGCATTTTACAATCCCACCAATAGTGCAAAAGGGTTCAACTTCTCTGTATCCTCACTAACAGTTGTTATTTTCTTTCTTTCTCTTTTTTTTTTACATTAGTCATCTTAATAGATATGAGGTGATGTTTCACTGTGGTTTTGCTTTTCATTTCTCTAATGATTAGTGATTTTGAGCATTTTTTCATATGCTTGTTGGTCATTTGTATGTCATATTTGGAGAAATGTCTTTTGAAATTATTTGCCCATTTTTTAATTGGGTTATTTGATTTTTAAAGTGTTAAGTTGTAGGAGTTCTTTATATATTCTGGATATTAACTCCTTATCAGATATATTATTTGCAAATATATTCTCCCATTCTGTAGGTTGCCTTTTCACTCTGTTAATTTTGTCCTTTGCACAGAATTTTTTAAGCTTGATGTAGTCATGTTTGTCTGTGTTTGGTTTTGTTTTTTAAGATTTTTGTGTGTGTGTGATGTGGACCATTTTTAAATTCTTTATTGAATTTGTTACAATATTGCTGCTGTTTTGGTTTTTTGGCCACGAGGCATGTGGGATCTTAGCTCCCTGACCAGGGATCGAACCTGCACCCCTGTATTGGAAGGCAAAGTCTTAACTACTGGACCACCAGGGAAGTCCCTGATTTTTTTTTTTTTTTGACTGTTCTTTTTGTGTCATATCCAAGAAATCATTGCCAAGTTCAGTATCATGAAAAATTTCCCCTGTTTTCGTCTAAGAGTTTTATAAAGTTTTAGGTCTTATGTTTAGATCTTTAATCCATTTTCAGTTAACTTTTGTATATGGTATAAGATAAGGATCCAACTTCATTATTTTGTATGTGGCTATCCAGTTTTTCCCCAGAACCATTTGTTGAAGAGACTGTCCCCTTCTCTTTTGAGTGGTCTTGACACCCTTACTAAGATCATTTGATTATACACTCAAGGGTTTATTTCTAGGCTCGCTATTTTATTCCATTGGTCTGTATGTCTAATGTATGCCAGTACCACACCATTTTGATTAATGTAGCTTTGTAATATGTTTTGAAATCAGGAAGTGTGAGTCCTCCAACTTTGTTCTTCTTTTTCAAAATTATTTTTGCTATTTGGGGTCCCTTGAGATTCCATATGCATTTTAGGATGAATTTTTCTACTTCAACAAAAAATGCCACTGGGATTTTGATGGGGATTGGACTAAATTATCTTTGAGGTTCCTTGTGGTATTAAAATAATTGAAATATAGTAATATGTGTATCGTTGAAGTAGAAGTTCAGCTCTGGGACTATTATTTGATTTTTTTACCTCTAGAGGAGGAAAAGGAACATTTATTCAGCACTTACTACATGCCAGGCATTATTGCAGCAATCCTAGGAGAGACCTCACTAGTGTTCTTGTTAGGTTGACTTGTCCTGCTTTGCATGAAAAGCCAGGATTCCAGCAGGAATATGAGCCCAGGTCTGTGTCCTTACAAAGCCTGTGCTTTTCTCACACTACCCAGCTGCCTCCCCCTCTATCTCCTCACAGCTTCCTAGGAGTAGACAAACCTAAAACTGATGAGTGTTTATCTTTTCATTGGTGCCACAACACGTGTGGGGGTGCACCTGCTGTTGTGTTGAGGGGGTTGTCACAGAATTTTAAATGAGTTGCTGTGTACATATGAATAGCTACAGTGTTGAATGGAGGAACATGCCTAAGGGAATCATGATGTTTGAGTTTACTTTTATTTTTTAATTGAATAAAGTCCCACCTGGGACTTCTTTCTTATTCATGTGAACATGACCAGATTCTTGCTGAAAAGTAGGGAATAACCCTTCTCCCAACCATCCCTTCTCCTCTCTCTTCTACTCAAGATTTCCAACCCTGAGAGAGTAATGCAAGTGCTCCAAGATCATGCTGCAAAAACAGTCTCGCTGGCTTCGTCTCATCCAACATTTGTGGCTTCCCAGGGTTTGCATCAGGGCAACTATGACCAAATCTGGGAGACTGTTTATAGCAACATCAACCTCTACCAGGTACAACAGGAAGAAATAACCAATACGCCTTTCTGTTCAACTCACCACCTGTGTGTAGACCTTAGAAATTTACTTTAGTAGTTTTTTTAGAGATCCTCCCCTAAAAGCTGTATACCTAGCTGGGTTTGTTTTCATTATAAAAAATATTAAATGATAATTTGAAAGAGGGATGTAAAGAGGTGTAATACAAGATGTTCTTGCTGCCGGGACTTATACTCAACCAGTAAATACCAATGCAAAGTTGCACACTCTAGTGCTGAACACTAGATGAGTTGGACAGATGTTAAATATTGTGAGTATTTAGAGAGAAAGTGATCTTCACAGGGTTGGTTCTATTGGGGGAAGTCTCTTGAAGGAGGAGGAAATTGAGCTGGGCTTGAAGGAAGCATAGGGCTTAGGGAAGTGGTAGTGGAGAGGGAAGTGGGGAGCCTATTCCAGGAGGGAAGCATGAACAACAGTGCAGAGGAGATACGGTATATGGAGTGTTCAAGCTCAGTTAGGTTGAGTGGAAGAGTCACATGGAAATAGAGTGAAGAGAAGTTTTTTTTGGGGGGGGGCGGGTAGGGGCATCTTGTGAATGCCCAGAATTCCAGACTAAGGAAATTTGTGCTTAATCCTATAAGGGAAGTGATATATATACAAACCTGTATTTTAGGAAGATTAATGTGGTGGCAGGCTATTAGTTGGATTGAAAAAGGGAGAGATTGGAGGCAGGGAAGCCAGTTAGGTAGCTGCTACATAGAATAGGCATGGAGTTTGGCAACGAAAGGATGTTTCTACACAAAGCTAGTGGATACTTATCTTTACAATGGAACTATAAGATTTTTGAAACTATAATTGGCTGTTATTCGTTTGTTGCTCTAAGGGAAGAGTTTTGTTTCATTTACTTATTGAAGATGGGAAGACCTGGTGTGTTTATAGTCTGAGAGGAAGGATCAGTGGAGAAGAAGAGATGGAAGACATGAAAGGGTAAATCTGAGAAACAGGTGACCCTGGGGAAAGAAGAGGGTATGGGATGAAGAAACCAGGTGGAGGAGTAATTTTGAGAAAAGGAGAATGGCATCACTTCCCTTGAGGTGAATGAGGTACATAGAATTTTCAGGTGCAAAAGATAAGATGCTGGAGCTTGTGAATGGCCCCGGCTGTCTCAGAGAGAGAGGAGGAGGAGGTCTGAATTAGTGAGGTAGAAGGTATGAGTGGCACGTGAGGAGGGGTATCGCTGTGGGGGGAAGGCCACAGGACCACCAGCAAGAAAAGAATATGACGATGTAGCTCAGAGAGCCCAGTCGAAGTAAGAGGGCATGAATTTGTAGTGAGCCCATTCTGCATAATAATTCTATTACTTTCACCCCTAAAGATAATTGTAGAGTGACTAAAAATCACACATAAAATCACAGGTATGGAGAATTTTAGTAAAATGCTAGAGAAAGAAGCACTGTCATGGTCCACCATCCCGGGGTGGGTATGGGGGAAAGTGAAGCCTGAAATGCATCTAATGAGTTACAGATTGGCTGTAAGCAAACACATGCTGGAAGCATGCCTCTGTGTACACACATGCACGCACGCACACACACACACACACCCCTTCTATACCTTTTTAATCTGTGTAGACAAAAACCTAGAGAATCTAATGAAAAATGAGTTGGCCACACAGACCAGGAGGAGATGCAGCATATCATAGCATGGCTTTCCCTGGCCCCTGAATTCCCTGACAGGGTATGCAGCTACCAGTGATACCCGCTCCTCAGCTAATATCCTGCCAGAGTTGAGAAAACAGCCACATTTTTCCTAGTCCATTGCTGTTTCACATTGAGGTATATGTCAGCATTCAAGAAGACCTTCTACTAACAAGGGGAAATTTAAAAAACATCTGACTCTTCTGCTTCTTGAACCAAACTTGTGGTGGAGGACACAGGGAATAGGGAAGAAAGGAGGAGAGTGAAGGCAGAGTGAGCCCAGGTATCTCTGAACAAGACCTCTGCTCCTAGGATCCTGACAGTCAATGATGCTGATGAAATTACCTGGGAAGTTCTGGTATTAACATCTGAGAGCCATCACCACAAATCTGTTTTCCTCCTTGGCTATGAGAGTAGGGGGAACTAAACTCCTGGGGGCCGATAGTGGTAAAAGGAAGAGGGAGGAGGGAAGAAGGAAGGAAAGAAGGGAAAGAATACCACTTCCTCTGGCTAGTTACTGGCTAGTTGTTCTTGGAATTGACCAAAGGGAGAAAAATGTGAACACTGTATTTTCAAGCTGATTTATGGTAAATAGACCCTAAAGAGACTTAGAATATCTATAGTTCCTAGAGGTGGAGCATGGGGAGAAACATAACATACACACACACACACAAATTACCCTACACATTAGTGTCATACAAGTTTTCCAGTTTCCCATTCATTCATTCAGTGATAATTGCATGGGTACTACCTTTTGTGCCATGAATTGTGCTGGGCTTAAGGAAAGAAACATGCAATAAACGAGTAACAAAGAAGTAAATCTACATCCCTAATGTGTGGGTGCCATGCAGAAAACCAAGAAGTAGAGGGCAGTGGGGTAGAGAGGAACATCCTCTGATAGAGAGGTCAGCCAAGATCTTTCAGAGTGGGGGGCATCTGAGCTGAAATTTGGTGAACAGGAAGGAGTCAGCCATGCACACAACCTGGAGAAGAGCTATCCAAGTAGGGAACAGAAAATAGCCCAGGGTTTAAAAAGGAAACCCTGAGGCAACAACCAATAGTTTTCTACCTTCCTTCACATTTTCCTGTGGGTGTTACTTTGTGACCTCCTCCAGTATTTCTGCTTTGGTCAAGCGCTTTATGCAGTATCAGAGCACCAATAGTAGTGTGTTGCCATTCTGAATGTTGAATACTAGTCAAATGAGATTAGGATTAAGGAAAAGGTGGCAACTGGGAGGAGTCACAGGAATGTGGATATGAATTTTAAAGCTCTGTTACTATTTTGCAAGCACATAGCAGTCAAGTATGAATTTTAGCACGTGTATGCTGGGCAGCATCCTCATTCTGAACACCAATACCCTATGAAAAATAACTTTCTTAAGGGCCTTCTGCATGAAGGAAGGCAAACCTCAGAGGACTGTTCATTTGGACAGCTCTGAGAGAATACAGACACTAAATGTAGTGCAACTTCAAAACAGTTTCTGAAAAATTCTTAGTAAATACTGTTGGCCAGTAACCTTTCTTTAGAGAGTTTTAAAATGTTTTGTATTTACTATTAGCATTGAAGGCTTTTCTTTAAACACAATTCTAATTCCACATACACTTAAAGATCTGGGTTTGGGAGATAAGAAAGGTCAGATTTTCATGTCCTTGTTAATTGACAACGATGTATAACTAGAAAGAGTTAATTCTGATCCAAATGGACTGCATTTTGGGATATTCTTTTGAAGAAAACTTAAGATAATTTAACTGTAGTCCTGATCAGAAGAAGGACCAGCTACCCCTGTGTAGATACTCCCAGACCTGTAATTCTATTACTGTGTCCAATTCCATTCTTCTCAAAAACACCTGATTATTAAAATGGCTATGTACAGACATTAAATACTGCTATCGACCATCATATTTCTAAAGCTACAGTTTACATTGGTCGCTGTTCTTTAACTTTATGGAGTGGTGAAGTGGCAGAAAACACTGCATCCTTTGCCTCTTCTTTTGCTTCTTCTCACTGGCCACACGAAGGAGGGAAGAAGGGGACAGCCGTTTTCCCCATCTGTGTTCCTGCCCCCCTCCATCTCCAGCGATAATGCAATATAGTGAGTACGTGGCGTGCTCTCACAAAAGTGGTGTTGTGTGTGGTAGCTCCAATGTACAGGAAGTTTAGGGAAACATGAAACACCTTTTTCCTGGCTTTCGTCATTAAATTCAATAGGACATTTTAAAAACAAACATTTTCTGATGACAATAGTGACATGTATTTATCACAGAAAATTCGGGAAATATAGAAATGTTCAAGGGAGAATATAAAAATCACCCATTATTCTATCACCCAAATATAACAACAGCATTGTTAACATTTGGTATATATCCTTCTAGTCTTTTTACTTTGTGGGTATACACAAGTAAACCGTAGAGACATTTGGGCAGGTGGGAAATACATAATAGGCTTACTTTTCCCCTAATTATTCCCTCCACTCTACGTCCCACTCCACTGCCCCTGCCAATTTTCCGGGAGAAAATGAGATTGGCAATCAGTGGAAATCCCTGAACTGTCAAAAAACATGAACTCAGCCATTCTGGTTTCAAAGACCCAGCCACAAGGCAGTGTAAATGTCAAAGAATTAACCTACCCAGGAAGAGAGAATGAACACAGGTGGTATTGACATTCTGGTTTCTCGTTAGCCCTCTGCTTAACTGCGCTGTGTCCAGTTCTCTTAGGGGAATACACTCATGGACTTACGGCATTTCCTAAGCAGTTTGCTTCTGTGGGCTGTGGCTGGTTCGCTTTTCCGGGAGGATGCTGGGCTGTCTATCTTTACTCACCCTAGCCTGCTGTGCGCGCTTCCTTTCTTCCTGGCAATCTGCCGGTCCAACAGTATTTTTGTGGTTTGTTCAGTCATTCCTTCAAAGTGTCTTTCACTGTAACTTGACATCACTTCCTATTCCTTCCTGTGTAATTCTGGGTAATTTTAGAAGCAGCTGAAAAAGTCACAACCCCACAGAGAAAAGCTGTGACTCCTAGGCTTCCGTCTGGAGCCATATCAGGCAATGCTGAACACGAGAGCAATATAAGTCCCAGAGGCAAAAGGCTTCGGTAGAGCCCCTCTCACCCAATATTCTGGGTCAAATAGAAACTATCAAAATTCAACCCCCCCTCATGGATTTCCTATGAATTTTTTTTTATTTTAAATAACAGAGAGATGATGATCCTGTGTTCCTATATTAAGGAACAGGAGTGCACCATGTCACCTCCTAGGGTCCTCTCCAGTCTTTGGGTTGTGGGATGTTTACACAGAAATACACTGATGTACATACTTACCTGGAACAGACAGGAGCTACCTCTGCCCACAGGCAGAATGGGAAGCCACTTAGAGATACCCAGTTAGACAACTTTCTCTTTCACTGTCTCTTCCCAATATCCCTGTCCAAAGTTTTCTTCCCCACTGCCTGTCATAAAAACTGGTAGTCTATCTTTAGAGTCCTGGGGACTTTATTAGTTAAGATTAGGTTTGTGCGTCGGTCGTAGTTAAAAACAAAATAACAGAGGATTAAAGGAGATGGAAATTTCTCTATTTTTCCCTCATATTAACATCCAGGGGTAGGAAGTACAGAGCTGATGTGATGACTCTGCTTCATGGAGTCCTCAGGGGCCCATGCTACTTCCATCCTGAAGTTCCAACAAATGTGGCCTCCATACCTGAGATCAACACTTGGTCTGAGATGGAGCTCCAGCTGTCACATTCATGTGCTAAGCAGCGGAATGGAAAATGGGAATGCGGAAGCTGCCACTTGAGGGTGATTCCCAGAAGCTGCCACATGGCATTTTTACTTTCATTCCATTGGCCAGAACTTAGTCACGTAGCTACACCTAGCTGCAAGAGAAGCTGGGAAATGTCATCTTTATCTGGGTGGCCATGTGCTAAGCTACATATTCAAGTACTGTGGGAGAAGAGGAAAATGGATATTGGGGAACAGCCAACAGTTTCTACCATAAGGACTTGTTGGAATTCTGAGAACCACTGTTAGAATACAAGTAACCCAGCTAAGCCATTGACAATCAGTGTTTTCATGAGGATCAGTGCCACTATGAAAGAGCACATCTTATGAGAATGGGGTATATGCCCAGGTTCAGGCAGAGAGGGCAACTCTCCAGAGGGCAGGGGTAGGACCATAGGTCAATATCACCTTCCTCACAGTTTTCCTTAGGGCCCTGGGTGCATGACCTCATCCTTCTCGACATTAGGAAAGATGTCTATGGAAATAAGTGTAAACCACAGATTCTTGTAGATCCTACAGGGCTGACTGACTACTGCCATCCCTGGCCAGGAGAGAACTGGCATGTACTGAACACCTATGAGGTACCAGTCACTGAGCTTTACACACATTCTAACATTTAATTCTCACAGCAACTTATTTTTCAATGTCATGCTATTTTACAAACGTGAAAACAGGATCAAGACTTTAGATGATTAAATCATATAGCTAAAAAGTAGAAGAGTTTAATCCACTGATCTCTCTCAGCCTGGGACAAGACTAGATTAGAGAGGTTCAGGGTTCCAAACATCTACAAATATGTGTGTCCACTTTTCATAAGATGAATCATAGTAAAAACAGCGACCTCTAATTTATTGTAGAAATCCAGATTTTCATAGGTCAGGTTGAAATGGATCATAATGCTGTTCTACTTGTTCATCTAAATGTGCCTTGGATCATGAGATTTAATTTTGTGATGACCCAACTTTGATTTTGTTAATAATATTGTGAATGTTCATGTAATTCAACTAATACTACTTTTTTGCTAGAATGAAAACATGAAGGAAGATGATCTTTCAGTGGAGCGAGATGAAAATGACCCAGCACAAATAAGCCTTAGCCAGTGTGCTGATGAACCTGTCAAGCAGAAGAAAGAGACAGGGTAAAATTAAATCATTTATTGGTGACTCAAGGAAATGGAATAAACACTGTGGAGAAAATTGAGTGACTGATTAATATGTAGGTTACATATTAACTCAAAAATATTTGAAGCTGAAATAAAAGCAAGAGTGTTACAGCAGACCAGATAACTAATGTTTCACCCTAGGACTGAATTTTTAATGAGAGTGATTGCTAAGAGAAATTTCTTTTTGAATTTATACATATAGAGCCATTATCTTCCTTCCAGTGCATTTTTAAAAAGTGGCTATTGTGAAGTTAAATAAAATGACTTCAGTATGGTATACGTGAATTTTTTGAACCACTTTGAGGAGAAAGGCATTTGTTCTGTCTTTCCTGCCTGCTAAAAGTACAGTTATGCAGTGGCCCTACAACTGCTGGGCTTGGATGACGGGACTGGGCCCATTGATAGAGATCCTGTCCTGATGAGGGGGACCTACTTGTCCTTTCTGTATCTGCGCCACCTGAGGATCAGGGAGCTGCAGGTATGTGGATGGCCCTGCATGTATCTGAATTGCTTGGTTGTCTGGAAAGGGGGCTTTCCTGCTACTCTGGTAGTAATGCATTTTTACACTTTGTTCTTTGTTCTGATTCTTCCATGAAACCAGGCCTTTTGTGGGGTGGTGTGTTCCTTTTCCAGCAGTAGGGTTGACCTGCCAACTTCTGGGGCCCCAGTGAGTTTCACTCTGTAGGGTGGGCCAGCAAAGGCAGGGTCATGACCCTGTTCTTTCTCTGTTTCAGCGCATCTGCTTAGGAATTCTGAACTGTTTTAGACCTGTTGAGCGAACACTGACGATCAACACTTCAGGCCTTACCTTGGTTGCAGGGAGTCTGGTCCCCACCTCAGAAGATAGTTTCTGGGTAAATGTGGCAAAAGGAGGCTTGGGCACCTCGCAAGGCCTGAGCGCTCACCACTGTGCCCATGGGACATCTGCCGAGCACAAGGTGAGGAATCTGCTACAATTTTTTCTTCCATGATTACCTCATCTCCCAAGCCACCTTCTTCTTAACACCTGGAATCAGTTAACATGATGAAGTAACAGGTGGGAGTTTCTAGGGAAATAGCTTTTCTGAAAAATTGTGGTGAAAAGGGAAATGACTTTCTAACCCACAATAAAAGGCAGTGTCCACTTGAGAGCAGGACATGGGCAGGGAACACTCAGCCCTGGAAACCACAATAGGAAGGAAGGAAGGCATTTCAGCTGCTGGTTTGTCCACTTGATAGTGAACAGAGCAAGAGGGGCCCTTTCTGTTTTCCTGAGAACCACATGTCCTTACAGAGAAACTCTTGTTAAGACCCTCCTTGACATTGCTAGAGGTGCTTTTTTTTTTTTTTTGCCTCCTTCCTGTTCTCTAAACCCCAATTTAAAAAATAGGTTAAAAAAAAAATGTAGAGGGCTTCCCTGGTGGCACAGTGGTTGAGGGTCCGCCTGCTGATGCAGGGGACGCGGGTTCGTGCCCCGGTCCGGGAGGATCCCACGTGCCGCGGAGTGGCTGGGCCTGTGGGCCATGGCCGCTGGGCCTGCGCGTCCGGAGCCTGTGCTCCGCAACGGGGGAGGCCACAGCAGTGAGAGGCCCGCGTACCACAAAAAAAAAAAAAAACAAAAAAACAAATGTAGAAAAAAATTTGGAACAGGGAGAAATCTATCCCTCCCAAAACCTACTTGTCCCTTGGTGCTTTTACTATCTCTTGAATATGTTTTTCTATAGTCTAAAAAATTCATATTAAATCCCTTTCTTTGGGACTAAAGTTGAAAATGCATACATTTTCTTCAAATGTTGTAGACACTCTTGCAATATTTTCATCTCAGTCTCTAGAAGGTTTATTCCTGAAGGTGGGGTTTAATATGGATTTTATCTTCTTAAAAGATACTAACTTGACAAATGTGAAAAATAAAATCTATTTAGCTGCTAAATAAGTCATATTTTAAGCTTGTATGACCCCTGACTTATGATTGTCATGTCTTATAAGGGTATGAAATCTTATTATCAAATATTGTTCATATGCAGTCTGCAGCAGTGCTGTCCAGTAGAAATATAACACAAACCACAGGTATAATTTAAAAATTTCTAGTAGCCACATTATAAAAAGTATAAAGAAACATGAAATTAATTTTAATAATGTAATCTATTTAACCCAATGTATCCAAAATACCATCATTCTAACATGTAATCAATATAAAGAAATCATTGATGAGATACATATTTTTTCATACTAAATCTTCAAAATCTAGTGTGTATCTTATATGTACAGCACATCTCAATTCAGACAAGCCACGTTTCAAGTGCTCCATAGCCACATGTGATTAGAGCCTACTGTATTGAACAGTTCAGCTCTAGATATTAGAAAACATTTCCTTATTTTTCCTACCTAGTCACCTCGAGTCCAACTTTCACTCAGTATCTGGGAGACTCCTCTTTTTGGTCTCCTTCCCTAACGATTCCCCCCCTCCCATCTCCTCACCATACACAGACTTCCCTTTTTACCCCTCTGCCCTCTTCCCTTGATCCTAGTTCATGGTTTGTCAAGTCCAGTTAGTATGTTCCACAGTGGAGCTGGAGAGGAGGATTAAGACACTTTGGAAACAAACACACCCATAAAACAAACACATCTTTCTGTTGCTAATATCCAGCCTGTCTTATATCACAGCTGTAGATTAAAAAAAGATCTGTCTTACCACTGAGCCCATCTCCCAGTTTGTTTGTTCTGTGATGGGGTGGGGTGAAAATGAAGGAGGAGAGGGGAGACAAATCCTATCCTGTCCCATTAATTGTAGGAGGAGCTTCTCAAGGATAATACAGTTTTTCTTTCCTATGCTCTCATAAATGATAGGAATAACATCACCCTTAAGAAGCTGCCAGCAGCTACTACTTCAGTGTGAGAAACTCAAGGAAGTGGCCTCTTTCAGGGTCTTTAATAGGACCATGTGGTTTACTGCACTCCATGTATGTGGCCATGTCAGCATTTAATCTAGAATGTCCAGAATAACTATGTGATTCTTTCCCATGTAGAAGATGGAAGGAACAGATGCTAATTTGTTGGGTTGATCTCACCAGGCCAGGGCTGAGGCTACTGGGAGCAAGATCACTGGGCTTACCAGCCAGGGGAGCTAACATCGAAGAAGCCCCTGAGATGGAGACCCTCTTCCCTGGGCCCAGTGTGTTTGATCCCATGAAGAAAGTCTGGGGCCATGTGTTTGCTCAGTGATAATACCAGAAAAGGAAAGCCCCTACAACCTGTCATGGACACTTTGCCATGTGCCTACTTTAAGCATGTGGCAGGGTAGAAAGGGCCCCAGAATGAGAGGCAGCAGGCTTCTCCTGGCTGTTTGACCTTGAGCATGTCTCTTCAGACACATAGGCCTGACACCTCATAGTGTGTTCAGGATCTTCCTGGACTTGACATGCCGGTAGCAGAGACTGTTGTGAGCAAGTAGTGGGAGATGAGGCTGCAGAAAAAAGCGGACCATGAAAGGCTAGGCTCTCCTCAGGATGTGGGACTAATTCCAAGGTTGGTGAGGAACAGAATTTTAAATAAGAAAATGGCACTCCTCATTGTTTTATAAATTTCTCCAGATCTTTGCCCAAACATAATCACATTTATTCCCTTGCTTGAAGTCTTTATGAATTTTCTGTTTCTCACAAGATAAAGTTCAGGCTCCTTGGTGAAGTTTACAAGGCTGGGTGCAAGCTGGCCCCTGCCAACCTTTCAGACCTCATTTCCCCCCACTGTCCCTATACCTTCATTCTTACAGAGCTGGGCCTGGCCTTCCTCTGAATGGGCAGAGCTGTTCATGCCTCTGGGTCTTGTGCATAATGGCCCTTCTGTCCCTCACCTCCTCTTTCCTTGATAAAGGCCTGCTCTATTCAAGTCCATCCAAACATTACCTCTCTGAGGAGTCTTTCTTAAATCTCTCTGCAGAGCTGAGTGCTTCTCCCTATGACTTGTCTACCTACATTACAGCGCTTGACTCATTCTAAAACTGTTGGCTTATCTACTCCCACAGGCTGTGAGCCTGTCATTCATTCATCCCCCCCATTCATTCACCCCACAGATGTTCTGACCAATAAATATACTAGGCACTAGGGATACAGCAGTAAACCAAACTGTCACAAATCCTTGCCATCATGGAACTATTTAATGGAAAAAGACATTAAATAAGTAAGAAACATATATAGAATGCCTAATGGTTTGGCACCAAAGCTTCTCCAGACATCCTAGGCCCTTGCAGTTGGGAGGCGCCAGAGGGCTGTGAGCAGAAATGAGATGTGTCACTTCCAGTCCAAAGCATGTAAGAGCCAATCCATGACGCTCCAGCATGTCAAGCCACAAAATAGAAACATCCTGGATCCCTGGGTCACTGCTAGAAGAGAGAGGCCTAGAAAGCAACTAGTCCTGCAGTGGGCTCCGCCTGAGTGATAAATTAATTTTAAGTATTGGCTACTGAGCTTTGGGGTTGTTTATCACAGAATAACCTAGGCTTTGTGGACTGGTGAAGATGGTGGTAGAAGCTGTGGAGAAAAATTAAGAAGGAAAAGGGGATAGAGAGTTGGTGATGGGATATTGCCAGGTGTAAGTAGGGTGATCAGGGAAGGCCTTACTGAGAAGGTACTATCTGAGTAAAGACCTGAAGGAAATCAGGAAGCAAACCATGTGACTGACTGAGAGAAGAGTGCCAGGCAGAGGAGAGAGCCAATGCCAAGGCTCTGAGGCAGAACTGTGTCCAGCAGGAACAGCAAAGAGCTTAGTGCAGCTAGAGTGAATGAGGGGGAAATTGTTAGGAAATGAGGTTAGAGAGATTGGAAGAGTGGAACAGGTTATGTAGAGCCTTATGGATCATTTTGAGGACTTTGAGTGAGAAGGGAAGCCCTTGGAGAGTTTTGAGCCAGACAGTGATGTGATTTAACTTACATTTTAACACTTGTGCTGCTGTATTGGGAATAGACTGAAGGGCTAAGCAGAGATTCGCTAGGAGGCTATTACATTGATCAAACTAGAGACAATGCATCTGGGAAGACAGCATGATGAGAAATGGTCAAGTTCTGGATATATTTTGAAGGTACAGCCGCTATGATTTCCAGGCAGTTAGGATGTAGAATATGAGAGAAAGAGAGAAGTCAAGGTTGATTCCAAAGTTTTGGCCTGAGTATCTGAAAGTTTGGTGTTGCCATCATCTAAGATGTGGTTGGAGCAGGTTTACCGGGAAGATCAGGATCTTGGTTAAGGGCATTGAAACTCTGCCATTCTTAATAGATGTTCAGGTGGCAAAAGGAAGTAGGGAGTTGTATATATATCTTCCGCATAGTAGGTATCTAGTAAATGTTTGTTGAACAAAAGAAATGTTCTGTTCGTAACAGAATGGTTGTGAGGTCACAGCCAGACAATATAAATGAAAGTGCTTTGCAAAGTATATCATGCTGTTCAAGTGCAGAAAAAATAGCTATGATAAAATAGCTATGATAAAGTATCACTCTGCAGGTGAGGTGGAGACTAGAAGATATTTTTTATTTTCGTTTTAAAAGATTGTAGCCAAAGGATTGGGTCAGTCACCCAACAAAGTTGGATGAGTTCTTAGACTGGGTTATAGTAGTAGTAGTAGTAGTAGTAGTAGTAGTACTATTTATTATTTGAAATTAATGAAAAGATGATTTAGAAAAAGGCAGGCTAGCCAGAGAAGTATTGTCTACATTGCCAAAAGGCCTAAACTTTTTACTAACAAATGATGGCAGAAATCAATAGAGTGAAAAGAATTAATGATGGGCAACAATTTTCCTGTAGTTACTATACTCAAATAGTTATTTTGGCATCAGTTAATTTGCAGGCTTAAAAACATGAATCATCCCAAAGATCAGATTATACCTTAGTCAAACAGGTAATTATTGCCACCCTTTTCTTGCCACTCCTCCAAGAATAATATTGAAGGATCAACTCTCTACACCACAAAAACCTTAGAAGGAAGGTCTTCCACATGGCTGTGGAAGAAATGAAAATAAAAAGGAAATATTATAGTGACTGAGCCATAACCCTATGTGAGGTAGTTTGGCCATCTCATCTTCACAGTTCATCTCCTGTGGACATAAGTGTACATTTCAGACACAGGAAGTCAGGGAGGGAAAGGAAAGAAATATGTATGTCTATATAAAGGGCTTGAACCATGACTTGGGGGTGGGGAAAGTGGATAAAAAGACCATTTAAGTAGATGATGGCATTACAGTTGGCATCCTGACACTGTTACTGCTTTCCATCAGCTTCAGAACTCAATCCGGTAGCCATTTATTTAAAATCTCAGAAAATTCCCCTGTACAAGAACACAGGGAAAGAAAGGTCTTTTCCAGCAAAGTGGATAAAACATACCTCATTAAGTTGTCCCTCTTTTCCTCAGAGGAGAGCTCATTTTGCATAACAGGCTATAGGAGCTAAATGCCAACAGAAGCTGACATGCTAGCTTATAAATCTAAGCAAACTGTTTAATTTTTGTATGTTACATGTAATTTTCTCAGCATCATTTCTGTTTTCCACCGATGCCTATCATTTCATAAAAAACAATATGTTCACTTTTGGAACTCCTAGTCAAAGGAAGCTCCTAATTATTAAAGGTCAGAAGTCAGATTTTTTAAAGTCAACCAGCCAAACAGACAAAAACCACTAAGGGCTCTATTTAACACCTCCCACCTCAAAATATATAGGCATATACAATAGTATCTGAAAATTCAATAAGCACATACACCTCCTCAACACACACCATTTTAGAAAAGATACAGTTTTGTTTCCAGCTCAGGTCCCCCATTTGTTGGAGACTGTAACTTGGTTATAGTTCTTACTGTTGTTTAGACTCTACTTGTTGCCCAGTGGCATTTCTGCCTTACCCACCACTGGGTGCAGGGCCCTGAGGGAAATTAATGATTTTTTTTCTAAGTGACAAAAGACTGATTGACCTTGGGGAAACTGCGGTTAGAAGCAGAGATATTCCTGAGTTCCTAACAGAAAACCACCAGGATGCAAAAAGCCCTGGGTAGGAAAATGCCAGACAAGCCCCAGAGGGAGAAATCATTAGTCAGGGTAATCAAATAACCCGTAATCTGTATTCTCTCTTCCTTTTGGCATCACTCAAATTTATCCAGTTTTAGAAGTAGATGAGGTAAGAATATTCCTATTGGAATAATATGACTGCATTAGCATTGCATTTGGAAAGAACTTAGAGTTTCTAGACACATTGCAACACCTGGAGGGAAATTTAGCAAGAGTTTGTGCTATTTTGTAATATATGTAGACTTTAATTAAGGATAATTCATGTTCATATTCTTATAAAACGCTGCTCTAAGAATGTTTGACAATTAACCTTTCAGATCCCAGACAGAATTAATTTAGTATTAGATTGAATTCTTTGTTCTGTCTTTGCCACAGACCATTTGGGATCTGAATCATGGGACGCAGTGCTGGCATCCAACATTCCAGGGCATTTAATTTCAGCTCTTAGCTTTTATCTCTACTGGTCATCCTACATTCTAATGCATCATTTTTGCTGATGTTAGTTTACACTACGATTCGACTATTTCCATCTCTTAAGAACTTACTTTGATTGAAATACTTAGTCACATGAGCATCTCTCGCTGAGCTAGTGAGTATACGGTCATCCATTGTAAAATGATTTTCCAACTGCTGCTATAGAAATTCCTGACCAAAGCCTTTCTCTTGTTCAAGTATGCACCATATACTTGATAATTATTAAACCTGAAAATCTCTTACTTTTGAATATTTTATTCTGAAATAGACCACTTAAAATTTTAAGCAATAATTGATGTCGACAGTGAAAACTTACAGTACTATAGTGGGAAAATATTTTAGCTGAATAATGGCAATGATTACACTTATTGATTTAAGTTAGTAATTAACATAATTAAGGAATATCTTAGAAATTTCCCTGAAAATTTTTGACTTGGCTGGCGTCCATTGATACAGCAGGTTAAACTGGGTTTGTTGTTAAACCACCAGGGACCTATTTTTACCGAAGGAGAAATGTGTCTTTTGCCTTTAAATTACAGGTTTGCAGACATTTTAGTAAATATTTCATGTTAACTGAATTTTGGTTATATTTCTAAAATTAGTCTTTTAAAACTAGAAGTAAAAACAAAAACCTCTGTTGATTTAAAAGTCAGCAAGTATGAACTTAGCACCTGGTCTTGCCCATGGCTCTTTAACCGATTCTCAGGAATCCCAGTTACCCATTCAGTGTTTTCCTTCCTGAGAGGGAGCTGACAATCTGAGGGGTCCATTTCTACTAGGAATAGCTTCATAGAGAGACCTGTCTCTGGTCATTTTCATCCATTTCTCTACCAGGTCACAAAGAGGGCAGCGAGTCAAATGTTGACCAGGACTGGGGATGGGCCCATGCAGGTATGGACAGATTTGCTGTGCTGTATGACATGTGGACTTGGGAAGCAACTCTTCTAGAAAACAAGCGCCAGGTATTTTTAACTAGAAAACAAAACATCTATTGAACATTCTTATAAACCCCAATATATTTTTTTAAACTCAGTGGGTCTTTTAGAGCAGTTCCCAATAAAATGAATAATTATTTAAATAACCTTAGCTAGTTGTAAGGATGTGAGTAATAAATTTTATGTTCTTTACTGTGGTTCTTTGTTACAAAAGATAAAATGTGAAGGATATGACTTTATCTTAAGGGAAATTTGTTAGAGGGCTGTATAATTCAGGCCCTTTTATAATATGTATGCTTTTATCGACAACGAATGATGATTCCATTCATGTTCATTGTCCTGTCAGGGAAAAGCCTCACTTTGCTAAACGCAGACCAACTGACTGACCTTATTATGGCCTTTAGAAGGGTATGCCACATGTGGTTGGGTGAGAGCAGTTGGGCAAGGATTTCCAGAATGGAAATAATAGGATTTGAAGACTGGATGTTGGAGTGAGAGAATGAGGGTGGAATTAAAATGACTTCCTTGGGAGGAGGCTGTTAACTGAAACAGAATGAAAGAGGAGGAGCCTCTTTAGAGGGGAAGGTAGCATTGAGTCTAGGACACAGGTATGTGAGGAGAGTTTGCTAAAACCCAGGTGTGAATGTTTTGCGGGAGCTGTAGGTTTGAAGCTCAGGAGCAGGTATGAGCTGAAGTATGAATGTGGAAGTCGAACCATAGTAATGAATCGAAATGACTAGGAAAAGCCAGAGATGCCTGAAATGGGTTCCTGGGAACACTTACATTTAACGGGAAGGTCATGGAACAAGAATCCATGAGAGGAACAAGAAGGAGGAGCCAAAGAGACTGAAGAAAAAAAGAAAGGGATAGTGTTAGGAAAGCCCACAGGAAAAAAACATTTTAATTAGGAGAGGATGGTTTCCTGTGTGGACGTGAAACATCAAGAAAGGTGAGTCCTAAAAGCCAGACAGTGGGGTCAGCCATCAGGCGGTCATTGCCAGCTTTGTAGGACTCTCTCAAAAGCGTAGCAGAGATGGAAGCCAGTTACAGTGCATTGTGATGTGGTCGGAGGATGAGGAAGTGGAAATGTTTTCTTTGAATTGTTTTTCTAGTAGAGTAGAGGGTTTACCATTTCATCTACTCATGGAGATGTAGGTCACCCACTTTTGAAAACAACTGGCTGGACTTAAAGGGTGCAAGCCTTGGCCTTGAAAATTGTTCCTCTTTTCAAAGACAACTGGCTTCTAGAGTTTGCATCTGCAAACTTGATCTGCCAAACAGAACCTTACTGTGATCAGCTGAGTAAATGGCAGATTTAGACTCAGTGTAGAAACTGGAGAGGCTGCATTAAACGTAAAGTAATACAGAATCCTCAAACTTGACAAGTTTATTGGGCCAGACATGAGTTTTAAGCAGCCCCCCTTTTCTGTACTCTCCCCACCTCCACTTTCAGTTCTTCTAGGCCTTTTATGGAGGCCCCAGGCAGGACTCAATGGCAGAGAAGAATAGAAAGACAGAGAGTAATAAAAAACAAATTTCTCTTACTTTGGCCCAGGGTTCATTCTGTGCTAAGCTACCAGGGCTGTCCACTGGTTTCTTCTGTGGTATGTGAAATTATTTTAACTTAAAACAATCATTGAAAATATCTCCCTCCTTTCTACCCCAAGAATGTGTTCCCTATAGAAACTGAGCTATCAGTGCCCAAAACTGGAAAATGTGGCTTTCTAAATCAGGAATTGTTGAAAGGGCCTACTTTTAATGGATAAACCAGATTTTTATCTAAAGTACAACTGATTTCCCCCAGTACTGATTCTACTGCCAAGTGTCCTTAGCTGTTTTTTGTTAACTATATTGGAATCACTAAAGTCAAGAACTGTTCAAACACATTGGCTTGTCTTAAATCCTTAAAGTAGCCATATTATGTAAAAGGCTCATAAAAATAGAGCTGGTGTGAATTTAGGTGGATTAAGAGACTCAGAAGCTGGGCATCAGCTGTGCCAGTTCCTGACATTTATACCAACTGCTAATTCTCTCCACAGCCACCAGAGGACACATTTTCAGGGTAATTTGAATTAGTGTTTAGAGCACTAAAAAAAGGCCAAAAATTCTGTGACAAGATGTGTCTGACACTGATTTTCTGTTTTGCACTTTCATTTGACCTAAAATACTGTTTTTAAAAGTATTTTAAGTCCAAGAAATAAAAAAAAGGCTGAGGTAAAAAATATAAACACAGTACGGTTTGAGATTATTCACTTTTCTATTTTCTCCAATATTTGATGCCTACCGTCAGTGTGCACCACCTATTACTTTGCCTGAGAGTTGGCCCTTGACATACACAGGTGACATTTGACAGGCTAGGAAGACTTCTTAGACAAATACCAGCCCAGAGTTTAAATGGAAATGGGCCAGTTAGCAAACAGATAATAAATAGCAACTGTGAGGCAGAAAGATCACAGTCCTACCCCTACTGAGAAAGAATTCATAATAAAATTATGCAAAGGACCATCTGAGAGCTTTTCCAGGTGGAGGGCAAAGCTTGAAAAAGGCTTGTCAATTTAAAAAGAGCCACATTTTCCTTCTCAACAGCTAGGGTTGCCAGGTAAAATATGACAATATTGGGGACATACTGAAAAAGTATTGGTTGTTTGTCAGCAATTCAAATTTAACTAGATGACCTGTATTTTTATTTGTTAAATCTGGTAATCCTACCAACAACAAAGTGACAGTGGCAATTTAGCACCAGCCTCTGCAACCTGGTATCACCAGATTGGAATCACCAGCAAGAACCCTTACCACAAACTTACCCTGCCAAATAACCAAACAATAGGGCTTATTGTACAAAAACAGGTCAAGGCAATACAAATACTATAAACCAGCTCCTGGGATTGCCCTGGCCCAGCCAAAGAGGTTTAAATTCATCCAGAATGATTTAGGGAAGTTATTGTTTCTTTTCTAATCTTCCCCTAGGCTATTGAGTGGCACCCTTCTTACCCCATCACTCCTTCGTTTCTGCTTTGTCTTCTGCTATTTAATAACTGAATGCTATTCTAGAGTAGAGCCCTGTGGATGGGATAAGGTCATTGAGATCACCCTGCTTGCTTCATTTTCCCTGGGGTTCACTTAAAGGCAAGGGAGCTGCACCTTCATTTCACACTCTGAGCTGTGTGAGTTTTTAACCTGTGGAGCACATTCTGTGTCCTAAGCTTTTAGCCTCTTCTGGTGTTATCCTTTTTATACTGAGGTTGACCCAAGGCCCCTTGAACCAATGTTTCCCAAAGGGCATCCTGCAAAACTGGATGCTAAATAAAGTGCCCCAGGCTCTCCCTGCTTGAGCCTTAGCATTGAAGCCCTCAGACACTGGACTTCTATTACTGAGGCAGTATTTGATTCCTAGTCTGCTATTGATTCTCAAGTGATTACCTCCTTGGGAGCTTCAGGAGTTGTTATTGCCAAGATGGAGACACTCCTGGCTTTTCCTGCCACTTGGTTCCTTTACTTCCCGCTGCGCTGTTGCCACCTATATTCAAGTAGTGCTTACACCCTCTCAATTCTTTCTGGTCTTGCATTCTTAGCTGTGGGCTCCACACAATGAAAGGGGCTCTTTATCTCCTTTTAGGAAATTCCGTAGTTTGTTAAGAAGTGGGCTGGCTTCCTGGCCTCAAACTACCAGGAAGACCAACACCCAAGGAAACAAAAAATGCTCTTTCTCTAATGCATCTCAGTGTGTGCTAGGCTGTCGGGTGGGTAGAAATTGCAGGCTCAACAATCCACTCCTTGCTGTCAATTAAATGCACACACTGGGCACACCTGTGTCTTTGGTGAGAGCTGAGGCCTTTCAGAAGCGTGAAACCTCCATTAGAGGAGTGGGTCAGAGAAGACTGGGGAGGGACATGTTGAGCTGAAACTCTTGGGGGGAAGTTGGATTAGATCGGCAGAGGAAAGGGATCTGTTCTGTTGTGAGACCATTGGGAGTAAAAGTTCAGAAGCTTTCAGTTAGAGTTGATTTATCCATCAGGTAATATAGACGTGGTGTTTAGGATCTAAGAGCTTTTCAGGGACCATTGAAAATATGTGAGATCTGAGAGGAAAAAAAAACATGCATTACTCAGAAATCCAAAAAGAAAATACAAGACAGTTATCAATAAATGCTTAACTGACATGTCCATAAAATGTTAAAACTTTAAGCACTTGTAAACATCTCATTACATTTGAAAACAATTTATAGATCAGATTTTCTCACTTCATAAGAATTCTCAAGTACATACTACCCAGAAATCATAGCCAATCATTAATGAAATGTATTGCTCATAGCCAAATAATTTGAAAAGCAAAATTATAAATATCATTTAACATTTTTACAGAAAAAAATTGATTGGGATGCGTTTTAATGTATTTGATATAATGTAGGTCAGGGTCTCCAAAAGTAAGTGAGTCTAAGGCCTATGAAAGTTTTTTTTTTTTTAACATCTTTATTGGAGTATAATTGCTTTACAATGGTGTGTTAGTTTCTGCTTTATAACAAAGTGAATCAGTTATACATATACATATGTTCCCATATCTCTTCCCTCTTGCGTCTCCCTCCTTCCCACCCTCCCTCCTATGAAAGTTTTAAAACAACCCTAAGACAGTGATTACATTGTTCAGAACTACTTACATATTGGCCCTTAGGTCCCTGTTTGGGATTCCAGCCCGGTGATCTCTGAAGAGCTTTTTCTGATTAGCACCATGACTGATTACATACAAATAGAATTTACACAGAGAACAGAAATTCCTTAAGTGCATAAACAAATGTAAAAACAAAATAAAGAGCATCTCTTTCTGAATTCCCACACTAAGAACCCTCTTCACCGGTTAGTGCATGGAAGCTTCCTTCGGTTTTTAGAAAAGACTTGTGAACTCCACTAAAACAGAAGCTCCCTCGATGCTCTTGAGAGTTCTGTACGTAGGTCTTTCCTAGTGAAGTCTGATCTGGGATAAATGCCTTTATAGCTAGAGGGCACTTTCATCCTCAGCTTGCCACTCTAACCCCCTCCCCCACCATTTCTACATAGGTGACACTTCTGCAAACTGTTAAAGCGAAAGGGTCATAAATGGGACTGAGGATGTAGAAGAGGGGTGGAGGCCACCTGCTCACCTTTGGTGATAGAGTAAAATGGGGGAGGGAGAGTGGGTCTGTGGAAAAAGGTGTTGGAGATAAATGGATTTGATGAAGTGACATTGAATGCACTGTCTCATTGGAGCTTATAATTATTAGATGTTATATTATTCATTATATTACCCCCCTTTATTTGTGGAGAGCAGAGGAAGAGGGGACAGCGGTGAAACGAGTGCTTTGTCCCTCACCCTCCCTAGCTTGGTCTGTGTTGCCCTGGTGTGGCAGCTGCCCACCCTGGCCTGGTAACCAGAGGTTCAGAGCTGTCCCTTTCCGGCTGATGGTGGGGGTCTTTCCAAAGCATGGAATGGGTGGAGGCTCACCTCTCTCTGCTGGGCCCTGTTCCCTGACTGTCAACCTTATTTGAAACTTCTTGGCAATTACTCTGAAGCCTACCAGCATGTGTTGGACCCAGAGGAGAGGTTTGCCTTAGCACAAGTGATCACTGACGTCATACACAGGTGCCCAAGGTTTGATCTCAGCTACCCTTACTTCATTAAGGCCTACCGAGAGGAATGCACCTGCCTGAGGCTTCACCTGCAGCTGGTGAGGGGCATCCTTACGTGAGTATATTTGGGTTTTAGAAGATTCCATGTGAGAAGAGGATGAAAAACACAGGCCAGAACTGAAAATCATGTTTTCCTTTCAGTCCCAGTCCAGAATCTGGGTTTTCTAGGGCAGCACGTACACGATGTTTATTTGTAAGCTTATTTGCATTGTTGAATTCCAAGCATGACTACAATCTTAAAGGGAGGTTTCCAATCCTAATTGCATTTAACGATACCAAAGAATTGACAACCTGTTTTCATTCAGTCACAGAGTTTATAGTGAAAGAAGGATGAAACCTACCCCCTTGTAAGACATTAAAGTGTAAAATTATATTTATTTTTTAAAAGGTTGCAATTATTTCTAGGACACTACAGGAAATGATCACAGTCTCTGTCCTCTGGGGAAAGGCTAGGAGATAACGATTGTTGCAGTACAGTTACCTTAGGCCTGCTTAGAATTTTTTCCTTGTAGTCAGTTATTTGACAGAAAGAGGTTTTCTTGTGCCTCTTAAGATCGCTTGAAGCTGGTTGCCTTTGCTTTCCCTGGCTGACCCTCGGCTCAGACTAAAGACAAGCATGTCTCTGTGTGAGTGAATCCTTAAAACCCATGTCTGGGTGAAAATTAGTCAAATAATGAAGAGATGCAAAGGGCTGATGTTCTGTTCTTATCATACCAAGGCTCATAACTCACATCCATGGGAAAGTTTGACTTTTCTAATTTTAACTTTTATGTGATATTTCTAGATAGAGTGTCAGTGGGAGTATGTCCAGAGGCTTTGGCGTGAAGGCCATCCAGATGCTAGCAATACATTTGGACTTCCCCTTAACATAATTTGCAAATAACTCATTTCCATCAACAATAGCTGGTAAGTTGGTGTTGTCTTTAGACATTTTACATTTAATTTCTGGATAATTTAAGGGTATGATGTTAAGCCTAATACTATTCTACAAAGCACCTCTCAAGTATTTGGAGCTGAGAGAAGTAAATATAAAAGTCACAGAAGAGGGATCCCTTGGCATACTCAATATCTATTTACTTTGTAAATAAAGAATAGGAGGCTAGAATTTAAACTTATGCCACTGGGTGCAGAATCTTCATTCCCTTGAGGAGTCCTAAAAAACCCCGGTTGCTCTTGAAATGCTGTCATAGGATTTATCAGAGGTGCCACATAAGCCAACATATATGAAACACAGATGTGCTTTAAATTTCTCAAAAAGGAATTTCCTTATTCTAGCAAGTGTCAACAAAAAGGTTTCTGCAGGCTTATCTTGTGATACCACCTCCACCCCTTTAAGGAGCAGATTAAATTTCCTGAGATCACTCAAAGAGAGTACATGAAGTCACCCCCTTGATATGTGGTATGATTCCCCCTCACCATTCCTTTCCAGGCTTCAGGGGTACAGAGGAACCAAGAAGCTGGTGACAGGCTCCAAGTTGGTCTGTGTAACCCAAGATCACAACCTCTCTGTTGCTCCAAATGGGCGGAGAAATTGTCCAGCTCCTTTCAACATTCATCAAATATTTTTGAGCATTTACATGTACCAGGCAGTGTGCTAGGAGCTGAGGACACAGAATGAACCATGCAGGCATGGCCCTGTGCTCCTGTGAAGTGTATAGTCTAGCAGTACAGGCAGACTTGCAGTAAGAGATTGCCACAATGGGCTGTGACGTCATCTTGGTCCATCATTTCATGGACAGGCATCCCATGGGTAGGGTGCCATGGGATTTCATAGCTAAGGTTCTAACCTTTTCTTTCTTTCTCTTGAGAAAGAACCCTGGGAGCTCCAGGCACAAGACTGCATTTTCTCCAAAGACCTTTCACAGGACTGATTTTTTAACTATAGTAAGTTTGAGACCACTTCTACTGTTCAGGAAGTGGTTTTTGACAGAACATGCTAGGACTATATGGATACTAAAACCTGTCAGAGTGTCTCAAAAGCAAATGATATTTACTTGATGAGATTCCTTTCCAGACTTAGGTTTGTATTTTCTAAGATCTAGGAGTAAGAAGAATCCCATTTGCATGGGTTTAAGAAGTATTTAGATGTAGAAAGGCCCTTGACTTGACTGGTGCTATATCCTTTATTTCCAAAGCAATAACCCACAGAAAAGTGTTTTATTATCTCTGGCCTCATTCATTCATAAAATACAACATTTTTATGGCAAACATGAATGATTCCAGCAGTTGTGTACAGAACTTAAAAACCGTCTTCATCCATTATCATTTTGGGGGAAAAAATGGATAAAGAATCGGATGAAAAATAGAAATAGTCACGGAAAGTATTTGTTTAATATTTAGATACTTTTATATTAAGTTATTTTGTTTTCAAATATTTGGCTAAATATTGATTACTGAAATGTTGACAGGTTTGCCATATACAATTTTAGAATCCCTTTTTTCAGTTTTATTGAGATATAATTGATATACAGCACTGTATACATTTAAGGTGTACAGCATAATGATTTGACTTACAATGAATCTTATTCTTTTTGGCTTTTAGAGTAAACTATGTCTTCTAGTTTTAAAAAGGTTCACATTAAAGCAAAAAGCACGTTGTGTAACTTGATGGGCTCCCTGGACAGCCTCTGAGACCCCATTGAGCTTCCAATTTTTTATAATGCCCTGGATTATAAGAGTGTTTTATTGGTCTCGAAAAATATAAAATCCAAATACCTGTAGAAACATTAAGTTCTTCGCTGTGTAAAATCGTCGTTAATTGTTTCTCTTCATTAAGCCCAGCTTTGACAAACATTTACCTGCTGGAGTTCCACCCTTCCCTGGGCCTGGCTTTGCGCATCCCCAGAGCCCTTGAGCACCTCCTCAGGGAGGCCTGCCACACCTGCAGGCCCACATCAGCCATTGCCCTCACCTTGCTAGAGAGACACATGCTGCAGCTGGCCCTGGATGTGTGGCTCACTCCAGCCAAGCCCAAGTCCTTGTACAGCGCACAGCTCCAGAAAGACGTAGGTTCTCTGAAAGGGGTAGGTGGGTCCTTGGCAAAGAGAATGTTTCCTCCCAGATGTTACTACTTAGCTTTGTTTTTATGTTTGGCTCTATTCCCCTCTATCTGGCCAGGGACAGATCATAGTCCTAGGGCTTGACAACATTTTTATTTCTATTTTTTTTCATTTTTGAAAAAGTTTCTAGTTTTCATTTTCAAAGTTTCTAGTTTATCAGGATGCTGCTACAGTTATAATTTAAAGGGAGATGTACTAGATATGGGGAAAATATTTTCTGGTTTATTATTTATATTTTTAAAATATCTTTTTAATTAAATTTTTTTCTTTCTAAGATTCTTCCTAAAATGTACTCTTTTGTCCTGAGCTGAGATCTGGTAGAGGAGAGAGAGAACTGAGTGAGGAGTCAGTGACTTGGACTCAAGTTCAGTCCTGCATTAACTTGCTGTGTGACTCTGAGCCTTACTTTCCTATTTTTTAACATTATGTTTGTGTATTTGAGGGGAGGAGGGTAGAAGTGAGCTCAATGATCACTAAAGCCCCTTCCAGCTCTAATGCTCTGTGGTTCAAACTGTGGCCCAGTGATTTACATGGTGTTTGTAATTGGATTTTAATTTTTTCTTTTTCTATTAAGGCTATCACAGTTGAGCCTGGGTTTCTAATTTGACCTTACTCTGGGTGGGTACTTGCTATTAAGATGAAGGAACTTTCAGGCTTCCCTGGTGGCGCAGTGGTTGGGAGTCTGCCTGCCAATGCAGGGGACACGGGTTCGTGCCCCGGTCCAGGAAAATCCCACATGCCGCGGAGCGGCTGGGCCTGTGAACCATGGCCGCTGAGCCTGCGCGTCCAGAGCCTGTGCTCCACAACGGGAGAGGCCACAACAGTGAGAGGCCCACGTACCGCAAAAAAAAAAAAAAAGTACAGCTTGGAACTAGGAAACCTAAGTTTATTCTTGGTACTGTTGTATGACCTTAGAAAATTTCAGTGCTGCTTCAGACCCCTCACTGGTAAAATGGAAATAATAGTATCTGTGATGCCTAAATCATGGGTATCTTGTGAAAATAAAAATGAGTTAATATACATGAAAATACTTGAAATTTTTAAAACTTCAATTAGAGTTTATAAGAAATTATTAATATTATTGGCCACTAAAATACTTGAAATATATCAGATACTTCTATTTCTATTTAGGTCATCTTTGTCATTTCTCTCTTTATTTTGGCTTAAAACATTTATGATAATGGTAATAGCAAATACTCTGTACCAAGCACTTTTGCATATATTAACTCACTTAACCCTCTCAACAACCCAATGATACAGTTTTGATCTATCAGTTCCTATTAGGTGCTGTTATTGTCCTTATCCCCACTTTGCAGATGAGGAAACTGAGGGACAGCTAAATTGAATAAATTGCCCCAAATCTCACAGCTTATAAGTGTCAGAGCTAGGACTTGAGCCCAGGAACTCTGGATCCAAAGTCTATGCTGCTGATGTATTTTTCTTAATATGTCAAATTTCTTTGTGTGTGTGTGTGTGTGTGTGTGTGTGTGTGTGTGTGTGTTTTAAAAAGTATTCTGTTTTCTTTCAGCTGTTTTCAGCTAAAGTGATGGGCGATCCCTTCCTCGTGGGGGAGATAGGCCTGCTTGCATTCAAGTCTGCAGCAGACGTAGGACAGAACCAAGGCCAAGATTCTCATATGCTGCTCCTACAGACATTTTCCAAACTTTTGGAACTCTTGACCCTCTGGCATAGGCTGATAGAGATGAGTCTGGGGAGTGTACACTTAGCACGGTCAGTAGGGGGACTGAGGATCCAGATGGAGGATAACAGACTACGGGTCCCCTTACCTGCAAGCCTTGCCCCATCTCTGCCCCAAGAGTAGCCAGAGTGAGCTTTCTAAATGGCTGAAATGATGACCTCCCTTTCTCCCTCCCTCCATTGTTTATCCTCTCACTCAGGCCTCCCCACATGCCTCTCTGACCACTCAACTAGGCTGGGTTCTCCTCCGAGCACCCGGGCTTCCTCTTCATTCAGCCACTGCCTTTTAATTAGATGCTTAATATTGGTTTGTTGGTTTTCCTGCTAGTGTAAGCTCCCTAGTATCCTATCAGGGGTATGAAGCCTGACCCTCACTGGGCACTCAGTGAATACTGATTGTGTTTGCTCTCAAATATAATGAAGTTGAATAGCAGAGCAGAAGCAATGGAGGGCCTAAAGAAAGGAAAGAATGAGTCAGTGACAGCATCCAGGTCTGGCAGAGGTATGGAAGGTTCAGCAGGCAGGGGGAGAGAACACTTAGTGAGTTAGGTTTTAGGTATGAGCGTGAGATGATGGTAAGACATTTAAGTGAACATGTTTCCCAAACTGGAAAAATATGGAACTTGAAGATTTGTTGCAAACGTGTATGAGTTCTGTTGTGTTCTGTCCCCATGAGAGGCCCTGAAGACGCAAAGAGTCCAATCATCAACCATCAACCACTGTCTAGGGCCTAGTGTGGCCAGGGTCTGTACTGGGGACTTTACATGTATTAGTTCATGTACTCCTCAGAATACTCTTTTGATATGATAGCTTTATGATGTCCTTATGATATATTATGATATGATAGCTTACAAACATGTTACCAGCAGGAAGGTAGAGGCTCAGAAAAATTAAGTAATTTGCCTAAGATCAAATAACTAGAAAGTAGTAGAAGCAGAATTCAAACCATGAGCCCAGATATTATTAACTGCTATGATACTACCTCCTCATAATTTCTGATCCTTGTTCTCAGGGAGTTCACAATGTAAAAGTTCCCCCTAATAAAGTTTAGTATGATATTTTAGTCATATGAACAAAATACTATGGGAGCACAGGAAATAGTGTATTTCACTCTTTCTAAGTGAATCAGAGAAAGTTCCATAGAAAAGGGCCTAGGGATGATTGTGTAACTCCAAAATTCATATGTTCAAGCTCTAACCCCTAGTACCCCAGAATGTGACCTTATTTGGAGATAGGATCTTTCTTTACAGAGGTAGTCAAGTTAAAATGAAGTTATCAGAGTAGGCTCTTATCTAATATAACTGGTGTCCTTATAAGAAGAGGTAGTTTGGACACAGACATACCCAGAAGGAATACTGTGTGAAACCATAAGGACAAGATAGCCATCTATTAGCCGAGAAAGGCCTAGAACAGCTCCTTCACTCAAAACCCTCAGAAGGAACCAACCCTGCAACACTGACCTTGGACTTCTGTCCTCCAGAACTGAGACAAATTTCTGTTGTTTAAGCCCCCCAGCTTATGGTACTGTTTCACAGCAGCCTAGCAAACTAATACAGGTGCCATTTGAACTCAGCCTTAATGTACCAAATTCTCAAGATGAAGAAGTGTGTTAGAATGGGGGTAAGAGAGGAAGGGAAGGCATTCTAGACACAGAAGCCTGAAATGCCAGAGCGACATCTGAATGGATCCTGGCTGCAAGCCATGGACACGTGAGAGTAGAGCTCAGAGTTGAAGCAGGACAGAGGTGGGGGTCACAGGCTCTTACACAAGGGGGTGATGGTTAGGGCCTGGAGTTGGATGACAGACTCCCTAAGGAGGGCATGGAGAAGGTGAGAAGAGGGTTAGGTTTAGAACACCAGGAAACAGGTGTTGAAAATAAAGAGGAGAAGCCGGAATGTAGCGGCAGCAATGGTGGCGGGATGGGGGCAGCAGTGCTTGGCTGCTCAGCCAGTGCCCTGGCATGGGGTGGGTGCAGCTCTTTGTGGTCCGCCAGAGCCACAACCGTGTCATCAACAGCCCGGGGGAACGTCTAGCAGGGGCTGTGCACATGCGACTGGTGCCACTGCCCTTCCGAGCCATCCGGGTGACCCGCATGGGGTCCTGCAGTGTCTCCAACAAGGTCAGTGACATGGCATGGGTGGTAGAGGAGGGCTATTTCAACAACCAAAAAGAGGAGAAGCCAGTGAAGACTGAGAGCGAGTAGTCAAGAGGCAGAAGCATGGAGATCCTGGATCCAGGAGAACAAAAATGTTCCTCAGGGAGGAGACAGGCCAACCATGAGGAGCTCTGAGAAAAAATGGTGAACCTCCTATTGAGGGCAATATTGGTGACCTCAGGAGGGCTCTGAAGACAGAAGCTAACTTGTAGGAAATGAGAGTTGAGGAAGTGCCCAAGCATATCTCCTCCCACCTTAACTACTATCTTTAACTGTCAGAGCTTAGGGCAGACTCAAAACCCTTGTGACTCATTCACTTCACACCGGACTTGGCTTACTTTTGTTTTGACTTTTGCTTTTGTGCTTATTCAGATGGTTTGGTTTTCTTACCACTTACTTTCCTTTTAGGGGAAAATAATAGCAAATGTTCTTGGCTTTTTTTTTGTCCCTTTTAGTCTTACAAGGACTTGGCATGTGAGATGGGTTTTGAAGAGTTCCATTTGTATCTGAGGCCTGTTCACTTTGAATTTGCATCACACGAAGACAAGGTGGTCCATCCACCTCCTGTCTTTATTATCTCTCTGCTGGAGGACAGTGACCATGTAGATAGGTGAGCCTTGAGAGGGTCAAAGTAAAAATAATGTAACAGTAGAATGAGTGGCCAGTAAAAACTAATTTCTATCACCGCTGGCCATGCAAATGCAATTGCATTCTAAATTCTCTCCCTTATAATCTATCTGCCATGATGTCAATGTTTTTCTTTTCCTTTCTTTTTTTTTTGTTTGAATGTTATTTTATTTATTTTTTATACAACAGGTTTTTATTAGTTATCTGTTTTATACATATTAGTTTATATATGTCAATCCCAATCTCCCAATTCATCCCACCACCACCACCACCCCTGCCACTTTTCCTCCTTGGTGTCCACACATTTGTTTTCTATATCTGTGTTTCTATTTCTGCCCTGCAAACCGGTTCATCTGTACCATTTTTCCAGGTTCCACATATATGCGTTAATATATGATATTTGTTTTTCTCTGACTTACTTCACTCTGTATGATAGTCTCTAGATCCATCCATGTCTCTACAAATGACCCAGTTTCGTTCCTTTTTATGGCTGAGTAATATTCCTTTGTATATATGTACCACATCTTCTTTATCCATTCATCTGTCGATGGGCATTTAGGTTGTTTCCATGACCTGGCTGTTGTAAATAGTGCTGCAATGAATATTGGGGTGCATGTGTCTTTTTGAATTATGGTTTTCGCAGGGTATATGCCCAGCAGTGGGATTGCTGGATCATATGGTAATTCTATTTGTAGTTCTTTAAGGAACCTCCATACTGTTCTCCATAGTGGCTGTATCAATTTACATTCCCACCAACAGTGCAAGAGGGTTCCCTTTTCTCCACACCCTCTCCAGCATTTGTTGTCTGTAGATTTTCTGATGATGCCCATTCTTACTGGTGTGAGGTGATATCTCATTGCAGTTTTGATTTGCATTTCTCTGTCACTCAGATGGACTTCTTTGCTTCTATATGTGTATGTGCAGGTTTGTATTTGTGTGTGTATGTTTTAAACACTAATCTAATTTGGCAGTTTTACAAAAGCCTACCTTTGAGCATATATTTGCTAGTTAATCAGAGCCTACTCATCCTTTTCTGATAACTGGGGAAACCTGATGCTGTCCAGATACAGAGCAATTAGGCCTGGAGCCTGCCTTCATGGGATGAAACACTGCTTATGGACAGACCAAATTCAGGCTTGTGGCTGAGGAGCAAGGATCTCAACGTATCCAGCAGTTTGAGCCATACATTTACATGTTAAGTAAGTGGTGATCCCCACCCTCAACTTCACCTTTCTGTTATGAGAGAAATTCCTAATTACTTTCACATTTCTTCCTTTAGCTCTTGTTCCATCCGGGAGTGGAAAATATGCAAGTGACCCTTGCATGCCAAGCTACTCAGAAAAATGCTTTAATGGTGGCTGTCCAGCAGGCGTCCTTCTATCACACTCCCTGAGGGGCCCATCACGCTGATGTCAAGGTCAGCCTGTAAGATAGAGAAGCCTGAGGCGTGCTACCACTACCGCCAGCTACTGTCAGGCTGCCCCATTCTTTCCTCCCTCCCCCTTTCCCTCCCTCCTCCTTCCTCCACTCCTCCCTCCTTTCCTTCTTCCCATCCTCCCCTTTTCCCTCCTTGTCTTTCTCCCTTTTTTGACCATTTTTTCCCTATCTTTTTACCTTCTTTCCTTCCCTCTTCCCCCCCCCTTCCTTCTTTCCTAATACAAACTGACATATGATCAAATTCTTACTGGGTCTCTTAATTTTCAGTGGTTTGCTTATAATTTTTCCATTGTATGTGACTCTATAATATTGACAAGCTAGAATCAACCAGCAGAAAATATCCTGTTCCTCCACCCCTACCCTTTGTGGATAAATGATTCCATTGTTTTCTGTTTTATCCTTCCTGTATTTCTTTTTGCAAAAGTAACCAGATACATTTGCCCTTCTTTTTTTCACAAAAGGTAACACAAAATATATTCTCTTTCTTTTCCAAATTTTTTAGTTGTTATTGATATAATTCACATAACATAAAATTCACCCCTTTAACGTATAATTCACAAGACCATGCAATCATCACCACTATCTAATTCGAGAACATTTTCCTCATTCTGAAAAGAAACCCTGTACCCATTAGCAGTCAATCCCCATTCCCCACTTTCCTCAGCTCCTAGCAACCAGTAATCCACTTTCTGTCTCTATGGATTTGCCTATTCTGGACATTTCATATAAATGGAATCATACAATATATGGCCTTTTATGTCTGAGTTTTTTCACTTAGCATAGTGTCTTCAAGCTTCATCCATGTCGTAGCATGTACCAGTACTTCGTTTTTGTTTTGTTTCATTTTTTACTGATGAATAATATTTTATTATATGTATATACCACGTTTTACTTATCCATTCATCAGTTGACAGACATTGGGTTGTTTTTACTTTTTAACTATTATGAATAATGCTGCCATGAACATTTATATACAAGTTTTTGTAAGGACATATGTATGTTTTGAGTTTTGCTAACACTTTTTATTATCTCTCTTTTTTATTTTAGCCATCTAGTGAGGGTAAAATGATATCTCACTGTGGCTGTGATTTGTATTTTTCTAATTACTTATGACATTGAGCATCTTTTCATGTGCTTATTGGCTATTTGTATATCTTTGTTAAAGACATGTCAATTCAAATCCTTTGCCCTTTTATAAAATTGGATTTTTTTTTATTATTGAGTTATAAGAGTTCTTTACGTATTCTGAATACAAGTTCTTTATCAAGTATATGATTTGAAAATATTTTCTTCCATTCTGAGGATCATCTTCTTACTTCCTTGATGGTGTTCTTTGAAACAAAAGTTTTTCATTTTGATGAGTCCAATTTACCTATTCTTTTTGTATTTTCTCCATTCTATTTCCAAGATTTTGAATCATCTTTACTGTCATTACTCTGAATTCTTTTTCAGGTAGACTGCCTATTTCCTGTTCATTTGTTTGGTCTGGTGGGTTTTTACCTTGCTCCTTCATGTGCTGCATATTTCTCTGTCTTCTCATTTTGTTTAACTTAACGTGTGTTTGGGGTTTCCTTTTCGCAGGCTGCAAGTTCGTAGTTCCCATTGTTTTTGGTGTTTGCCCCCAGTGGGTGAGGTTGGTTCAGTGGCTTGTGTAGGCTTCCTGGTGGAGGGGACTGGTGCCCGTGTTCTGGTGGGTAGGGCTGGACCTTGCCTTTCTGGTGGGCAGGGCCGTGTCCAGCAGTGTGTTTTGGGGGTGTCTGTGAACTTAGTATGATTTTAGGCAGCCTCTCTGCTAATGGGTGGGGTTGTGTTCCTGTCTTGCTAGTTGTTTGGCATGGGGTGTCCAGCACTGGAGCTTGCTGGCTGTTGGGTGGAGCTGGGTCTTAGCATTGAGATGGAGATCTCTGGGAGAGCTCTTGCCAATAGATATTACGTGGAGCCAGGAGGGCTCTGATGGTCCAGTGTCCTGAACTTGGCTCTCCCACCTCGGAGGCTCAGGCCTGACACCAGGCCTGGTGTCAGGCCTGATCCTGTCAGCTGCACAGCCAGGTACATGGGGATTTTCTTGCCTTTTAGGAAGTCTGAGGTCTTCTGCCAGTGTTCAGTAGGTGTTCTGTAGGAGTTGTTCCACATGTAGTTGTATTTTTGATGTATATGTGGGGAGGAAGGTGATCTCTATGTCTTACTTGTCAGCCATCTTGAAGGTCCCCCTGAAATAGGAGACTCCACTAAAGACACCAACCTCCGCAAGAGCTAGAGGTGCAGAGGCATTTTTTTCAGAGGGTTTGCAGCTTGCTGGAATGGCAGAAAGGGAGAAAAAGAGAAGATCCTCTAGGGCAAGGGAGGAGAAGTAAGACCCACAACTGCAACCGCCATCGCTTTCGGGACTGGGCCCAATTTACCAATTCTTCTTTTGTCACTTACTCTTTTGGTGTTACATCTAAGAAACCATTGCTTAATCCAAAGTCAGGAAGATTTACTCCTATGTTTTCTTCTAAAAGTTTTGTAGTTTTAGCTCTTACATTCAGGTCAATGATTCATTTATGGTTAATTTTTATATGTAGTGTGAGATAGGGGGTCCAACTTCATTCTTTTTTTTTTTTTTTTGCAGTACACGGGCCTCTCACTGTTGTGGCCTCTCCCATTGCGGAGCACAGGCTCCGGACGCGCAGGCTCAGTGGCCATGGCTCACGGGCCCAATTGCTCCGCGGCATGTGGGATCTTCCCGGACCAGGGCACGAACCCGTGTCCCCTGCATCGGCAGGCAGACTCTCAACCACTGCGCCACCAGGGAAGCCGCAACTTCATTCTTTTGAGTGTACTTATCCAGCTGTCGCAGTATCATTTGTTGTAAAGACTCATTTTTCCCCATTGAATTGTCCTGGCACCCTTGACAAAAATCAGTTGACCATAAATGTAAGAGTGTATTTCTGGACCCTTAATTCTTTTTTTTTTTTTAAGAATTTTTACTCCAAAGATAAAAAAGTAATAAAGAGGCAGAGAATCACATAGTTATGCACTAATTAGATTAGGCATATTGATAATATTCCTTTGAAGTTGTAGATGGCAAATTTTTCCCTTCTACTTTCTTTTTTTTAATTACGTTATGATTTTATTAGTATTAAATATAACAAAAATTAAAACATAAAGTTATCACATACAGTGCTAGATTAACATTTAAATACAACACATAAAAAATCACAAAATAAGAAATGAAAAAACAAAAACCAGGTAAGATTTATTTACACAAGAGTGTAAAGCAACTATACTCCAATTTAAAAAAAAAAAGATTTATTTAACGTGGTAGGTGTGTTTGCCTGTTCATAAGTTCATTCCAGTCTGGAACACAGGAGGATAATGCTACTTGCATATCTGCTGCACCTTTCCTTTGTTTTTTCTGGGTTAAGACTGAAAGCCCTAGCTCACACAAACTAGTTGTTGTGAATGGTAATAAGAGCAGGATACTCTTTCGACTTAACAAAGGAAAGTCTTCCTTTATCTTAATCCAAAATGCGATAAACTTAATGTTTCATAATCATTCTTCAATGTATATGAAGAACTGAGCTATAATAATTCATTTTCTTCTTCAGGCACCAAGTTGAACTCAATTATTGATTCTGGGTTTCGAAAAGCGAATGGATCTTTTACCCAACAATTTTGTCTTAATGTTTCAAATTTCTCTTCTGGGAATAAATGGTTAAAAGTTTGACATAGAGAAGTGAGATGCAACAATATCTCTAGTTTTATTTCTTCCAAAATGTTTTCATTAATAACATTCTCTTTGATGTGCTTCAAAATCCTTGGAAACATGTAGTAGCTAGGATGGTTGCTTTTTTTTTTTTTTTAACATCTTTATTGGAGTATAATTGCTTTACAATGGTGTGTTAGTTTCTGCTTTATAACAAAGTGGATCCGCTATACATATATATATATATCCCCATATCTCCTCCCTCTCGCGTCTCCCTCTCACCCTCCCTATCCCAACCCTCTAGGTGGTCACAAAGCACCGAGCTGCTCTCCCTGTGCTATATGGCTGCTTCCCACTACTATCTATTTTAAATTTGGTAGTATATGTAAGCCCATGCCACTCTCTCACTTCGTCCCAGCTTACCCTTCCCCCTCCCTGTGTCCTCAAGTCAATTCTCTATATTTGTTTTTCTCTTTCTGACTTACTTCACTCTGTATGAGAGACTCTAGATCCATCCACCTCACTACAAATAACTCAATTTCGTTTCTTTTTATGGCTGAGTAATATTCCATTGTATATACGTGTCACATCTTCTTTATCCGTTCATCTGTCGATGGACACTTAGGTTGCTTCCATGTCCTGGCTATTGTAAATAGTGCTGCAATGAACATTGTGGTACATGACCCTTTTTGAATTATGGTTTTCTCAGGGTATATGCCCAGCAGTGGGATTGCTGGGTCATATGATAGTTCTATTTTTAGATTTTTAAGGAACCTCCATACTGTTCTCCATAGTGGCTGTATCAATTTACGTTCCTGCCAACAGTGCAAGAGGGTTCCCTTTTCTCCACACCCTCTCTCGCATTTATTGTTTCTAGATTTTTTGATGATGGCCATTCTGACTGGTGTGAGGTGATACGTCATTGTAGTTTTGATTTGCATTTCTCTAATGATTAGTGATGTTGCGCATCCTTTCATGTGTGTGTTGCCAATCTGTATATCTTCTTTGGAGAAATGTCTATTTAGGTCTTCTGCCCATTTTTTGACTGGGTTGTTTGTTTTTTTGATATTGAGCTGCATGAGGTACTTGTAAATTTTGGAGATTAATCCTTTGTCAGCTGCTTCATTTGAAAATATTTTCTCCCATTCTGAGGGTTGTCTTTTCGTCTTGCTTATGGTTTCCTTTGCTGTGCAAAAACTTTGAAGTTTCATTAGGTCCCATTTGTTTATTTTTGTTTTTATTTCCATTTCTCTAGGAGGTGGGTCAGAAAGGATCTTGCTGTGATTTATGTCATAGAGTGTTCTGTCTATCTTTTCTTCTAAGAGTTTTACAGTGTCTGGCCTTACATTTAGGTCTTTAATCCATTTTGAGTTTATTTTTGTGTATGGTGTTAGGGAGTGTTCTAATTTCTTTCTTTTACATTTAGCTGTCCAGTTTTCCCAGCACCACTTATTGAAGAGGCTGTCTTTTCTCCATTGTATATTCTTGCCTCCTTTATCAAAAATAAGATGACCATATGTGTGTGTGTTTATCTCTGCACTTTCTATCCTGTTCCATTGATCTATATTTCTGTTTTTGTGCCAGTCCCATACTGTCTTGATTACTGTAGCTTTGTAGTATAGTTTGAAGTCAAGGAGCCTGATTCCTCAGCTCTCTTTTTCTTTCTCAAGATTGCTTTGGCTATTCGGGGTCTTTTGTGTTTCCATACAAATTGTGAAATATTTTGTTCTAGTTCTGTGAAAAATGCCATTGGTAGTTTCATAGGGATTGCATTGAATGTGTAGATTGCTTTGGGTAGTATAGTCATTTTCACAATGTTGATTCTTCCAATCCAGGAAGATGGTATATCTCTCCATCTGTCTGTATCATCTTTAATTTCTTTCATCAGTGTCTTATAGTGTTCTGCCTGCAGGTCTTTTGTCTCCTTAGGTAGGTTTATTCCTAGGTATTTTATTCTTTTTGTTGCAATGCTAAATGGGAGTGTTTCCTTAATTTCAGATTTTTCTTCATTAGTGTATAGGAATACAAGAGATTTCTGTGCATTAATTTTGTATCCTGCTACTTTACCAAATTCATTGATTAGCTCTAGTAGTTTTCTGGAAGCGTCTTTAGGATTCTCTATGTATAGTATCATGTCATCTGCAAACAGTGACAGCTTTACTTCTTTTCCAATTTGGATTCCTTTTGTTTCTTTTTCTTCTTTGATTGCTGTGGCTAGGTCTTCCAAAACTGTGTTGAATAATAGTGGTGAGAGTGGGCAACCTTGTCTTGTTCCTGATCTTAGTGGAAATGGTTTCAGTTTTTCACCATTGAGCATGATGTTGGCTGTGGGTTTGTCATTATTATGTTGAGGTAAGTTCACTCAAAAGTTCATTGCTGACTCCGAGAGAGCAGTTCTAAGGGGGTTAGAGTGAAAGCCAGACTGCCGGAGTTAAGGAGTGACAGAATGATAGCAATGTAGAAGTAGGGTATATTTACAGATCCTGCATTAGTCTGCTGGGGCAGCCATACCAAAATACCATATACTGGGTGGCTTAAACAACAGAAATTTATTTTTTCATAGTTCTGGAGGCTAGAAGTCCAAGATCAAGGAGCCAACATGATCAGCTTCTAGTGAGAGCTCTCTTCCTGGCAGATGTCTGCATTTTCACTGTCCTCACAAGGCAGAGAGAGAGAAAGTTCTGGTGTCTCTTCCTCCTCTTATAAGGACACCAGCCCTATCAGATTTGGGCCCCACCCTTATGACCTCATCTAACCCTAATTACCTCATCTAACCCTAATTACCTCCCAAAGGCCCCATTTCCAAATACCATCACTGGGGGTTAGGGCTTCATTGTAAGAATTTAGGGGGAGACACAAGCATTTAGTCCATTATAACTCTTTAAGAAGTTGGGTCAGAATTGAAGAGGAAGCTTGAGGGGTCGGAGAATTAAGAATAAAATAGATGTGATCATATTTGTAGGAAGGGACTGGAAAAAATGAAGAAAGTGAGGATAGAAACAAAAGATGGTCATGGTTGAGATTTTGAGTGCAACTTGAGGGAGTCAAGGATTTAAGGGTTCCACTTAGCAGCTTCTATGGTCCAGGCAAGGCAGTGAGCTAAGTGATGGATATACCTGAGCTCATGGGTCCTCTCAGCAGCCCTAGGAGGTGGAGGACATCATCCCCTTTTTCTAGGTGAGGAAACAGGTTTTGAAAGGTTAGGGAACAGAGCCAAGATAACCAGCTGAGTGTCAGCACTAGGATCTGATTACAGAGCTTATTTTCTTCCCTCTTAGCTCACTCATAGCCTTTCGAAGACCTCTTGAGTCTTCTGAACTTGTATATTCTACTATTTCCAGGAGACTGGGATAGCCCAAGAGTCTTCAGAAAAAATCAAGATGGAAACTTTAGCCTTTTTAACCCAAGATTTTTTTCTTTTGTCTCATTTTTCTTAAGTGTCTTTCAGTAATTCAGCTATGGAGAACTTATTTCTTTCTTTGAAGAAGAATAGTCTTTCCTTTGAAGGCTTAATATTTTTCTTTTAGTTAGTATTTTAGACAAATGTAAAAGAATTCCATCCATCATGCCCTGTAGTTCCATAATCAATAGGAATATTGGAAGATACAGATTTCCCTTTTTTTCTTCCCCCGCTTCCTTCCCCACCCTCCCTCCACCTCTCCCTCCCTCATTATTACATTATGCAGGGCAGCATATACAGCCCACCTCCATATGCTTAGGCTATACAAGAATGGGCAGGCCTTCCCTGGTGGCGCAGTGGTTGAGAGTCCGCCTGCCGATGCAGGGGACACGGGTTCGTGCCCTGGTCCGGGAAGATCCCACATGCCGCAGAGCGGCTGGGCCCGTGAGCCATGGCCACTGAGCCTGCGCGTCCGAAGCCTGTGCTCCGCAATGGGAGAGGCCACAACAGTGAGAGGCCCATGTACCGCAAAAAAAAAAAAAAAAAAAGAATGGGCACCCTGAGATGATTTTTCAGATCTTGCAGCCATGAAGTTCATCAGCTGTATTTCTTGAGAGGCCAGTATACAAAGCACTCCAACTAGCCACCTTGTAAAACGGAGAGTTTTTTCTCAGAGCACCTTAGACAACTCTATTCTGGAAATAGTCACACTTAGTGCCTCACCCCTTCATTGTGCAAAATGGTATCTCTCTTCCGTTTGCTCCCTTACTCTCTCCTCTCCTCCCCTTCTCTTCTCTCCCTTCCACTCCCTCCCACCCCCAGTGTATCCAGCCATTTACATGTATTTGGGGTCAGTTATGGCTGTGAGATAATTTTACAGTCAGTACCACAGGACTTACAAATCCAACAAATTTAATTCACTTTGGTTTGAAATATTTTAGGAAATAACTTTCTCAGGTCTGAGAAATCATAGTGGAATGGGTCCAACCAGAAGAAGAAATTCCAGAACTGTGAATGGCATAGAAAGCATGCTGTTAGCTGCAACTCCAAAAGTCCCAGACACACTTATTCATCCTTCAGAAAGATTCCAGGCTACCAAAAGGTACTGCATGGGGGTGGCGGTGAAGGGTTGTTGATAATAACAAAAGTATCCTCTTTCAAGCCAGTTAGTAACAGTATTATGGGATTGAATGATGCCTAAACTCCCAGAGTCACCAGCATGTGTTAAATTTTTAAGACCTTGTCTGAAAACGTTATAAAACACCAAGAAGGCTCAGCTCCTTCTAATATGCTCCAGTCTCTGAAGGAGAGTCAACAGTTCCTAATTTCAGACTCGACTCTTCTCCCTCTTCTCCTTTCTCTTTCTCTTCCCTTCTTCCCCTCCTTCTTCCCTCTCTCTATATTTTTCAAACTCCAACAAGGGTAGAACATAAGGAAGAAGAATATCAGCATGTCCAAATTTTCTACATCTTAAACAGAAAAGCACAGAACTACCCTCACTATTCTAACAAGGGTTTTTCCATTGCTTAGAATAATAGAATGGTACATTGTCAGAGAGGCACAGCCTCTACAGACATATATCTATAAACCAGCGTTTCCCTATTATATCTTGATCTCGTATTCTGTAATAATTTGTATTACAGAATACGACATTTGTATTCTGTAATAATTATGAATACTCTGAATATTTTATTGAGGCATACCAATGAGACTCTAGTCTAATTCTGGCAAATTTAGAATGAAAAAAAATAACAGGCAAAGCCACTCTACTCCTCAAGATGCCCTTAATCTGACACATGGCCAGAGTTTGAATGCTCTAAATTCACATTCCCAGTGTGTGGATGGGAGATTTAAGACCAATGTGTCTAGTCAAGAGGACCCTTAGGAGGCCACTTCCGTCCAGGTACCCCTACAGTTCAGACCAGGAGGGCACAAAGGGACCTTGGGAATACAAACACTGGGCCAGGCTATGAAGTTTGAGAGTGAGGGGGGACTGATGATGCATGCCTCAGGCACATGGGGGTCCCCAACAAGGATGGTGACATATCAGCATCCCCACTGAATAGAAGAGAAACACCTGGAGCAGGTAAGAACCACAGAAACAGAGCCACATGATCTCCTGTTGCAGTGCCCAGTATGCAGCCCCAGGTGTTCCTGTCCACCAGTCTTATTGTTATATGTCCATTTACCTCCTGCCTTGGGCTCACATGTCTCTGTTCACTTGTCAGGGATCTGGAAGCTTTCGCGTCTATTCAACTAGAAAAGGTGGGGCTGCGGGACATTATGCTGAACGCCTTCCTCCTCAGGAAACAAGCCATGGCTGACAGAATGAAGAACCTCGTGAGTGTAGTAAGAAGGGCTCCCTAAAGATCTCATCACCTTTTACATTTGAACAAATAAAAATTCTTAACTTGGAACCTGTTGCTTTCAGCCTATTTGGTTAGAACTATTGAAAATATAAAGAAATGAAAAAGAGAGTTCAATAAGATATAGAAAGGAAGGAATTCAAGCTAATTGCAGTCTAGTTTTTAAAATATGTGCATTTTTCCAAGGGCACATTTTGTTTTGTCACTTTCTAAGCAGACCTAGTTTCAGCACCTACTCTGGAACATTTGACAACTCCTGAGTGACCCACAGGTGCTTAGGGGGTTTAGACAAGGTACACAAGGGCTCTTGCCATCAAATTCACCTGTTATCTTGGTTTTTCAGACACTACCACCATGTTTCTATTAAACAGTTTTATACTGACCTAATCTTTTGAGAAGTATTATGAAATTCAAACCTTTGTCAATTAAAAGTGTTGCTTAATTTTATGGATATTATTTCATTATTCATTAATTTTTTGATGAAGAAGTCCTTAGGCTAATATATAGTTATTTGGGAATGAAATGACAAGGTTCACAATCTCTAGGCTTTGTCCATACCTGTGACTGAAAAGGAAGGACTTCAATTTACCTAATCAAGTTCTACAAATTGGATATGATGGAGGCTAGACCTTCTAGATTACTGCTGAGCAATAATGGGGGCAAAGGACTCCTTTTGGTAAGTATTTAAGTAAATTACTTTGATAAGTAAATTACTTTTTTAACTAAAATATTCAAAAAATATTGACCAAGTGAAAAGTATATTAGCTCATTAACTGCCCTTCGGGAATATCCAATGCCTATCAGATTAGAAAGGGTTCAGACAATATAATTGTCAGTTTTGTCAAGGTCTGGGATTTTAGCCTACTTATAAGCTAATAAGTTAGCCTGTTACTGTTCTGAGGATGCTGGCAGAGGACACAAGACTCCTAGGTCAGAGACAAAGAACTTTGTTACTCACAGCAGAGCCAGCCTCATGAGCCTCATGTTTGTGCCATTTCCTTTTGCCTCCGAGGTTCCACAGGGGCAACATGGAGGAGCCGAGGTACACGCAGTTTTGTGTCACAGTTGAGTAACATTGAGCTTGGGAATCCACCTGCTTTTTTTTCTAGAGAGAGATGTTACCTCATCCCTCCAGACTGCTCTCTGCAAACATAACCCTGAGAAATGGTTCAGGTAAAGAGTGGTAAGGGCCTTGAATTCTTGGCATACTCTCAAGATGTGCTGGAGTAGGAAAGACCCACAGAGGAATATCTCCCAGTAGGTTGACCTTCAGAAAGAATATCTCAGCTGTGTGGCCTTCTCCTGCTTTAAGTTAGCTATAAGTTTGTACAGATGTATTAGCTTGGGGAATTCTTATAGCCAACTGTCTAATAGGAAAACTGTCATTCTCTTTTACCACAGGATGAAATTGGGAAAGTCAAGAGAGATGTTATAGCTGAATATTGCCAGAAGTAAGTATAGTATATGTGAACTACACATGCTGATTTATGACTCTGAACTCAATAAACAACAGTATTATACAGAAATCCATACAATTAATCAGCTGGTTTGTGTTTAAATAAGCCATAGTCCTACTGGATAAAAGCAAATTAAACTGCCTTCTGACACACAGAGGAAGCAGTATCAGAAGTGACGGCTAAGAGGCACTTGGAAGAGATCCATGTCTCTGCCTTCAGACAACAGCAACCTGACCAAGACAGAAGTTTCTTCTTGACAGAGGTCCTCTATTCTCTTTGAAAAGTCTCCAGGGACTTATACCCTGGAACTTCCGTGAGAGATGGAACAACTTGGATTCACCTCTGTACATCATCTCTTCTTCTGACTTTTTAGATTCAACCGCCACATGTCTCACTATGCTCTTCGGGGGCGGATCATGGCATACTGCAACAGCCTGAGAGCCCTGCTGGACGATTTCCCTACCATCAGAGATACCTTTTTCGTGCTGGGACAACCACAAGAAGAGAAGGGGTCGAGGGACTCCAAGGAGGGCCTCAAGCCTGACCCCAGGTGCAGAATTCTCTTTAGAGCTTGTTATTCCCCCTCCCCATCCCACTTCTCCTAGGGGAGAGGTTTGTTAAGTTTGGTATGGAAATCTTGCTCCCTTTAACGTATTTAACCTTGATCTTCTGGTCCAGAAAGGGAAAAGAAAGAGCTAACACTCCAAGAATAAGTGTATCTTTGTATTTGAATGCAAAAGGAGTTCTTTGTTTATGGGCTGTTTGACTACTTTTTCAATCTATGAAGTTTTGTTTACCCCTGGAGTACCCAGAGATTTTCATCAGTCACACCCTTTTACATAGGCCAGCATCTAAAGTAAGCAAACAAATAAGTAAACTTAATCTTGAACTGTTTCTGGCTTCAAATATTTTACTCAGTGGAGTAGAAGAAATATTCAGGAAAAAACAAAACAAAACAGTGATACTCCAGTGCTTTGGATAAATCAGTGTCCTTCCATACTTCACCGATAGAGAAAAAAATATATATGTAGAATGATATTAAGTGATAAGAGTGGAGCTGCTTCCATACCTCCTTATCATGCCTTATCCAGTTTTCCAGATGTTCGTAATTCAGCCTACCTAGAGTTCACTCACTTGGATGGAGGAGTTGGCATACCAGTGCTGTAAGTGACCAAATTTCCTTTGAGGAAAAAAAAGGGGGGTATTACACAGTTACACAGCCTCCAAGAGGGAGCAAAAACACCCTATAGGGTGAGCTGCCTTCCCTCCTTACTCTTTCCCTTTTGGCATGGACACAGAGTTTAGTTCTGAGTAAGAGTAATAATAAATATGATCACAGAACAGAAAGATGGAAGGGAATTGAAAGACCATTTGTATCAGACCACTCTTTCACTCACTTATCATTCATGGATTATTCAACCATTATTTGTTCAGTGCTTAGTTAGTACCAAGTACTTTGTTATGTATACTGGAGTTTCAAAGGTGAATAAGTCATTTTGACTCTGGCAATAAATTCAGTCTAGTGGAGGAAATCTCTATAAACAAACAAGTCACTTCAAAGATTTCAAAGATAACATGTTAGAGTTATGTGAAAGTCCTGTGAGGACACAAAAGAGGAAGTGTTGAACTCTAGCCCAGGGCCTCAGGGAGAAAGTCAAAGAAGAGGTGACAAGTAAGTTGGAGTTCACCAAGGAAAAGGTGATGGTAGAACAGACTAGAGAATGCTAGAGAATCAAAGAAGTTGAGTCTCTGCCCTTGGCTGACTGAGAGCTGGCTATCAAAATAGTGGCCAATCTGACCTTGATACTTATAAGATGACCAGTTTGTGGATTACCAGTGTTTTGTCTCATGAGCCCAGCCAGTACATTCACTTGGGTAGAATTCAGGATTTACCTAATGGAAGAATGCATTAGAGAGAGAAGCAGGGCAAAAAATACCTCAGGAGACTGATAATTTTGCTGAAAGTTTGACTGGACATCTATTGCCCAGTGAGGCTGAAGTGCATCTTTCTTTCATATAAAAACATCACAGGATAATCCTCTAAGACTTCTTAGTTCCATTTTCTCATCCACCCAATAGCCATGTCAACCATTTATAAACCCAATCTACATTTGGATCAAATTTTAAAAATAGTTTACAGAACTCTAACCGTGAGTTCACTACATTCTTATTTAGGATAAATGGATTAAGGAAGTCTATTTTGGTTTCTAATCTGTTTTATTTGCAGCCACCAAATAAGGAGGTCAGGATGTAGAGAGGGAAAAAAAAATCTCTCCAACTTGCAGGTTTTGCTCTATTCCATTATTGGGTTTTTTTGTTCGTTGTTTTTTTTTTGTTGTTTTTTTTGTTTTGTTTTGTTTTTGTTGTTTTTTTTTTTTTTTTGTAGATCATGTGTGTTAGCTAAAGATTAAGGGAAACAGTCATTTAAGTGGGAGAGGCTAGAGCCCTAAATCGTCTGGTCAGTTAATGTGTGATCATTTCAGGACAGGGCTTTGGTCTAGGAAAGTGTGAGCAAAGGGAGTGCCCACCCAGAACCCAAGTCATATAGTCAGGCAGTGGATGAACAGCAACTGACTGATACAGATTCAGCAATTCTCCACTACACCCATCTCCTGCTTCCTAAAACCTCTAGATTTTAACATGTCCCTTTTGATACACTCACATGAAATGGAACATGGAGAAAGGAAGTTCTGTCTTCTATGGAAGTTTGGAAAAGGTACTGTATATAATTCTAACGCTAACCCTAACTCCAAAGCCTATGATTCCATGCATTGAGTATTAATAAGAAATGAACCTCAGCCACAAGAAGGTATAATAGGGAGAGTCATGGCCCAAGAATTAGAATGTTGGACTTTACCCGGCATAGTCATAAGTTGTTCTGAGGTCTCGGGCAAATCACTTTTCTTCAATCTCTGGACTTCAACTTTCCATCAAATAAGTGAGGAGATTGTAGCAGCTCTCTGAAGTTAAACATGCTAAGTTTCTTAGTGCTAAATTGTCTAGAGCTTTATTCCAAGGAATAGGACTGCTCAGGAAAGACTTGCTGGGAAAGGAGCCATCTAAGAATGTTCATGAAATTATCACTGGGAATCATCCCAGGTCAAGACTACCTAGAGATAAAGGGACAGAGTTGAGGAATGAGGGTCACGGAGAACAGAGGTCCTCACCTTATTCCTAAAATAAGGAGTTGTGTTAGATCAAGGATAAGAAATGTTTTATTTTAAATGTCAATTCTGTGTCCTGCTGTATTAGTGTCCTGCTGAGGATTCTAAGACATCCCAAACTTGTGATATTGTTGTGATTGATTGGCAGTGTCATACCATGGTCAAGGAAAGGGAGAAAGGAGGCCTCCCTGCTTGTGTTTGCCATCCCCTTGACTAGAAGAGCCCCATAAATTCTGTAGGTTTAAAATTCTAAGATGCTACTTAATCCTTAAAGGCTGTAACATACTGTTTAGCTTTAGCAGAGACACCTGCCCCTAAACCAGAACCTAAATAGAAGAGGAGGAGCCAAGGGAAGCTCTCCTCCAAAGAATGATGCCCCTTGAGGGTTCTATGTCCTTCATGGCTCTAGAGGAGACTGGAGTCTGGAGACTGGGATGACACTTGGCCACACTCCCAGGAGCCATGACGCTGGCTGATAGAGGAGCAAAGAAGGGACAGAAAGAGAGGACACTAACATTCAAGCCCCTACTGTGTGACAGCCAGATCCACCACTATGCCACACTGCTGCTTTATGAGGATTAGAAGAAAGCACGGTTTCCCCCGGGCAGGGGTAGCCCCATGCCAGGGTGCAGAGCTTGGCAAGTAAAGTATAGGCTGGATCTCAGCCGCTGCTGGTTGCCTCAGGGCACAATCTGAGCAACAGTACATGGTAGCCTTGGTGCCAAGCACTGTATAGCAATGAATTAGACATGGTTCTTTCCCTTCAGGCAAGGGGAAATAGGCAATTACAGTACGTTGTGATAAAGAATAAGATTAAAGTATAATGAAAGCACTCACCAGGAAATATTCAGTATTATCTGAAGGAGCAGGGAGGTGGGGATGAGGAGCTAGGTGGGCTTCAGGGAAGAGGGGACACTTAACCTGGGTCTTGAAGGATGACTAGTGTTTCAGGTGCACAAGGAAGAGAAATTCAGTTCATGCTGGGAGACCCGCATGTGTAATGGCACAGAGATATGAGACAGCATGTGGACCTCCCAGTGGCTCCTGTCCAAGGTATGTGAGGATGAGTTGGGGAAGCAGAATGTACAGCACGAAGAGCAACCATCCAGAAGTCTGCCATTTGTCCTGCAACAAACAGGGAGAAGGGGGCAAGATGATTGTCAGCGACCATTTAGGGACCTACTAAAACTGTACAGACAGGAGATGTTTAGGAAGTGAAATCAGCTAGGCCAGGTGCTAGATTTAATGCAGAACTGAGTGAAGAGAAGGAAGAGGAATCTAGGATGTCACCCAGAGTCTCTGGCTTGGGTGAATAAAAAGATGGCAGTGTTGCTGTTGTTTAATGGGTACAGAGTTTCAGTTTTGGAATATGGAAAAAATTTTTTCTGGGCATAAATGGTGGTGATGGTTGCACTGCAGTGTTAATATACTTCATGCCACTGAAATGTGCACTTAAAAACAGTTAAAATGGTAAATTTTATGTTATATATGTTTTATCACATTTTATAATGGAGGAAAAAAAGAATGGTAGTGCCATTAAGAGGAGAGATATGGAGGGGGAGATAATGAATCACAGCTCAGAAGCCCCTGTTGTGAATTTCTTCCCTTGGTCTCCCAGCAAGTCTCAGACGCTTCTTATTCTGAATGTTTTCCACTTTCACATGCTTCCATTCCTCCACGCTTCTATCATAGCATCATGCTCGCAGGTCTAGCTGCCTCTGGAATGTAAGATCCTTGAGGGCAGAGATTGTCTTCACTTCATATCCTATGTGTGTGCCTGTGCCTTTGACCTTGGTTTGAAAGGGAGGATGGGGAGGGGAGGGTGAGCCCACAGGAAGTGGGGGCAGTTCCAGCCCCTTTAATTCAATTATGAAATAACAGACCATGTCCTCATCTGCTGCTGGGAATTTGGTATGAGGCTTAAGGAAGACTTGGAGCTGTTGAAAAAGGAAATGGACATGAGAGCTGATCAAAGGAAAGAAAACCAATTTTCCCTGGCATGACATAGCTCAGGCTGGAAACCATTTTTTTGTTGCTGCATCAATGCAATTAGCGGTATGATTTCCTCTAGCTGTGCTCAGCAGCATGCAACTAGAAGCAGAAAGCAGACTAGCTAGAGGGATCCAGAGCCGGGGTTTTGCTAGATAAGTGGGTCACGAGTACAAAAGAGCAGAGAACCGAAGGTGCTGGTGGGAGAGTAGTTCATGTGCTTGGCTGTGAGACCCAGTGTGGGTAGGGAAGGGAGTAGTGGGGGTCAGAGTGGAACTGACAGATGGAAGGGGAGGCCAGAGGGCTGGATGACGTCAAGGAGCATATTTTGTGGGGATAAAGGAGGTTTAGTGGGAGTGAATGAGTGAGAAAACTGGAAGAATAAAAGGTTGAGCCGGAAAGTAGGATATTTGAGTTTAAGTCTTTAGAGGTTATATGGTTCCAGGTGATGATAAGGTCTGGAGTGTGGCCCTGGAATGGGCGGTGAAGGGGAATGGAGGTGAAGGGGGTGATGTCGAGCAGGTCAAGGAATTGTCAGGCCACTGAGTTGGTGGGCCATCACAAGCGGGGAAGATTCCTCCTTGCAGGGCTGAGAACCAGGCTTTGCTCCTGCACTGAGCACCGAAAGCTTTCTGCTGCCCTCTCTGTCCCCCTTCAGTAGAGGGCTACCTGCTGCAGGCAGGCGTTGAAATGGCAGGAAATAACGGATGAGAAGGAAAGGATAACATTTGGTAGAGGGCCCTGTGGCTCCAGGAACACATGTGCTTCTCAGAGGTCAAGACTGAGTTCAGCCACCCTGCTGCCCGCCCCATGGCCCACAGACCTGTGTGCTCAGACACGGGCCTTATGACTTTTTATTGTTGATAGTCAGTGTTTCCTTGGGGCACCTTCAAACAAATAATAGAGATAAGATGAGCTTAAGCTGGTTTTGACCTACTCCAGGACAGGATAGTCTGACTTTGTGGTTGCTGAAATAAGAGAAGTTCTCCAAACTAACACCACCATACTTTGTTCCTGAGCTTCAAATTACCTGATTAAAACCCTGAGACTTGAGACTACTCCAAGTAGAGTTTTAGTAATTTAAAAAGTTTCATATTCAGAATGTTTGATATCGAAAACATTCAGCCCTTAGTTAAAATGAATTACATTTTACTTTAAGAAATGGAAAGGGTCATCTGAGTCTCTCCTAAGGACCCAGAAATAATGACAGTCAAAAAATGCCCCTATGATTTCCAAAAGGCTCCCTAGAAGGTGAGACCCTCCCTTTGAGAGTCCTTGCTATAGACAATGGAGTGGGAATGGAAACTGGGTACAAGAGAGCAATGGGGTCAATAGGACCTGAGGGATAAAGAAGGAAGCATCTAAAAATGACTCCCTGGTTTCTGGTTTTGAGGACTTGGGGGTTGTGTTTCTTTTAACACAGGAGGAAGCCCAGGATCGGGGTGCGGGTAGGGGTGAGGAGTTCAGTTCTTGCCTTTTTTGACCGAGGTGCCCTGAGGCACTGCCAGCCAAGGTGGAGCAAGTTGGGACTCTGGAGCTGTGGAAGGGCTTCAGAGGAGCTGGAGACATTCTGTTTCCCAGGCCAGGTAGTGGGTACCTGGGCTTGTGTGAATCCTTACACCAGACATATGTGAATTATGTATTTGTATGTAAACCAGTAACGAAGAGATAGCAATACTGCTGCCTAAGAAGTGATCAAGTATTTGAAGGAGGAAGAAAGGAGGAAGAAGGAAAAGTGGGCCAGAGTCTAGAGAACCTGGCAGGAAACGTGGTGGGGAGAGAAGGAAAATAGAGGCTGGTCTCCAGAGCCTGGATTCTAGAACTAGACAGACCTGCGCTTAAATCTCAACTTCATCTCTTAGGAGCTGGATAGGAAAGATCTACGTAGCCTGGTAGGGCCTCAGTTTTCTCATCTGTGAAACAGGAACGACATAGGAACATCCCAAGGTTGTCGTAAGAATTAAGTGAGAAAATGTCACCCGAGGTATGGTGCTGGCACTTAATTTATGCCCTCCGCTTCCTTTCTTATTACACCTTTCCCTCCCCCTGTGCCCACTCCTTCCTCCCGATAACAGCTGAAGCTAAAACCAGCCCAGCTGCTCTTCTCCTGTTGAGTTATTTATAACTGTAGCCACTTGTGAGCAGCCTGAAAAGGAGGGCTGCTGCCCTTGGGCTTAGACGCTGGGTGTGTGTGTCACCACAACGTGGGCTCTGGGGCTGTGGCTGGAGGGCAGTGGTATAAGTTCATGCCAGACGCCCCTTTTAGAAAGAGAAATGCTGTACTCCCGGAGTTTTCTTCTCATGCCGCAGGAGTTTTCAGCCCTGGCCGCGATGTTTGCTGCCTGCTGACGGGAAAGTCTTCCTCAATTTATGGTTCATACCCCATCCTTCCGAAGTGCTGATTGTGTTCAAAACTCTGCCTGAAAAGGTTTGTATTTTTTTATGCGTGCCAGAATGGAAATTGGCTTTTTTATGTCCCACAGTTAAACATATCAATTTCAGAGAATATCTCTTGTTTTTTTTTTTTTTCAGGAACACCTAATAACTGAAATCTCACAGCTCCTCATGTTTTTGCCTGCTTTATTATATTTTTCCCTTGTGCCTCATTATTTCATAGTTCTGTTTCTCCATGGTCATTACTGAACACTAATTGGAGCTTCCGACATTCCTTATTAATCCTTAATTTCCTCCACAACGCCAAGAAAATCCCACCCTGATGCACTGAAACTGAGGAGAGGTTGAGATCACACTTAATCACAGTCATTAGCTGGTTCCTGTTTTTTGAGGGGTTCCTCTAAGTACCTCATTTACTGATAGAGGGTGACCATTAAAAAAGAGTAGATATAGAAATACATAAAGCATTCAAGTATTAGTTAAATAAAATGCAATGTTGAAAATGGCAATTTGGGAACATTCTGATTTTTCTTTGTAAGTGAAAACCTGTTTAGCAATTTAGGTTTCTTACCCTTCCTTTTTTCCCCCCAGGTTTATTGAGGTGTAATTAACAAATAAAATTGTATATATTTAAAGTGTACAGCATGATGATTTGATATACATATACATTGTGAAATGATTACCACAGTTAAGCTAATTAATACATTTATCACCTCACATAGTTACCTTTTTTTTGGAGGTGAGAATGCTTGTCTAACTCTTAACAAATTTCAAGTATAAAATACAGTGTTATTAACTATAGTCACCATGCTGTACATTAGATCCTCAGAACTTATTTATCTTATAAATAAAGTTTGTACCTTTTGACCAACATCAGCCCATCTCCCCCATCCCCTGGCAACCAACCACCTTTCTATAAGTTTGACCTTTTCATTTTGATTAGATTCCACATATGAATGAGATCATACAGTGTATGTCTTTCTCTGTCTGGCTTATTTCACTTAGCATAATGTCATCCAAGTTTACCCATGTTGTTGTAAATGGCAAGGTTTTCTTCTTTTTTATGTCTAAATAATATTCCTGTGTGTTTGCATGCATGTGTGTGTGACGTTTTCTTTATCCATTTATCCATCTACTGGACACTTAGGTTGTTTCCATATCTTGGCTATTGTGAGTAATGCTACATGGAGGTATGAATAATCTCCTTGATATACTGATTTTATCTCCTTTGGATATATACTCAGAAGTGGGATTGCTGGATCATATGGTAATTTTACATGCAACAGAATGAAACTGAATCCCTGTCTTACACCAATCACAAAAATTAACTTCAGGTGGATCAAATACTTATCTGTAAGACTGGAAACCATAAAATCAGAGAGGAAAACAGGGAAAAAGCTCTTTGACACCAGTCTTGGCAATGATTTTTTGGATACAACAACAAAAGCACAGGCAACAAAAGCAAAAATAAACAAGTGGGATAACATCAAACTAAAAGATCTCTGCTAGTAAAGAAAAATCTCAACAAAAGGAGAAGGCAACCTACATAATGGGAGAAAATATTTGCAAACTATATATCTGATAAGGGGATAATACCTAAAATATGTAAGGAACTCATATAACTCAATAGCAAAAGCAAAACAAAGAAAAAATTTTTAAACCAATAATCCGATTTTAAAATGGTCAAAGGACCTGAACAGACATTTCTCCAAAGGAGATATACCAATGACCAATACATAAATGAACAGGTGCTCAGTATCACTAATCATCGGGGAAATGCAAATCAAAACCATGATGAGATACCACCTCACACCTGTTAGGATGGCTATTATAAAAAAAGACAAGAGAAAACAAGCCTTGGTGAGGGTGTGGAGAAAAGGGGACACTTGTGTACCTTTGGTAGGAATGTCAACTGGTACAGCCACTATGGAAAACAGTATGGAGATTCCTCAAAAAATTAGAAATAGCACTACCCTTTATTTCATTCATTCACGGAAGAATTTTTAGGGTTTTTAAAAATATATAAAACTACTACCTTCTGCAGTTAAATCATAATTTTTCTCTTTTCCTTCACTGAATGTTGATATTTATGATCCATTGTTTGTTTTTCAATCATGTGTTTAAACTGTGTTGATAAGTAGTTATGTTTTGCTTACAGGTATTCCCTCAGGGCAATGTTGTCTGAATATGAGTCCCTGCTAGGAATTTATTTGTGACCCTTGTAATTCATTGATAGTTAGTCATACAAACACATTTTGATGTGTTTTTGGCCTCCAATGGCTTTAAACAAAGAGAAACACTTTGCTTTAATTCCCCAGCCGGAGTTACTTTGTCCAAAGACATATATAACCTGAGTTCATGAAAAGGCTTGTTCTTTTTTTCAGATATTAACCTGTAACTATTATCCTGTATTATACTGTGAAAATGTTTATCTAAATATTCTTTTTTAAATATATTATTCCTAATCGATGCTCATATATTTTTATATCCCTTTAGAAGCTTCTTGAAAATTATTTCCTTGTATTGATTTTACCCACAGGTAGCTTTTAGAGCCTTAAAGCTAACTCTACAGCTGATAGCCCCTCTCCATGACATTGTGGCCTACCTCTTCAGTTTGGCTAAACTTGGAAATCGTCCAAATTTTGAATTTCCTCTTAAGTCCTAACCCTCTGAGAGGCGACTGGGGAGGAACTAAGGGTATTGGTAAGTGATTAAAGCTGATTAAAATTGCCTTCAATATTCAGTTGAAATTCCATGAAGCTCTTTTTTTTTTCAGCTTTATTGAGGCCTAATTGAAGAATAAAATTGTCATATATTTGAAGTGAACAACTTTATATTTGATATACATTGTGAAAGGGTTTCCCCCATCTAGTTAATTACTATGAAGCTCTTAATACCTGGAAAGACAGGACTAAAATATTTCGTCATAAATGACAGAAGGGCAAAGGGAAAGTCCCATTATATACTGCCTCCAAACGGATTGATTCCACATTTACAGGTTAAACCATGAAGTATGCCAAGTCAGAATTTGGGGGGCCTGGGTTTTTACCCTGCCTCTGTCACTTGGTTTACTAAAAGCTGGGCACTTTACTCCCTGGCTCTATGTTTGTCATCTGTAAAACAGGGGTGACAACACCTGTCTCAGGGAGATGTTCTGTGGATTAAAATCTGTAAAAATTCTAGAAGGATGTACAAGTCCCCATTAAATATTAGCTTTGCTTTCATTCCCTTTCCCCTTCTGGGCTTCGTGAACTAATGTGGCAAGGTCAAGGCCAAGCATTCACTGTCAAGAAGCTTGCAGACAGCCCTCAGTTAGCTAACAATGACCCGGTAGTCCTGTTAGTAAGAACAGTTGAGGCTTTTGTTTTATCTGCCCAGTGCTAATCCGTGAACTCTCACTCAGCACAAGTTCTCAGATAAATGCATGAGGTAAATTAAAGACACTGAAATGCTTAGTAAGCTGGGTTTATCAGAAGCAGTGAAACTGGTCTTACTATTTAAATAATTTGACTCCCATCCTAATTATGTCATTAGTCATGTAAATATTAATCAATTAACAGCAGTATATTATAACATAGTAGACAAGGATTTTAAAGTGTGAGAAGAGCCAAAGAAATGAGGTAACATGCCTATCTAAACTTAGTGGTCTTAAAACAAACATGATATAATCTGAATCTATTCCTCTCTGGGCGGTGCATCAAGGAAATGTTTGTGGGAGATTCTGACTTGTTCCACGAGGAAGATTGATGCCTATATCTGAGGAGAGGCAGCATGAAGAAGGGAAGGGGTTGGTGCTACCTCAGCAGAAAGCACAGAATTGTTGCAGGCCTACTAGCAAGTCTTCAGTATAAGCATCAAGAGATTACAGAAGTTCCAAAGCACTCTTAGCTCCTTTCCTTTTGCTAATCTGGGGACTGTCGTAAGAGGTTAACTCAGAAAATAAACTAAGATGCTCTGCAGTGGAGCTGGATGTTGGGAGGGTGTGGGGCTGGACTGTAGATGAGGGACAGGAGAAAGGAGGATGGGCAAGGAAGAATGCTATCCCTGCCCTCGAGAAGATGAGATAGAAGCCAAGGTAGGGCCAGAGCCATGTTTCCAAAAGAAGTCACTGCATAGGAAGTTCTGTAGCAACTGGGAGGGAAGAGCCCGCAGGGAGGGTGATCTGGGGGGACTTGTCCTCACTTGAATCAATGGAGAAAAATAGGAGGGCTTGTCCTAAAGGGGGACAAGAAAAGGATACTGGCAAAGATAACAGGCAGGACTACACATGGCCAGTCCAGAGAGAATGATGAACCCACCAGTGCAACACTGAGGGATAGTGGTAAATGAGGCCAAACTGTTGAGGACCTAGAATTGAGGATGAAGGAAATTGGTTTTTTACTATTTAAATGCTTATGAACCGGAAACCATTGAAATAATTGGGGCCCAGGCTTTCCAAGGTGTACAACTAGAGAGGCACACCTTGTCATGTTGCCAGTAAAAACATTTGTGCTCCAGGGAGAATGTGCAAAGTTTTACATACTCTGCTTTGCTGAAAATAGATAAAGAGCAAACTGAACTAAAAAAAATTCCATTCTAAGATAATCATCTTTTTTAAAAGGCTAGGCTGCTCAGTTCCTGGCCTGCTTCCCAGAGGAGACAAGGAAAACTAAGGTGAAAAGAGGAGACGGGTCTGTTCATAGACCCACCCAACTCCTTTTAGCCATTTCAGAGCTGTTTGGAGTTAAAGTGACTTTTGAAGACTTATGTGCTTTAAAATATCTTTTAAAGAGACACTTCGAATTTCAGCTGTGGTCCTCCCACTTGACTGAGGAAGCAGCTCTGAGATACTGTGGGCTGGTTCTGTGGACCCTGCCAAATTTTCTCCTTCCCTGAAAGCCAGCAACTCCCTTTGGAGTCAGTGTGAAGCAGAGGGTGGAATCAGAATGTAGGAGTTTACGTTATGATTTTCTTGTAAAGGATTAGGAGGCCAATTAAACCCAGACACTACACACTGAACTCAGGGTTTCATGAACAAAATGTACTGGCTTTGAATATTCACATGGAAGCAGGGCCACTGTGATTCTGCTCTCTCTGTCTGATTTCCCAAAGGGAACCCTCCTGGGGAAAGGCACAGGAAGAGGCTCATTTGTTTCCCGGCGGAGGGTCTCCTCCCACCACCCCCATGACCACACGGCAACCATCTGCCCCCTCCTCACAGACAGGCTGCCTTCCCTGCCTGTGCCTGCCATCTCTGCTCCCACTGAGCCGTGTGAGCCCACAAGAAAGGGAGGCCCAAATGAGGACTGTTACCAGTGCGTAACAAAGAAAAGGTAGGCCCTCGTCCACACCTGTACTTTAATGATAATGCCACCTGTCAGCACAGAACAATTTTGCTGGGAAGTGATCATATAAAAGTGCACACACAGCATTATATAAACAGTAATGGAAATAATGAAAAGAGAAAAATCACCCGTAATCCAACCATTGTAACAAGTGAAATATTTTTATTTATCCTTACTTCCTTCTAGCCCTTGCCCAAATACATTTTACAGAGCTTTAATCACAGGGTATGTACAACTTCGTATTCTTTTTTCATTGTCATTGCAGGCAATGATAAACCTTTTCCCCTGGTTGCTGCATAGCCTGACAGAGTGTATTGCTTGTAGACCAGCCACGTTAGACCTTGAACAAAAGGCTCACTGACCATCACTCCTCTCATCCAGTGCAACATTCTTAAAGTTCTTGTACAATTTGATCTGTGACTCCTCTTCTGGTGGAAGTTCCTTTTCAGCCCAATATGACCATCAGATTTATAGAGGATTCATAAAAACTCTAATGATTGGCCCCAGTTCTTTTGTGGCTGGGAAAATACCCAAAAAACATTTTTCTGTGGTGTGTAAAACATCAAATGGATATGAAATCTGGACTGCTCATCTTTTCCTAAAGCCAAGAGCATATATCGCAAGTACATATTAGCAACCATTCTCAGACCTGGCTCTGCCCTGATCAGGCTCTCATGGACAGCCTCCCTGCTCCCTCAGTTCCCCTGCCTTCCATGCCAGAAATGTAGGAAGAGATCCAGTACCGGGCCAGATAGGGTACAAGGTTGCTCAAGTCTGGATGAGAGGTTGACATAGAGTAACTCCGGAAATGCTTCGTGGATCTCCCATCTCATTTCTGCCATGGGCTACAATCAGGGATGGTGATCAATTTCCACAATCCTTCTCTTCCCATAGCAGGGATGTCCTCTCAAGTAGAAAACTATCACTGTCCCCACAGGGAGCTGATAAGCATTTCAGATCAGCTGACATTCTGGTAGCCCTGGAAATGGGACCCACCCACCTGCCCCATCAGTGCTCCCTAAGGGCTTGTCATTTTCTTGCTGTGCTCTCCCATTCTAAGCAGCTCATTTCCTGAGCCAATAATAGAGATGCTAGTACAGCCATCTAGACCCAGGCCAGGTTCCTCAAACCAGTATTGAGTGCCCCAAAAGGCCTCTAACTTAAATTTCCATCCAAAACACATATAAATCTTTTGCAGTAAGGGTCCAAGAAATAAGCCAATTTAGGATCTCCCACATCTACTCCTGAAATGATGAGAATCTCCTAGAAGGATCTATGTATGTGTCTGTATACATGTATACATATATGTATACATATTTTTGCTTGCCTTGGATGATCCTGAGTCTTCTTTAATCTATGAGCCATTGACAGGATGAGCCAGTGACAGGGCTGATTTGAATGGCATGGCTATGAGAAATGAGTGCTGGTTTATAGTAATTTCAAGCCCCTAATAGACTTACTGAGGCCTATACTTTCCCATTCCTTGTAATTTCTCTTTTTCAATCTATTTAGAGTCTGTAGCCTTATAAACACTGAAACTTTCTTTCAACAGTATGTTCTTATTCTGCTGAAAAGCAAAGCAAGTTATTACATTCTGAGGGAGGAAGGAAGGAAGGAAAGATAAATCAGACCTTGGGTTCTAGAACATAAGGCTTTGCTGATCTTGCAAAACATATAATTAGTATACTCACAAACAAAGAGAAGTCAATTTAGGTAAAAAGTTAGCTTTGGAGGTGAAATGGTTCACAGGGTAGCTAGGGTAGCCTGTGTTTCACAGTGAGTAAAATGTCGTCCATCTTCTAGGGTCTGAGCTTCAAGAGCTGCAGAAAATGATTGACAGCCTCCAGAGCCCCGAAGACCCCACTCTGGTGTCCCAGGTCCTCCTCCTTCGAAGGGAGGTTATGTTTCTGCAGTTTGACGCTGCAGTGAGGTACCTCATCCGGTAAGGGCTGGAGTGCTAATCCTGTCCAATAAATTCTGTGGGGCAGGTGTTTCTGAGTGATCATGGAGGGAGGCCACTCTTGGCACTATTAGATAATGAGCTTTAAATAGTCGGGGGCACTGCCGCTACCAAACACGTTCGGCTGCGGAGGCTGTCCAGGTGAACTGTGTTTTTGTTGGATAATAATATTCTTGATTTTATTAAATGTGATTTCAATATAGTTAGTTTGCATAACAGGCTGTTTTATTGGGAATCACATTTTTTATACTTCTGAAGATGATTTTTCCTAAGAGTTTTATTTTTTCAGCCCTTAATTACCTTTCAAAAACACAGAATTTTCACTGCACATCTGAAACCAATGGAAATCACCACCTGAGTTAAATTTATAAATAAGTTAATTTACCTCTGGCCTTGTAGATATTAAATACTCTGCATTCAAAAAGAATGTTTATTTGGTTAATTAATCATGACTGATGAAAAAATTAGCTTGGATTAAGAGTCACAATGTTTCCTGTATAAATAATAAGCTGTGTATGGGAAGGGAAGAGGTCAGGCCTGAGGGTCTCTGCTTATTCTTAAATTGTCAAAATTAATTAACTTCATTTGATAAATTCCCAGTGTGAGTATTTAGTCAATGAGGGGGACCTGGGAGGGCAGTGCTTTTATCTGTGGATTATAATCACTTCCCACCATTAGCATGAGTGTCCATAGAGAATAGGAATGTGGGGCTTGTACTGAACCATATTTTCTCCTTCTGCTCTGCTTTTTCTTACTCTGAGCATCATGGGAGTCTGGATTTAGAATGCAAATTCAGCAGGACAAAAAATCAGGCTAATTTGTTTTCTTTTGATTGACAAACAGCTTTGGGAGCTGTAGCTTTGTCAAGCACGTAGGATATAAAGGTTTTGACTAATTGTCATGATGGCCATTCATTGGCCCTCTGGGCTCTGAAATCTCAAGTCAGAATTTGCAAGGAATTTACATAGGATGAAGAAATAGGACTATACCCTAGAAGTTCTTCTTGGATTCCAGCTCCATGGAGTTCAGCTTGCTCCTGCTCTCCCAGGGGAGCCACTCTGCTTCCCCCAGGAACTGCTTTGTGGGGCTTTCTCTGCCCTGGTGCTCTCAGTCTGCAGGAATGGAGGGCACTGTGTCCTATGACTGATTTCAGTATATTCAGTATATTTTTCAGAGGACCTCAGAAGGAACCAGGAGTCCTTCATTCATAGCATTTCCTCCAGCCTTTTTTCTTCAGAGGTCTTTGGGGGTGTGTCTGTGTTTGGAATCACACAGCCAGGGAGTAGCAGACCAGAATTAGAACCTATGTGCATTTGACTCCAAAGCCTGAGAACTAGGATGGATGCCAGACAGCAGCAGGATTGATGGAAAGGGAGACTCCAAAGAGAAGGCAAGAGGCAGGAGGAAAGGAGAAGCTGAAAGATAAATGTCTTTCCGCTTGAGGATTTTACTTAGTGCTGAACCTACAAGCAAGGAGAAGTCCTTAGATATCCAAAAGAGACAGGAAGCTTGGAGAAGTTCCCTCGCCCTTCCCAGAGCTCACCAACTGAGTAAATATGACTGTTTACCCCAGGGAACTTTTTGCTTATGTAAACTGAAGACTTCTCCAGAGTTTGAAAAGAAGGAACTCTTACCTGGAATGAGAACAGCATACTTCCATAGACCAGGGGAGGAGAAGAAGCATGTAGCTCAAGGACAACAGGACAGTGGCCCCGTAGGGTCCCTCATATCTGGCCTCTGCTTCTCTGTGGCATAGACCAGCTCAGATTGCAAGAAAGTTTAATGTTTCTAGGCACAAAAGTTTCACTCTGCTCCTGTCGACCTGTCCTCTGCCAAGGACCTGATAGAAATTGGTGCTGTCCTCCGATGGCATCAGAATCACATTGCCCAGGGCCTGTCATTCACCTCTGGGCATGTCCACCAACGTATAACAGTTATTTATTAGCCAGTGCAAGAAATGCCTGAAGATTGAGCTTATCTTTAATTTCAGGTGAATTAATCATTTGCGCCAAAGGTAAATGCTTCAGTAGTACAGTTGGTTCTAATCAATCTCATCTGTTTAAGTTAGGGATCAGCAATCTACTGCCATAGGCCCCTGCCTGATTTTGTAAGGCCTGTGGGCTAAGGATGTTTGTTTTGTTTTTTCTTTTTTCTTTATTAATTTATTTTATTTTTGCTGTATTGGGTCTTCGTTTCTGTGCGAGGGCTTTCTCTAGTTGTGGCAAGCAGGGGCCACTCTTCATCGCGGTGCGCAGGCCTCTCACTATCGCGGCCTCTCTTGTTGCGGAACACAGGCTCCAGACGCGCAGGCTCAGTAGTTGTGGTTCACGGGCCTAGTTGCTCCGCAGCATGTGGGATTCCCAGACCAGGGCTCAAACCCATGTCCCCTGCATTAGCAGGCAGACTCAACCACTGCGCCACCAGGGAAGCCCTAAGGATGGTTTTTATGTGTTTAAATGGTTGAGGGAAAAACTCAAGAGTAGTATTTTGTGACACATGAAAATTATGTGGAATTCAAGTTTCTGTGTCCAGAAATGAAGGTTTTTTTTGGAACACAGCCAGGCCTATTCATTTATAGATAGTCTCTGACGGCTTTCACACTAGAACCACAGAGTTGAATAGTTGCAACAGAGATTATATGATTCACAAAGCTGAAAATATTTACTATCTGACCATTTAAGAAAGAGTTTGCCACTGCCTGATTTAAAGGATTGAATTCGTTTGAAATTCAAGAATGGAGGGAAACCAGAAAAAAAAAAAAAGTCCCTCAAAGGAATTCTGTAGGACAGAATAAAACATATGGCATGCAGAGTGCCACTGATCTGAGTGTATTATTGATGTTCAGAGTGAATACGGTAAAAAGGAGGAATTTAAGGAAATAAACCAAAGGTACCTTAACTTTCTGCAATAAGCCTGATTTAAGAGATCATCAGGCAATCTCTCAAGAAGCAACACTAATTTCTTAGTCCTCGAATTTGTGTTGGTTTTCTCTTCATTTTTCAATTTATCTTTATGCTCACCTAGTTTGAGTGTCTCTGAACACACAGATATTAAAGTGTGCTTCAGGGTTATCTGGGGATTTCTGGGCGACACAGAGAAGGCCCCATGTGCTTCTGGTCTCCAGCGCCTGAGAAGTGAAGAGCCACAACTTTTGCCTGGCCTCCTCTGGCCACTTTGCAGGCGTTTTTTGGGTTTCATTTTCTTTTTCATATCCTTGCATCCAGGAAAAACCCTAGCATGTGTCCCATGAATTCCCTGCTCCCTGTGGCTACAGCCAGCTTGCCTGGGATCGCATTATGGCTGACTCTGTCACACACAACATGACTGGTATTCTAGGAAACCCTTGACCGCTTATTGACAGTAAGGCAGCTGGAGTGTGGCAAAACAGTTTGGAGAATGTGATACATCTATCCTTGTATTTTAGTGGACTGCTGGGGAGACCTGACTTTATTAGGGGCTAGCAGTTGGCAGGTGTAGCACTGGCACAAGCAACAAGCTGACCTTTCATTCCTATGAGTTTCCCTGTATCTTGAGTGCTGCTGGCAAGCTGCACTGGTCAGACGTACCCCAGCAGAAGGCTCAGGCCAGGTTTACCAACTGAGGGTCTGAATGAGTTGTCACAGTGAGCTGTTTTCAGTATTTCTAAAGACATGATGAAAAAGACACGTTTGCCCAAAAGTTTTGCAGGTAAAGAAAATGTCACATTTCTTTCTTTTTTTAACTGGAATCATAAGAACGAATGAGATAAGGAGCAGAGGGAACTTGCTTTGGTTGAGTTCCCGCCATGTGCCAACTCCGTGGAATAGCAATCATATCACCATATTTACAGATGAAGAAATAGAGAGAGAAGTTGCATAACTTGCCCCAGGGTCACAAGCTTGTTGTAGCAGACCTTACATTCACAGGGTTTTACTGACTCCAGTGCCCTGTTCTTTCCTTTATATCATGTTTCTTCATCTCTTCCTGCAGCTCAGAGCTTAGGATAGGTGTTTATGTGGCTTTGAGTTAAAAACAGGAGAATGCTTAATTTGGTAGAAAAATCTTTCAAAATATGGGGTACATGGGGAGGAAGGAAATAAAAGAGGATATAGTGCTAAAAATCTTAAGTATCATTCTGAGACCCCTTTCTATACATAGCATTACATTGTACAGCTCCCTAATAAGTAGTACTATTGATAAAGGAGAGATGGGACCTATCAAGGACAGTGATCTAGACTGAAGAATTAGGAACGTGAGGAAAAGGTTAACCAATGATTTGATCAATGGTGGTGCCTAGAATCTGACTCTCGTCTCTCTAGAGAGTGTATCATGTGCTATGGTTCTCTAGCTTAGAGTAGCAGTCATACTTACATCTGAACTGTATTGATATTTTTTAATAGTCTCCAAGCATCTATAAATTAATAGACCTAGTACGTGTTTGGGGCTCTAAAACTCTGCCAAAAATTGTGGTTGTTTGTGGCACTTAGTAGTTAAAAGTTCTGCACAAACTTACCAAGATAAGAGAGCAAGTCAATGTTCTATGTTCTCTTATGTGAAAATCAGTCTGGTGCAGCCACAAGAGGAGACACAGGAGAGACTCAGGAAAACAAAATTATTATACTCAGTTCCTAGAAACATCCATCATGCCATGTCATACAGGGCCACAGGTCAGGAGCAAGGAGAGTGCTTAGGCCATGACCTGGAAAGGCAAGGCAGGGCAGAGGAACAGTTTAAGATCGGCTACTTTGAATAATTCCAGCGGGCTTTGGGCTGTAGGAGAGGTCTCTAGTTGCCTGTTAAGTAGCCCTGGGATGATTAAAGGAGAGAAATATTGCCTTCTGGGTTGCAAGGGTCAGAGGACGTATGGCTCAGATTGGTTAGTTTGCATATCAAAGGCATGCTGGGCCCTTAGCTATCTCTAAGAATTGGCTATGCGGGGAAGAGCAGTCTCTCCCCAGCCAGCAAGGTTTTTTAAAGATGTTAAAACATCATAATAAACAAAAAAGAAATTTTAAAATATAAGCAATACAGTCAACAGTAAGGTACGAACAAAGCTGGACCCAGAGGCTGAGAGAGAGAAAATAATTTTGTGGATTGGTGGGAGAAAAGCATAGGAATGACATGGAAGGAGTCAACCAGGAAGAGGTTTGTGGGATATTGGGCTTCTGTGCTCTTGATTTAGGCTGAATATAAATGTTTCCATTAGAATACTCTGCTTTTTGGTACTGTTGGCTAAAGAAAAATGCACAGCCTAAAAGTTGCAAATGTTTTTATTCCGGGAACCTTACTGAGGACTATAGCCCGGGAGACAGTCTCTCAGATAGCTCTGAGGATCTGCTCTGAAGAGGTAAGGGAGGAGCCAGGATATAGAGGAGTTTTTACAGCAAAACAGCAAAAAGAGCAAAAAACCCATGTGGTTGAACATCAAAGGACTACTGCTAATCACAAAAAACAGACATCACAAGTTAACGATTTTAGTGATTTTCTACGTATGGGAAGATGCAAGAGTCTGGACTCATTAAAATTATTTCTTAGATATGCATCTTACCTATCTAGGGCCAGTATCCTGTTTTTCTCTATCCTGAATTCCCCTCAGGTTGCATCGTTGGGGGGCAGCTGTATCGGCTGATGACTTGGTGGCAGGCAACATTCTTTGTTTAGTGGAATGGCAGGCGACATATTTTTGTCTGCAGTACCATTATTTTAAGAAGATATATACAACCTATAAGGGAGGTATATATATAGAAAGTGCCTTGGGAGTTTAGAGGAAGGTCAGAAGTAGCTGGATAATGAGCTCTGCCTCACTGGGCCCTACTGGGCTAGAAGGTCAGACCCATGGGGGACCCATCTTTGTATCTCAGACAGTTCCTGACACAGTACCCAGTACATAGTAGATGCTTGATACATCACTGTCACATGGGTGTTGAATGAATCATGGGCCTCTTGGCAGGGCTCATTGAGAATCATGAGAAAGCATGTGAGTGATATGAGAAACAGGAGAAAATGTTTATATATCCATTGAGCAACTCCAAGCGCCATCCTTGAGCTATCAGGATAAGCCAAAGTTTTTATTCAGTGTCTCAGTATATAACTGTATGCAACTATCTTTTGTTAATTCTCACAAAAACGTGAAAAGGGTGGTATGATTTTTGCACTAGTACAGTGGTTTGATATGCAAATAATAGAGTTACCTTTATCTGTCTCTGAACTTAAGTTCATAAGCCCCTACTTCTGCTGACAAAAAGATTAAACTTTTCAATTCCATGTCATTCAGCCACATTTACAGTTTAAAGTAGTCAGTTTGAGATATAAAATCAATTAATTCAAGATTATCCCCTTTTACCTTTGTTTTAATTGCCTCCTCTTTACCCTGTTGGTGAGGGAGGGATTCTGCCCTAAGGTTATGGGGATGGCCAAACACATGACACTAAATACTGGACAGATGGGATCAACAGCAGTTTACTCGTCACATGTACTCACAGCTGAGGGGAATAGAACATAGCATGCCATGCAGGGCCACAGAGGATTTGTACTTGTGACCAGAGTGAACAACTAGGGGCTTGAGAGGCAGGCTTTGTAGTATCAAGAGGATATAGTGCTTCCTGGCTCCCATAGGAGGATGTGATTGGTTCATTTGAATAATTTTGTGGTCTGGCAGGGAACTGAAACCACTACTTGGGGATAAGCAGGGATTGTACTTGGTCCCTTTGATAAGGAAGTTTGTTTGACTAGGGGACCTTACCCGTGGGAGCAGAGTAGGCAGGGGAACTTATAGTTAGGTCATTCAAAGCCCTCCCAATTTTACCAGATGTCAAGGCAGCACTAATACTGGACCTTAACTTAAGCCTTACGCCACACCCTTCTCCTCCTTTATCCTTCTCAGAGGTGATCTAAATTCCTGGGGGTGCTTATAAATCATCCCAGCAGTTGAAGAGGAGTGGCTACCTCACCCATCTCTGTCCAATCCCAGATCTCTTCTGATTGGCCTGCTGCTCAGCACCCCACTTGGACACCCCCTTGTGGGGTCTCAGGCACTCCTCAGGTCTTTCCACAACGCTTGACTATCTGCTCATCTCTGGGAGGCTGCCTCATTTCCATCAATGCTAACATCTCCCTCAGTCATTGCTAATCTCCTTTTTCTTTGTTTTTTTTTTGTTTTGTTTTGTTTTTGCAGTACGTGGGCCTCTCACTGCTGTGACCTCTCCCGTTGCGGAGCACAGGCTCCGACGCGCAGGCTCAGCGGCCATGGCTCACAGGCCTAGCCGCTCCGCGGCATGTGGGATCTTCCCAGACCGGGGCATGAACCCGTGTCCGCTGCATCGGCAGGCGGACTCTCAACCACTGCGCCACCAGGGAAGCCCACTAATCTCCTTTTTGATATCTGCTTTATGCATGACTTGGCAAAGCCCATGGAGGACTTAGGCAAAAGATCCCTTCTGTCCTGGGGATCTTTTGGATCCCCCCGAAACTGATCCTGTTTCATCATCTTTTCTTGGGCATCCACAAGATCTAAGCTCTAGAGACAGTCTTTCCTTGCTCGCTAAACTCATTTCCTTTGGGGCAAGAAAATGATTGTGATTTATCAAGCATACTTCCTTCTCTGTGACTTATGGTATAAATTTCATGCTCTAGTCTTCAGGATTTTTGGTTCTTGATATGCAAAGCCAAGTTTTGTTCAAAACAAAACAAGAAGCTTTCTCTCTCAAACCCCAGGCTCTTATTATTTAACGTAAAATTTGGTTTTACATATCAGGAATTGCTGTCTCAGCTACTGGTCTCAAAATAAATTCAACAACTGATGTCTTTGTTCTAGAGCTACAGCTGAGCTGTCCAGTACAGTAGCCACATGTGGCTATTTTAATTTAAAAGTTTAAATTAATATTGATTTTGGTGATATAAGACTTAAAATTCAGTTCCTCAGTCATGGTAGCCACATTTCAAGTGCCCAACAGCTACATGTGGCTAGTGGCTACCATATTGGACAGTCAAATATGGAACATTTCCGCCCTGCAGAAAGTTCTGCAGTTAGACCATGCTCGTCTAGAGGATAGCTACCTTTCCCTTGAGGGCTGTGAATTGTGAGAGTGAAGGGCAGTGTGTAAAGGAACGGGAGTGAGGGATGACCGTTGCTGAGGAAGAAACATGTTGATATCTCAAAATGTTATCTTGCTCCAGTAACCTTGAAGAGAGTTTTGAGCTTTAGAAACTTGAGTAACTGCTGTTAATGAGATTCCCTTCCTGTTTTAGTAGAAGAACATTTTTGGCAGCTGGAAATGCTCCTGCCTACCAGTCTGTCACAGATGACATGTAGCATGGGTTGCCGCCACTGAGCAACTCTCTCATGAAGAGCATGTTTGCTTCCCAGCTCAGCTTGCCACAGCCGCTGGATCCACAGAGCCTCCAGGTGTGTTGAGAGCTATTTTTATACCAATCAAAAGTGCATTGTGCTGGAATGCCCTTTAGCCTTGGTAGGCTCTCCTTCACTCACGTGGTAGAGTGGGCTAGGCCCCCATGGCCCGCTTTTATTCCCAGTCAGGTGCTCTCCCTCTAAACCGCTCAGCAGGCTAATTGGGACAACAGCTTATCTGCTCACAGCTGGTAGCAAAACCAACACCTGATCTCTTCCATGTAATAAATAATAATGATAGCAATTACGATACGTAAATTAGGTCAGCAGCTGAGTTGTGAACAGCCCGGTAACAACATGCGTTATCGAATGTAATCCTGGCAACTATTATTGCTCCTAGGCACTAACTATATTACCCACCTGCTACAACTAAAGAGTCTGAGGTTCTAGAAGGCCAGAGATCAGACTGCTGCATAGTCATGGCAACACTAGGTCACGAACTGTGTTAGTTATCTATGGCTTCAGAGCAAATTACCCCCAAATTCAGCAGATTGACACAATAAACATTAATTATCTCATATAGTTTCTGAGGCTCAGGAGTCTGGGAGCAGCTTAGCTGGGTAGTTCTGGTTCAGGATCTCTCATGAGGCTCTGGTCAAGGTGCTGCACCTCTTGGGAAGAGAATCAAAGAATTTGTGGACCGGGACTTCCCTGGCAGTCCATTGATTAAGACTTCGCCTTCCAATGCTGGGAGTGTGGGTTTGATCCCCGGTCAGGGAGCCAAGATCCCACATGCCTCGTGGCCAAACAAACAAAACATAAAACAGAAGCAATATTGTAACAAATTTAATAAAGACTTAGAAATGGTCCACATCAAAAAAAATCTTTAAAACAAAAAAGAATTTGTGGACATATCTTTTTTTTTTTTTTTGGCCTCACAGTGAGAACTTAGTTCCCCAGCCAGAGATCAAACCCGTGCTCCCTGCGGTGGAAGCTCAAAGTCTTAACCACTGGACCCCCAGGGAAGTCCCTGTGGGCATATCTTTAAAACCACCTCACAAGCCCAGATCTTTTGACTCCAAAACCTCCAACTTAATGTTTTTATGTTACAAAGCTAAGCCAAGTAATGCCAGCATCAACCCCATGTAAGTCTCACACTTCTACCTTCCATAGCTACAAGACAGTGACTCTTGGCCCAAGCCTTGACCCTCATTTAGACCCGAAGACAGGGTTGGACCGTGACCATTGGGCCTGCTCCTGCTGCCTTTGAGTGTTGCCTGGGGTTAGGTGGATGCAGGTGTCCTGGCTCCCTGCTACCTGAATCAACTCCAACTCTAGGAATTGTCTGAAGCCAGTACCGAGTCTGGAAGTGTAGAATGGGGTCAGGTGGACAGGCCCACTATATCCAGGACTGCATGTCATGCCCCAGGGAGTAGGGGATGCCTTGGCTGTTGGACAGTGATGTGGAGAAGACAGAGGCCCATGTGTAACATTGTGACATTGGTTTTGAGTTGATGCCTAGAACTGGAGCACAATGGAGATAAAGGACAAATATTTAAGGTTTGTAATATTGAAAAAAATTGAGTAAGTTTACTTTTTTTGATTATAAATATGTACCACTGGTTTTATACTGTTCTGGGACTTTGAAATACTGGTGTTGACTATTTACACTGAAATATTAAGTACCCTCTGTGTTTAGTCACTTTCTGAAAAATCAATTTAAAAAATAAGATTATTACTCTCTCCTGTGCATCATCCGGGACTATCCATCAAGAACTATTTCTACATAATAGAGAAATCATCCCACAGTGTTTTGGTGTGCAGACACAGACATCTTGTTCATATACAAATGTCTATTTCTTATGGACATTATTATGCAGCATTATTATATTTATTATTTGGTTCTTTTAGGCATTTGTGCTGTTCCCTTGGAGAGCATTTCTGGAAGATGGAGGACCATTTCCAGTTACAAGTAGCAGCCCAGATACCCTAGAATATAAGATGCAGGTAGGATAGGTCTTCCCACTTGTCACAGAGAGAGCCGAATGCAGACTGCAAAGCAGGTGTCATTGGGTCCGTAGGTCTGATCCTTCATACTCTAGTCAGCGGTGAATAATTTATGATAAGCAAGGTGTTTGGTTATGAAACTGTAAACCCAGTGCTGCAAGGTGAGTCATGTTTTCTTATGACAGAAGAAAATCATGGTTTCAGCTGGCATCAGACTTGAAACAGCTGAAATACTTATGGCTAATAATGATCTGGGGGAGTGGTCATCCATTTCTGGTCACTCTCGGGAACTCTTAGAGTAACTCCCAGGCTGGCAGTTCAGAGACGTGTGACTACTGACCAACCTACAGTAGTAGGAAGAGAACTCTTTAAGCAGAACTCAAAGGGAGAATTTCTTTCAATTATATGTTTCCCCCTGATTATTTAAGCAAGTATTATTGTGTTTTCATTTTTTTAAATAGAAAATATTTTAAAAGTATTATTAACAACATTAAAGTCAATGACACATTTGCTTCAAAATAATATGGAGGTGGGGAGTGATGAAGATGGGGCAGGACTGGCCATAGGTTGGTGGTTCTTAGGGCCGGGTGATGGGAGCTATTCTGTTTGCTTTTTGTATGTGCTCAAAATTTTCCATAAGTAAAAAGACTTTTTTTTAAAAGTGAAATAGTAAGAATGGCTTAAAAAAAAAGTAATCATAGTCCCCCACTAGGGGACGGTCACAGTTCATTTTGGTTTTTTTCCAGTATTTTCCCTGTGCATACATGTATCACACTATACATACACCACATACGGACACCACCATAAGGTTTAGGAAACTTGGACTTCCACACAGAGCCGAAAGTCTGATATGTTCAAGGGGGACTTTGAGCTAGATATGTTGCTCTGATTTTTATGGATTTTTTTTTTAATAGTTGAGAGCATGGGGCTTGTAAACACAACTACTCCTAATTTTCTCCCTCAAAACCACGTGTAAAGGATACATAGAAGTGTTCAAAACGGATGTTTTGGTTTCATTTTGTTCCTTTTTGGTTTTAGCTATGCCTCTGTAGGCTGAGTGACCGTGACCTCAAGGTGGCTCATGGAGAGCTGGCGGGCAAGCAGCTGCTAATGGAAGATGTCCTTCTGAGTAATTATCATATGATCATGGAGGGTCCCCCAGGATGGCAGGCCACACGGGACAAAAATACACAGGTATTCTTGGTGAACGGTCTACGTACTTGACCAGTGCTGCATTGTACTGAAGGACCTTTCTATCTGGGAGATGGACTAGATAGCTTCATCCATCCCATAGCCTCTCCCAGGGTCCCGGGACTGTGCTTATGCTGCACGGGAGCAGCAGTGAAGCAGCGGTAGCCTGTGAGAGCCCCTCCAAAATATGTTCTTTCACAGCAAGTCCCATGATCAGTGGTGTATCTATTTCTTTTAATTTTAAAACTAGAACAAACTTCATGGGGGGCGGTCCGTTGAAACCAATTTGAACTCCAACTGGCTGCTTTTCCTTGTGAGTCTCACACATTTCGGGCTGGAGCTGGCAGGGTATGACAGAGGCCCCAGGTGAACATCTTCAGCCTGGCTCCTGTCTGCATCACTCCGCTAGCCCATGGACGCCTAAGCAAGCACTCCCTTCTCCGGACTTGCCTCCCTGAAGCTCTAAGGTGCCAAGAGCCAGTAGTCCCCCTAGTATCATAACTTGAAACAATTCTGCATGATTCTGGAACTAGACAGAGACTTGTCTGGACGTGGGGTAAGCTAGCCAGTGCCCCCATTTAAAGAGTCCCCTTTTCAGAGCCAAAGTCTCTGCACCAGCCATTTCCATTTCCTTACCTTCCATCCACTCCTTAGAAACTGTGATCTGTCTTCTTCCTCATCTCATCAAGACTGCTCTCACTGAGAGCACCGTGGTCCTTGTCACTAAATCTCCTGTATACTTTTCAGTCCCCTTCCAACCTGAACCCTTAGCAGCATTTGACACAGTGTGTCCTTCCTGAAGCCTCTCTGCCCTTAGCTGCTAAAGCACAGCTCTCTCCAGTTTTCCTCTGACATCGTGGGCCATGCCTTCTCAGACTTCTGTGTCAAGTCCCCTCCCTCTGCCAATCCTGAAAATGTTGCTTTTTGGGTTCTGTCCCACTTCCACCACTGCCAGGGCTGCATTTTGACTTCCATGACTCTAGCCACTTTTGTCTTTGTGGGCCCATTTCTCCATTAAAAAACATGAAGAGTTATAGTTTACAACTGTGTTAATATAAAGAAAAATATATTAATATCATAAATTATAGCATTTTATTCAACCTAAATATTCTTTTTCTTTCTGATTTTAAAAGAAATTAAAACATTTTGTGGGCCCTAAGCACTGTGCCTTCTGTGTCTAATCAATAAGTTGGCCCTGAACACTATTAATAGATCATTATTAATTAATAATGTCTATGATTGAGATCTGTTCAGAGGCTTTATTAACTATTAATTTCTTTAATTCTCACAATAATCCTAGGAGGTAGGTACTTTCATTATTCTCATTTTATAGATAAGAATACCAAAACTCAAAAAGGTTAAATGATATGCCTAAAAGTCACTTGCCGAGAGAGAAAAGAAACGCAGGTTCCAACCTAACAGTCAGGCCCCGGAGCTCCCTCATACTCTTATCCATGATATTGCTCCACTCCTCGCCCTCTCCATGGGCAAACCCAGCTAATTTTATAACTTGGATGGCTTTATGCGATGACTCCAAAATTTATATGTCTAGTCCAAATCTCAATCCTATCAGATTCATATGTTCAACTGCCTTGTTCCATCTCAGAGATACCGTGTCCCAAACTGAGCTCATTTTACTGCCCCTAAAGGTGCTCCTCCTTCCTTATTCCCTGTCAGTTAACCACCACCTGCCCAGTTACCCAGGCAAAAAAAATCTGGACACCCATCTTTGATTTCTGTCTATCATACCCCACAATCAGACACCAAGTTCTACTATCCTATTATTTTAATATCTTTCAAGTTTTCTCCATCCTCCCTCAGCACTCCCCTCCACCAGTCCAAATCACTGTCATCTCCTAATGCTGGGCCAAGATCATAACCTCCAAAGGACTCCCTGTATTCCCTTTGCCTCCTTCACGTCCACTCACCAGGATAGTATTTTAAAATGCAAACCTGATTATGTCACTTCCCTCTTATAACTCTTCAATGACTTCCAAATGCTCTGAGAATAGAGTCTGGGTGCCTTAACCAGATCTTCACAACCTGAATCCTGCCAATATCTCTACCGTCAACTCCTTTTATTTTGTCAGATGCACCATGCTCTCTCCTCAGTACCTTCATGCAAACTGGCCCCTCTGGTGGAAAACTTCCCTGTCCTCCCACTCTCTGCTTCATCATCTGATTAACTCCTACTTATCCTTCAGATTTCAACTTCCAGACCACTCTTTCAGAAGCTTTATCTGATCTCCCACCTTTGAGCCAATAGCCCTCTGTGCCAGTTAGGGTGCACCTGCTAGAAGTAACTAGTCATGACTTAAATTAGAAAGTGTATTAATCTTTCCAAACAGGTCTAGAAGGAGGCAGTTCATGTTGTTGCAGGCACCCAGCTCTGCCATCCTGGGTATGTCAGCAAAATGTCTCCCTCATCCTTGTAAGATGAAGACAGGAGCAAAAAAGCTTTCTCCTTAAGGGGCTTTGTCTTTTTATCAAGGAGGGAATTCTTTTTCAGAAGACTTCCAGTAGATTTTTCTTGTGTCTCACTGGCTAAAACTGAGTCACAAGTCCATTTCAGGCCAACTAGTGGAAAATGAAGTATGTTAGATGTGCCAACTAAATTCCACAGCGGGATTCAATGCTTCACCCAGAGGGAGCATTTGCAAAGCTGGATATAGACCAAGTAGTGCCAAGACCAAGAAGCCTGCCAAAGGGCCCTTTGGTCCTTCTGTTTACTCTCTTTTGGCCCTGTTTCTGATGGATTACCATCTTTCCCTGACAATTCTGCCCTCCCCTGCCTTGTTCTTTATCCTGTTTCCTGTTCCTTCTCCCATCCTGTAAAACACTTAGGAAGAGAAGACTTCTCTTAACAGGAATATATTAACAAGGTAAGTTTGCTTTTAAATTATTATTTATTTTAATTGGTTTTATTTTATGATTGGTTCCATTTAAGAGTATTTCAATATTCATAGACAATAGGCAGCCCTGGAATTTATACTGCCTGTGACTTAGGACTCTAGGTTTCCTGTCCCAGCTAAGCCACCAGTTCTATGACCTCTTAGACTTCAGTCTCTAAGACTCCCAAGTGAAGGTGATGGATTAGCTCAGGACCTTTAATATGGTCCCAGGAGCCCTGGGTTCCTCAGAGGCACCTTGGGGCTTTTTGAGTGGAGGGGCCCAACTACATGGCCTGTAGGCAGCCCCCTCCTTGTCACCACGCTTGGCCTCGGTCTGTTGGATATCTTGGGTCACTGAGTAAGATTTCATTTGCTGAAAGGCTTCTGAGGATAAAATAAATTTGGAAACGCATGAATTAGCTGATTGTTGAGGAGGTAGGCTACTAGGTGGAAGGGTTGCCAGCTGTTGGCAGGAGTTCACTCTCCCCTTGGTCTTGCTTGTAGTTCTTCCCCAACCACCTCTCTTTCTGGCGGCCCCACCCCCATCCTACCCTCCCCATATGTTAATAGCACTGATCTAGGGTCCAGTTACATCATGTGGTGGTTCTTCCTGTTCCTGACCAGGAAACTTGAGTGTCCAAGGTGTTGTTACCTGAATGTCCTCTGAGTCCCTTCCTGTCATAACATCATGGTCCAGGTGTGCAAAGGAAAGCTCCTTTTTCTATAACTGAGACACTGTCTTCAGGCTGAGGGTGGGATACAGGTTCCCCTTCTGTCTGTCACTCTCTGGGTAGCCCTGGCCCTCACATCGCTGGTGCAGGAGAGCAGGGACCTGAAAACCTTATTCCCTCCACGTCCTCCTGGGCTCACAGCAGCCCCTCAACAAACACTTATTTAAGGAAAGCACCAAAGAATGAATGAACAAATCATAATTTTAAAGTGAAATTTCCTATTGAATAATAAATTCAAATCAAGAGACATGTTCTCTGCCTAACTTTTAAAGGATGGGAGGAGGAATAGGAGATAAGATAAACTTAAGTTTCCATTTCCTTACCCATAAAATGGGTAAAATCCCCAATTTAAAGTTATAATATAGCTCTACCATGATGGGTTGTTAAATCTTGAGTGTGTGGAAGAGCTCTTTCCAAAATGCAGAGGCTAAACATGAAAGGCTCAATTTTTCAACGGCAGATAAAATGTTGGCACCCAAGTAAAAGAGTTTTAAAGTGAGTGGTTCACAGCTCAAGCAGAAACTTGAAATGGAGACATTTCTCTCCTTTCTATATACTGTCTATTCAGGAAGGATGCTTATACTCTCTAAGCTCTACATGTGCTGCTGGCCTGTAAACCATTCCTCCTGGGGAGAAAAGTCATTCTCCAAAGACTTCATTCTGCATGAGCTGAATGAATATAAAAGGTCATCCTGTAGTGATCTATGGCTAATAAAAAAAAAAAAAAAAGAATTTCTGTAATGCTTTCAGCCAGATTTGTCCAGAGTACAAGGATTCAGAAGTCGGTTCCAAAGCAGCTCAAAGACCTCCAGGCTGCTGGGGGGCCCATGTGATGCAGTGATGTCCCTTGCTTTGCTGAGATCATTTCTGGTGCTCTGGAAGCAACTGGAAGCGCTAAAGGAGCACTGGGGCTGACTCAAGCTGCGAGGCCGGGACATCAATTCTCCCTCTCTCCACAAACAGTTCTCGGAGCTCTATGGGTGAGTGTGCTCAGGGGGAAATTCATGTGAAGGAGTGGAACCTGGGATCTGGCAGATGACTGCCCTTGCTCTGAGGGTGACGTTTGGTCCATGAATTTGGTATGCCTAGCCCCACTGATCACAGAGGAGGCTGGGCAGTGTGTCTCTGTGAACAGTGCTTTACGGGAAAAGCTGAGTTCTATTGACTGCAGGGACAGCCCTGGATTCCACTGAGCAACACTGTATATCATTTTCCCAGAGTTCTGTCCCTGGGAACTGGTGCTTCTGAAGTGTCCCTTCAGTGCTAACTCTAAGCTTTTTAGCTCATAGGATCCCAGCGAGAATTGAGTGGGGAGTGCTGCTGCCGTGACCTCCTCTCCGCTCTCTGCCCCATTAGGCCCAAGTCTAATGAGTCTCTGAGAGCCTCAGGCATCACAGCCAAGGGTACAATATGGTGCAGCATGAGGTGTTCAGTATGCAGAGTGCTGGGTTGTTTTCTCAACTTCAAGCCCTGGCTGGGATGACTTAGCTGGTGGGAAAGGCATGTGGTTTCTGCCATATGTCTGTAAGCAAACAAGCATTCACTAAGCACCCAACCACCACCCCAGGACCTTACTGAGGGTATTAAGGCTCACTTTGGTGGCCTAGTCCAAATTGTCTATCTTATGAGTTATGACAGTCAGCTTTCCTGGTAAACAGGGAGTGAGGAGACTTGTCAATATTTTGAAGAATGAAGACTGAAATTAAATGTGCCCAATGGGAAAAGGCCTCACGATTTAATATTGACTAAGGGAGTGGTAACTGTGGTGGATTTAGATGTCGATGTAAGTGTCTGTGATGAGTTGGGAGGTTTATGCATGATGACGGGAAACAGAACATGAATGAAAAGAATTGTCAGAGAATCTGAAAGAGAAAAAATGTTTGTTAATTTCTGTCTCTCTTCTTTAATAGAACTCACATTCTCCACCCTAGCATGAAAGCTATAGCTAGGCGGATCGGGAAAGAAGATGAATTTGAAGGACTTATAATAAGTAGTAAGTCCACTCTTCCCGCTAAAGGAGCTTCAGAAATTGAAATAAAAGCTCAGCAGGTATGCAGGAGCTATTTTTTTTTCTTTTTCTTTTCTTTTTTAATAGATCTTTATTGGAGTATAATTGCTTCACAATACTGTGTTAGTTTCTGTTGTACAACAAAGTGAATCAGCCATATGCATACATATATCCCCATATCCCCTCCCTCTTGAGCCTCCCTCCCACCCTCTCTATCCCACCCCTCTAGGTAGTCGCAAAGCACCGAGCTGATCTCCCTGTGCTATGCGGCTGCTTCCCACTAGCTATCTATTTTACATTTGGTAGTGTATATATGTCCATGCCACTCTCGCTTCACCCCAGTTTCCCCCTCCCCCCGCACCCCATGTCCTCAAGTCCATTGCAGGAGCTATCTTGAACTTGACTTGAAAATTTACTTTATGACATTAGCATGTAAAACTACAGATATACCCAAGTGGTGTTTTTTCTAAGAAGATAAGTGTTTATTGAGGGTTTGTAAATTGCTGAACAGACTCTGAGGAAACTCAGTGTGTAAAGGTATGTGGGGCTTTGATTAAGCAAATAACTACCCTTTAACATCTCAGTTCTGTAAGTCTAGGTTTTCCTATTTTTATTTTCCTCAAATTAAAAAAAAAGACAATAGAAAACATAACCACTAGCATCTTAAACATAAAATCCTGCACACAGGTATCTCCCCTGCAACACGCACACTCGTGGAAGTGGAATATCTAAAATAGCTCCTGTGATTGTTTTTCCGAGAATAAGACAACACAATTTATGTACTAGTCTATTTGGTGTGTGTTGATGGTCTATGTGGAGGGGTTGTTTTCCCAAGTGTTTGTTCCTCTTGGTCCTGGGATGCGGGCTCTGCCTGGCTGTGCTTATTGTAACAGGGAACAAAGACTCTAGCTGGTTGGGTGTAAGTGCAGAGGTGCATGTCCACTGAGCATCCAGGAGAACTCAGCACTCGCACGCCCCCCCCCCCCAGCCCCCTGCCCACACACACACACCCCAGTCCCAAGCCCGTTGCTTACCCTTCTGAACTCTGCTTCCTCTCTAGCACCTGGGGTCCTCTGACAGGGAGAAACGTGGGCTTTGCAAGCATAATGGGTAGAGTAAGAGCTCAGGGGTATTGGAACACAGTTTTTTCTTGATCATGTATGGAGTTTTAAATCTTCCCGTGAAATCCTCCTTGGTATCTAAATTGAGTTTTAGACCTAAGCGCTTCCTATAATAACAGCTCATGAAATTCCTGGCCACATTTAGAGACTCCAAAACACAAGAGGTCGCTTCAGACATTGAGCACTTTGCAATTTAGCAGAACCTGGTAAAAAGGGATATATTTTATCAATCAAGATGTGGCCCAGGAAAAAAAGATGTCTGTCTCCAAAAAGGTGCATCTACCCTACTTGGGAACCCAAAAAAAGGAACCGTTTCTTCTTCCCCAGGAGAGAGTAACAAAAGGACTGGACCCAGCCCAAGGCCCTTATGCAAGAATTTAGGAGCCTAGAGTATAAGCCAATAGTGGAGAGTGGCTCTCAAACTGCTTATGCTAGCTTCAGAAACTTCTGGAAAATCTTGAAATTCGTATGATCCAGGAGGTATTAAGTTAACAGAGAGATAACACTAGTTGTATCAGAAAACTCCAAGGAGCAGCATACTCTCCCTATAGGTAAAGTATGTTTATTTTATTACTTTATAAAATAACATTTTTATTTTTTTTCCTAATTATGAAAGCAATCCATGTGTCCATATTCATGGAAAAACAAAAACACTACAACGCCCAGAAAATAGTATAAAAATTACTTTTTAACCCCTTGGCCCAAGAAATAAGTACTTAAAAAAAATTTTTTTTTATTGAAGTATAGTTGATTTACAAGGTTGTATTAGTTTCTGGTGATTCAGTTATATATTCTTTATCAGATTCTTTTCTGTTGTAGTTTATTATAAGATATTGACTATAGTTCCCTGTGCTCAGAGAGAAGTACTTTTACCATTTTGATATATATTCTTGACTTAAAGGGCTTTTAAGTAGAAAACATTTGTAAACTTCAGTCTCTGCTGATTAACTCATAGCTGAAATAAAGTTGAAATGGGGGAAACACATAAAGCTTTTTCTTATATATAAGCGTATACAAATATATATCTTAGAAATACATATATTTGGGATGGGAAGACAATCAAAATTGTTTCATTTGAGGTCTAAAGTCAGGGTGACTTAATGGGCAAGTGACTAGTACACTCCCACAGGACTCTCACAGGGGCACTTGGGGTTTAATGCTTTGTAGGTTCCATCTTGTACTCTTCATTTTCACTTAGAATTTGTATTTTGTAAGTGGCATCCAGTGAGTCAATGGAGGATGCACCAAAGGCTTGCAGCCTGGGCTCACACACACTCCTGCTGCCTCCCCACCTTGCCAGGAGGAGTTCTCAGCTGCCTGTTCCTCTGCCCTCTGGCACCCCAGGCACCACTAACTTCCCCCTCACCATCTGCATCCAGCAATGGCTGCCACTCCCCACCCAGTGGGGGCCTGAGCACGGCGAGGGCATGTGTGGGGCATGTGTACCTGACAGCATTTCAGGGATCCCAGACTGGCAGCACCAGGCTATGTTTGATGGGTGACTCACTGGGTGTGAGCTTGTTGCCCATCCCTGGGAACCTAGAATATCCCAGGGCAGAGGTTGCAATACCCTTGGGGTTGCCCATCCGCGGTAGATAGGAGCAATGGGCCTGAAGGAAGAGGAGACGCCCAGCTCAACTTCGTCGCCCCTGGCTCGGCATGAAGCCTCAGTCCAGTAGCTAGACCAGGTGCATTCATGCACCCGTCACAGGGTGGGGCCCCTGGTGCCCCTGCGCGCATCCCCATGCCAAGGAGCCAACATTAAAAACAAAAACACTGTGACAGGTCAAGAGAGAGACTGAAGAAGAAAGAAGAACATTTTATATTTTAGTACCCTTAATGGCACATTTTCCTGCTTTTTGAACAAGGCCTGCGTTTTTATTTTTCATGGGGCACCATAGATTATGTGTCTGGTCCTTTCTGAACTACAGTGTCTACTCCTAACTCCTACTAATTCTGTAGGAAAATCCCCAACCTTTGAGCTAAGGGGAGTTGTTTGACTAACAAAATAAATAATGGTTTCCTTTTGAGACAAGGTTCACAGACATTGTAATGTTAATTAATAACCTTTGTGGGCATCTAAGACACTGTGGTTTTATCAGTGCTTCGAGCAACTGAATTCTGTAAGCAGGACTTTGGGAAAAGGCTGTGCAGTGAGAGAGCAAGCCCCCACCAAATGGGCATCTCTGACTGTCACCAGAGAGTGGAGTGTGGTTGAGCTCCGATTACAGAACATTTAACAAGACACAAAGCGACTGTTGTTTGTGCTGTGTTTGCTGCATCCAGGCGGTTCCCTTCTGAGTCCTTGGAGAAAATCCACAAGCACAGGGCAGGTGCAACCATCTGCACGTTTCAGGGCTGTGATGCTTCTGAGACTTCCGGGTGGGGGCCCAGGGGGGAAGTGTCTTTGCTTTGCAGCTGTGCTATGTGTTGCCTTGTGCAGGGTGCTTGTCAGCTGTGCTTGGAAAGGGCCTTCAGTAAGGGGCTGGTGGGAGTCAGGCAAAGGGGAGGGGTAGAGTTATTTTTGATGGTGGTAAGGTTGATATTACCAAACCTTACCAAAACCTAGAGTACACTGGCCAATTCTAAAGTCTTGTTCAGATTCTGTACTCTTAAGATTTTTTAAATAAATGCCAGTAATGAGGGTGTTTTGTTATTGTTGGGTTTTGTTTTTGAATCATGGTTCAGCATGATTCAGTGGAGAGGCCTAGGTCTTCTCCTGTGCTGAGTTCCCCCAGTACAAGTGATGGAGTCCCCACTGTGTGCTAGGGGTGCTTTTATATTCTTCGTCTTAGTCTTCCTGAGACCTCTGTGGGCTGGGTATGTGGAAGAGGGTGATCAAACCTTGGAACTCGCACTCACCTACTGTTCATCTCAGCAGCAAGAAGCAGCCATAGTGGATTGGGCTTCCAACAGGGGCTGCTTCTTCATGCAGAGATCACCACGTGTGGTCAAGGTTAGCTTGGGGCTAGGGGTTTCTCCAGAGGGAGTTGGGAATGGAGAGTATTGAGAACAGGGGACATCACGGGCTCGAATATTTCTCCCCTATTTCCTTCCCTCCTCCCCACCTTGTCTTGGAGCTTCATCTTTTTATACAGCTTCTGAATGAGCTTCGTTTGTCAGTGAGCATCTGAAAATGTGGCAGCCACACCTGGCCTGGTGCTAGTTCTTGGTAGCTTGTGCTCCCCTGAGAGTGATCAAAAGCAGCCCCAGATATCCTCACTCAGCCTCAGGGCTTGCTTAACAGAGAAATGGGCACCACTGATTCAAAAAGGCTCTGCCATTCTCCATCTTTGACATTTTGGCATTGAAGTAATTTTTAATTGATCTTCTAAATTTCTCTGAGAAGTTTATAAGGCCAGCAGCCTCCAGAGTGGAGGCATATATCCCAGGGGTGTGGGAAGAAAATACTAGGACTTCTGAATAGATTACGTCTGTATGTAAGAAGCCCATGTTACGCGCTACACTAAGGCGTCCTGAAGTGACCACGGGGAGGCAATGCACAAGAGAATAATAAGAAAGAGTAGAGTTGACAGTACTAATCCTAGTACATGCTTATCTTTAGCCACATTATGAGGTTAAAAAAGATAACCTAATCACATCTAAGAAGTCAGACAAAACTTTTTTTTAAGTCAAAGAAACTATTGGGAATGTGGATTGAGATTCATTCTTATTGTTGATGAATCTCACCCTGTGTACATCATGCTTTGCAATATTAGCCATTGATAGTACTGGAGGTAGTTATGAATACATAAACAGACATATGTTAAAGGTGAGTGAACAAAAATGCTTTTCTTGAAGGAAGCACAATCAAAACATTTGGGAGAACATGGGCTAAGTCAGCATTTCCCCAGAAGTGTGCCCTGGAATACTAACTCCTTAGCATGTTAATGCAGTAGTTCTCCCAACCCCCCTTCACT